AGGTAGGCTGGCTTTGGCGGGCACATTGCAAAACGCCAAACCAGGGATTACAAGGAGACATGGATGGGCGTCTTTTGAGAGCAGGGAAGCGGTGAGCAAGATAGAATTTGAGGATCGGTTGAGGCAAATGGATGGGGAGCAATGGGCACGAAAGGTTTTCAGCTATTTATACATGAGGAGTGTAGACACAAAGCGGAGACAGTGCACTAGGACATTAAGAGGGAAGTTTTTCGGCTGTAGGGGAGCTACGGAAGAGCAGGTATCAGTTTAGAAGAAAGTTAAGGCCACAGAAAGAGATCGGTGGCTAGAGGGAATGCAGACAAAGACGGCTCTGGAAGGATATCGATTAAACAAAAGAGTTATTGCCAAAGAAAGCATTTAGGACAATTCTGGGGGAAGCTCATTGTTGTTTGATGCGAGGACAGGTGTTCTGCGAGCCAGAACATACAGAGCGAAGTACCAGAAAATGGATACAGTGTGCACTGCTTGTGGAGAGGAGGACGAGACGGCTGAGCACTTGATACTCTGCTGTAAAGGGCTTCACCCTATGCCTACCGAAGACAACATAGATTTAATAAAGTCATTGGGTTTTAGAGACAGCGAAGGAAGAGTGGATTACAAGACAGTAGAGATTACCGAGCAAAGATTAAGTGAATGGCGAGAGAAAACTAGGTATTATCCTATTAACTGGTGGCAAGGGGGTTTTATAGCCTCACTTTTTTTTCAGTGCGGAGTGAATATAGTTTTCACACTTAAATATTCTAAACTTAAATGGTAAAACAAAATGGCCATCCATCCGAGGGTGCGCAAGAGCAGAGACTACGTGCCACGTACCTTTCGATTCCTTTTGCGCCGAAAAGGGCTTCGATTCAGCGTGGGATCCGCTTCTACGTAGCACGTAATTCGCCGCTGACAAGCAAGTTTTGAGGCTCAATTTCTGCAACATCGAGCTCAGCCTGAAAAAACAAAACAAAACAAGCAAACACGCATCCGCTTGCAAAGGAAATAGCGTCCTCTTTCGGTCTTCTTTTCTTTTTTCTTTTTAATTATCTTATATAAAATTCAGGTTACAGCTGCATGGCTAGTGTAAAACATGTTTCCCTACTTTCCTTTTTTTAAAGGGGGGGGGGGGGGGGGCGTAGACAATGTAATATTGACTAAGTCGACCAAATGAATATAACCCCAATTTAAGAAGATAATAAAAATTAGATTCGCGCGATGAGACACAGAAACCCCGTTTAAATCTAACGTCTAACAAAATTTTAAAAAAAAATAATAAAAAAAATTTCTTTACTTTTTAAAGTCAATGTTGTTTTACTCTTCCCGGGATGCCATTTGTTTTTGTTTCGTTTTCTTTTCATCGCGAAAATAAATTTACGCCGTTTTTGCGCTTGTTTGTTTGTTTTTTTTTTTTTTGTTTTTTTTTTTAATTGCAAAAATATTTTTACCGGTTGCGAAGTCAACGTCCAAATGTAGCTCTAGTTGTCTGAACCAGATACCAGAGTTTTAGAGCACGTCGTTTTATTATTAACAAATTATTAACAATTTTCAGAATATGTTGATGGGATCGAGCAAACGGAAACGGGCCCCGTTTCGACCTTGAAAGTTTAAGATGATCACTTAGAGTGCTGAATAAAATAGTTTTTAGTTATGCAACGTTGGCATCTTGTCTGCTAGTTATACATGTTATTTTTGTAACAAAATAACCCCTTTTCTTTTTTAGGCCCGGGAGAGAGGGGGGGGGGGGGGGGGGGGTGCACGTGCGTGTGGGATTTCTGGTATGGCAGCGATGCTTATCTTTGAAACGGTTTCTATCCGCGAAATGAAACAATTTGAGGCTTTCACCCATATTTATGTTCGTCACAAAACAAAAATGACGACGCATATGCGAGAAAGGCGGGTGCTACACATGTTTGAAGTTTGAACCTGTAGTTTGAACAGTTTGAACCGTTGGAACACGATCAAATTCACTGGCAGGGTGGCAGCCATCAACTCAGAGTCAGTGCCATTCAACAGAAGTTTGGTGGTTAACGTTAGGTCACGGAATACCCATCATAGAATTAAGAAATGCAGCGTACTCGCAACAAAACTTATCAATATTTGTGCGTTACAACCGGTTACGACAACTGCCCCAACGAACGCGCAAATATTAGTGATGCCGCGAACTTTTTTCGAACCGAAGTTTCGATGAGCGAATCAAGCGGTTCGAAAGGTCGAAAGATTTCAAATTTTCGAACTTTCCATAACTGATAAATTCGAGGGAAGTCGAATTTTCGAACTGATTAAACTAAGAAGCTCGACGCTTTTCGAAATTTCGAACTTATTACGCTGCAAAATTCGATGCTTGTCGAACTTCCGAACTTGATAGACTAAAAATTCGATAATTTTCGAACTTTCGAACTATTTGCACTAAAACGTTCGAAGCGTTTCGAACTTCCTACGCTAAGAAATTCGATAATTTTCGAACTTTCGAACTTATTAATCTAAAATTCGAAAGAATGCAAAATTGTCAAACTTTCGATTTCTGAAAAGTCAAAAGTTCGACGAACTTCGAACTTTTAGGACAAAAGTTCGAAGTCCGTCGACTTTCGAAAGACCGGCAGGCGGTTTCATTGGGATTCAAGCAGTGAGGTACATTGGTATTTTTTTTTTTTTTTTTTTTTTTTGCAATTTTACAGGCGGTGCCGCATTCCTTGCGAAAGACAATGCCGTTTCTTTCAATCATCTGGTATGCTTGGTTTTAGAAAAATAGATTCCCGAAGGAGCGAGGAAGGACGACGGGCTTTTGACAATTGTCGTTTGTGCCATATTTGAAGCGCGCTATAGCCGAAGCTATTTATGGTAGAGATGTTAAACTTTTTAAGAATGATCTATATATAGCCTAGGTGAGTGTCGTCTTAAGATATGATTATTGTTGTTCAACAATTTAAATTAACACCACAGACAGTACATATCATTACCATCTGCTGAATACAAAATAATGTATTTATTGTTTTTTTCACGTTGAGGAATAAATTAACTCGTGGGAAAAGATTTCTAAAATTGATCAAGTTCAGCGCGTCATAAAAAAAAAAAAAAATTCTCTCATTTTACGTTTTTGGGACGTGTTTCTTTTGGCCTGTACACATATTGGTAGGAGAAACGTGTTTCATAGTTCTGGACCTCTGAATATGCAAGAACACAACACTTCCGGCAACTTCTTGATAGTTCTTTTTTTTTTCAATTTATTGTTATGTTTATTTATGGATTATCTTTTACCAATGGCACAGTTATTTAGGTCGAAAAGACATAGCTTTGAACTTCCGAGCCACCGAGCATGTGACGAGTAGTGCCTTCTGACAACAAGTTTCTAACAATGACCATCTACGCGATCTTTTATGCAGTGAAAAGCGACAGTAGCTATACATATGCATAAATAATTTCAGATTATAATTAATTCCGAAGGATTAAAATAAGCTCGATCATGCCCTCTTTCGCCGTATTTTCTTTAACAGTCCGAAATATCTGGGAAGGGGGGGGGGGGGGGGAGAGACTTGAGCCCTCCCCCCCTTCCCCCCCCCCCCCCCCTTCACCCGTTTTTCCTCTTCCGACGCCACTGGTATGGTAGAACGCTCCTCGACCTCAAGTTATGTCAGCTTCTGTGCTTTTTGCTCGGCGTTTCTTCCAACCCAGGAAATAAACCTCCAAAGCAATTACAAACAAAAAAATTGTCGAGGTGCAGGCGAGCTGGTGTATGTTGATCATGAGGCAAAATCCCGAGACTGGGAATGAAATTCGCAAGAAATAGTGTAAGAAGAAAGAAAAAAGGGGACAGGACAACGTCTCAAACTCAGCTGAGTTGAGTTTGAGACGTTGTCCTAAGCTGAGTTTTCAGCTGAGTTGAGTTTGAGACGTTGTCCTGAGCTGAGTTTGAGGCGTTGTCCTGTCCCCTTTTTTCTGTCTTCTTACACTTTTTCTTTCAGATTTCATTCCCAGTCTCAGGATTTTGCATCGCCAGCGTCACTCTGGCGGCGTTCGATCGGATTACTACCAGCGTGCAAGGGGGTAGGGGGGCAGTTTGCCAGATCACTTCAAGGGTTTTCTGGGCCTCAACCACCTGCCTGCCCCTGGCCCTTTCGAATTGGATGAGTATCGTTAAACAGTGCGTTCGTAGGATCACTACTTCGTGATGCACGTTAATGGCCACCCCGGGCTGGCGGTCACAATTACTGATCTATTGTCACACGTCAATCTGCACTGGCAAATATTCCAGTACATCCGGGACACTCGTCGTCTCATTTAATTGCCTGACCAACTTCACGCAGTCTAAATATCACACCCGAACTTTTCTAAACCTGATTTCGTGAAAACCAGTGAGGCGTGAAAACGTTATTTGAAACTGAAAACCGGACTTCGAACTATACGCACTTGGACTTCACAGACATCGGAAACCTCCTAAGTTTTTTTTTTTTTTTTTTTTTTTTTCTTTTTTTTTTTTCGAATTTAGCTCTAAAAGATAATCGAAACCTTCGACCTTTTCGAACTTTATGTAGAAAGAAATTCGAAATCTTCGAATTTATCGACCTTTATGTCTTTAAGAATTCAAAACGTTCGATTTTTCGAATTTTAGGTCCAAAGAAATTTGAAACATTCGAAATTATAAATTTTAAATTAGGGAAGTTCGGAATCTTCGAATTTATCGAACTTCAAGTAAACAAATATTCGAAATAATCGACCCCGAACTTTTAGAAACCGTGAAAGCTTCGAACTTTTCGATTTCGAAGCCCCACGATATCGGAAAGTTGCGAATTTTTCGAAGTTGAACCTCCGTACGGTCGAAAAATATCGAAACCTTTCGATTTCGAACATCTGTTCGGTTCGAAAATATCGAAACATTTCGAATTCGAAGCTAGGGTGGTTCGCGGCATCCCTAGCAAATATGCATAAAAACAAAGTGTGGGTGTTCCAATATGGCGGCGTCTAGGCTCGACACGACGAACTAAGCCAAGATGTACAACGTGACGTCACGAAATAGGAGAAGGAACCGGAGGCACCGGAGGCGCGCCGGTCGGCGGCCTGCCGGAATCCCCGCCGTCTCCGCACATGCTCCGCACACCGGTTTCACTGGGTTTCACAACCCTCCTTGTTCGCAACAATGAATGAGCCGCGTGGCGGCGAAACTTTCCACCGGCACTGCCTCGGTCGTTTCCTCGCTACCGCTGCTCTTCCGCGGCGGAATTTCAAGGTCGACGCCTGCGAGACGGCTGCCTCTATCCAGTGCTCCTGCTTGGACCGCACGAACGCCGCTAGCGGTGACAACTTTCCTATCCTCCCCAGTTATCTGTGAGCAACAGGATCGCCGAGTCGCCCAGGTAGGTGCCTCTTCCATTCAATCTCCTCCGATTCGGATGGCGTCTGCTCCGCTGGTCTGCTCCGTGTCGTCTGCAGCGTCGTGAGCGCCGCCATCTTTAGAACCCGTGCCGGCGTTCTCTTGGCATCTTGAAGTTATCCGAAAAAAAGAGCGCGGTGGCACTCCGTACCATACGATACAGTAAAATATAGTGCGAATGGATTGCTGTGACGGAGATTTGCTGCGTTTTCGGTGTCGTCACTTGAACTAGGGATTTTAAAAAAGAGCTCTTGTGTACGCGAGCGCACTGCACTGAAAGGCCGCAGTAATAAAAACACAAAACATAAAAGCACAAATCTTCGTTTCTTATTTTTATTTTCATTGACTATTTTCACCGCAGAGTTTCGGAACACCAAAAATGTTTGTCACCTAAGGAATTTATTTTATTTTTTTTTTTCCTTCAAGAGGGGCATTTGTAAATACTGAGAAATGTGTGTGGCCTAGCTTTCCTTCGAATCTGATTTCTACGAAAAGATAGAGGTTCGTTGTTTTCTAGCTCTTCCTAGACATGATCATTTCTGCCATTAATATTTACTATTAAATAATGCATGCTAATAGGGACTTTTTTGTTCCGCGTACCGCACCACCGTTCAGGCGATACCGTGACCATGGGGCGCGCGCTTATAAGCATGCTGCTAAAGCTCCAGCAGTGCGCTACGCGGAATTGCAAAAGTCCCCAATAGTGGGCATGAACTTGGAATATAGACATATGCGGAACCTTTCACGGCGGAAGGGGTAATTCAGATGCTGGCAATCGTGTTTTTTATTTGTGTGTGTGCGTGCGTGCGTGCGTGCGTGCGTGCGTATACGTGCGTGTATTTTTAAAGAAAAACGGACTTCCAAAAGGCAGTACCATCTGGTGAAACTAAATGTTATGATTATGTGGCGTTGCACGAAGGTTTTAAACTATTATTTGAGACGAATAAAAAATTTTAGTCCCGCCGAGGGAGAGAGAGAGAGACAGAGAAAAAAAAAAAGGGGGGGGGGGGGGGGAGCGAGCGCGAGGCGAGTTTTGCTGGGCTGGCGCAGATACCAGCTCTCATTAATTGCATAGGTCGTAGGGTAATGCACGGCCCGCGCGGTGAGATAAGATAAAGCACGCAGGTTTAAGTTGATCGAATATGGAAATGAATAATGTACTGTATGTACGTGCGCGTGAAATTTGATCGAAATAATATATGCTACAGTTCAAATAATATTATTTAACACACGTGTATATGTGTGCCTTGAATACCATAAGTGTTCGCTTATTTTAATATATATATTTTTGTTTTTGTTTATTGGGTAGAAACGGTTATTCTTTTTCTTGCCGTTTCTTCTTCGGCTTGAGTTTAGGAAAAGACGAACTATTGTATGAATGCATCCATTCATATCCATATGGAGAAATAAATCGATGTGTTTTTTTTTGTTGCTGTTTTAATTTTAGCAAATGCGCGTTATAAGTTAATTGGGTAGTGAGAGGTGTCGAACCGTTTCAATATGAGCGCAGAACGGACGTCTTCCTGTCAAGTTTCAAGGAACACTCTATGCCAATCATTCAGACCCTCTCCACGACCCCCGCAGTTCCCTTCCCTTCCTTTCCCCTCGCTTTCTAGCGTCACGCGACTCGACGCATCTGCTCGGCGACGTGTTGCGCGTAATTGCATCCCCATCTGCTATGAAATGCGGGGGACGTTCTCGCCCAAGTATTCCAAGCAAGGAAAACCTGTAGCGAACCTGTACGCTCACACGCATCGCGCAGCGGCGCGAACAAAACCCAGGATTGACCGAGGACCCGGAAATTGCACATTTCGTAGCCGTTACAAAACTGCCCTTTTCGAAATAGAAATTTGGGGACATTGTTTTTTCTTTGTTGATTTAGCCATATTTGTCTTTTTGGTGACCTTTCGTGTATGTGCAGAAGTCTTCCCTTCCCATTGATGCTGAATTTATATATATATACATATATAGAAAGGTACAACTTGGACTGAGCCCTCCCACAGCCTCTTCCTTGCTCTGGATAAGACCTTTTCTGTGTACTCTCGTCCCCAGTCACCTAACAGGCGTATCCGGTATGGGCGACGAAAAAATTATCCAACGTTTCAACCTGCAAATAGTAAAAAAAATAAAGGGGAGGCAAAACAAGAAACTGTGGCGGTTACGCTTATATCCTAAATGCCTTCTATTGGCGTGGAAAAGGCAAAACAATGTTTTCGCCCATACTGGAAGTGACGTCAATTCAAGATGGCGGCGCACTTGCAGAAAAGGTCTATACACGTTTGCAAGTCCGGCTTCAGGGAGCTGCCATCTTGCTCGCTGGGGTGCGCTCGGACGCGTCCTAATCCGATTGCGAAGCCTTGTAAAGGCGTCATAATCGGATTATGGCCGCGCCCAAGCGCACCCCACTGGGCAAGATGGTGGCGCCCTGAGACCGGACTTGCAAACCTGTATACACTCCGTGCGGGAACTATAGGGGGCGCTCTGAAAAACGCGCGCAGCGCCGCTAGCGGAGGAGCTGGCGTTCGACTGTGAGGCGCGCTCAGCAGCCTGCGGCGCCTTTTCGCATGCCAAGCTGTGGCGGCGGAAGCGCGCACGGACGAAATTTTTGCTTTTTGAGCCGATAAGTTGAGGGTGACATTGCATAATTGCTGGGGCAGAAGGGCATTTAGCTGTTCTCCACTTCTTATATATTGAGTTTGAGTCGTAATTAGGGGTAATTTCTCTAGTTGCGGCCGAAAAAGGAGTTGGAGTAATTTTCCGAAAAACAAAGACGGCCGCCACCTTAATTGCTCTGAGTGGGAAATTTATTTCGCTCGTCGCTGTTAACCTAGGGGTGCTGCAAAGATGATATTTGGAGGCGAGTGAGATGTTCACTAAGTTTGTGCACGAAGAGTGCCAAGTTTCTTTAAGACAGCAGGTGTGAAAGTTATGTTTCTAACGAATAAAGAAATAAAGCTGCACGGGATATCCAATATTGGACCCTAAATGTTGTGTTATAGCGGGCTGTGCAAAGTGCAGATTTGGGCAGACAGGTGCTTGGACTTGACAGTAACATGACAAAGCACTTATTATAGAAAAAAAAAAAAAAAAGGTGGCATAGGGAAACCAGGTGAAAATTTGGTTTGGGCGGCGTAACTCAAAGGGAACCGGTTTTGATGATGAAAAGGCTGTCAAGAGAATACCACTGGTCGGGGGAGGTGGAGACTTTAGAGGTAGGAAGGAACTAGTGGACTGTACTTCCAATTGAAACAACTTTACGAAAGGTGGTTCCAAAGCCGAGAAAACAAAGTTGTCGGCCAACACACGGTTTGGCCGCCAAGGGCTTTTGCGGTCAGCTGTTGTGTAATACCCTGTTGTGCGAGGTGCTGATTTTCAGCGCACAGGTACTTTGACATGACCGTCACTTGGCACAACACTTATTATAACAAAAAGAGTTTTCATGGCGAAACTAGGTGGAAATTTAGTTTGGACGGCGCAACAAAATGGGAACTGGTTTTGACCGTCAAAGGCTGTCAGATAATACCACTCATCGTGGCAGGTGCACACTATACAGGTAGGAAGGGACCAGTGGACGGTACTTCCAGTTCGAACCACTTTGCGATAGGTAGCTTTAAAGCCGAGAGAAAAAAAAAAAAAGTTGTCTACAGAACTCGGGGTATCAGCGTTTCCACATCCAAAAGGAGGCTGATCAAGAAAGAAAGCACACCACATAAACTTTCATACTCAAACGTCGATTCTCCAGTGATTCCGAATTTCATTGTTTTTTTTTTTTTTTTTTTTTTTTTTTTTTTTTTTTTTAGATTTATATTTGTCACTTTTTTTACTTTTCGAATCTTTCTTCGTGAAGTGCAGATTGCGTGCCATACTTGTCCGGAAATATCATCGACACGTAGGATGGGGACGGAACTTTTTTGGAGGGCATTCCTCCAACGAAATTGGCACCGCAGACTTGCGAGTGTGGGTTCGTCCCATCGGCGCTGACACATGTAGGCGTTACTGGTACGAAAACAAACGCAGAGCGCAAAGCGGCAGTGCAGAATATGTCAGCCGTGCCGACACAGTGGCAGACATGATCGGGAAACCAAATTTCTCACGTCGTACGGCACGGCTCCATCGTTGTCGCTGTCCCACAAAACATCGGCGAGGTGAAAAACTGTGAAACTTTGTCTCCACGAGATACGACGCATTACTATTGAAGCACTTAATGACGCAGCACAGCTTCATGCTATGAACTCAGCGCTACCGCAACACTCCGACTTCAATGCGTACCAACGTACGCGGCGTGGTTTCGGTTTCGTTTTCTCTGGGGTTCTCGCTGCCTACCTTCGGTACCGGCCGCGCGGCGGCGCGCCAGTCGCGTCGCACGGAGTGTTATCCGTTTGCAGGGCAGCCGACATGGGCGTACCAACCGGGGGGGCAAGGGGGACGGGGGGGGGGGGGGGGGAGGGCAAGGCATGGGTTTTGCCCCCCCCCCCCCCCCCCCCCCCCCCCGAAACAGCCGCCACTGGGCAGGGCAAACACTGGCCGGCGGCGCCCAATGGATACCAAGGGCACCGCCCCCAGCACTGGGGAGGGGGGCGGGGGGGTTCCGGTTTGCCCCCCCCCTCCCACTCCAAAAACAAGCTGGTACGCCACTGGCAGTCCAGCATTTGCAAGAACCGGGAAAGAGCATTGCGCGGCAAAAATTTCGTTGGCCATGGCCCTTCATATGTAGTTCACAAGCAACCCCCCGGACTGTACTCGTTAGACAATAAAAGTACATTGTTCTTGCGTGGCTTCCTTCTTGGTTGCAGCTACACATTGTAAGGACCCATCATGCGTGCGGCTGCGAGGCGTCTTCTGCGGGTGCCCGCCCTGTGTGGGCGCTCGCTGAACTCCAGGAGGGCTCAGTCCAAGCTGTACCCTCTCAGCTCCGAGCAGGTCTTCGAGCGGGAGGACAGGTACGGAGCCCACAACTACCATCCGCTGCCAGTGGCCATCCACAGAGCCAAAGGTAAGCCTATGAGTTGAGCCATATCCAAAGCTATTGTGAGCAGTAGTCATAGGCCATACAAAGCATGGGCATGGGCACCCTACCATAGGTTTCACCTTACCACCGACCGCAGGGGATACTACGAGTTATCGGAGCCAATCCAAGACCGTGTGTGTGTGTTACATGATCTTGGAGAGGGACCGCAGCGATGGGCGTAGGGGGTTGACTGCGGTTGGTGAAACGGAAGTAATCTGCCATTTTAGAAATAATTGGCGCCGCCTGGCGGGAGATGGTGTTCGAGGATTCCAAGGATGAAAAAATGCGCGAACTAGGAAGGAGAGGAGAGGGCAAGGAGAATAGGAGGGTAGGAGAGGGCATGACGCCGGCCGCGTAGCCTCCACAAGCCATGCTCCCTTGACGCCTCGCCTCTTTCTCATTTTCCTCCTTACTCTCCTCAATTACCAGAGTAACGTGACCAGATCACGTGCCCGTAGCTAGCCTTCGTCTAGCCATGGGGTACTAGAATACACCACAGTCTATTTTTCGATCTGATAAAACCTACCGGACGGAGCGCGCGCAAGCCTGCAAGGGGTCCTTCTGCAATCAACCATCCATCTCACACGTGACATGTCACGCGCACCAATTGCCAGAGAGATCTACGGTCATGTTGGCCACAACATCGTTTAAACTTTTTATGACTAGGCTTCACCAATATTGCAACGTGCCCTCTCCTAGTACTTTTAACCAGGTTATTGAACCGAACCCGAACCGAAAACCGGAAAAAAAAAAAAACGTTATTTTCTCTCGAACCGGAGTTGAACCGGAACGAAATAATTTTTTTCGCTCCGGAGTGGAACCGATATGTTTTCCATGCGGTTTTCGGTTCATACTCGAAGTCAGGTCGCGTCAAGAGTGCGTACCAAAAAACACATGTAACCTAAAGAGAAAAACAACAAAAAATGTAATATATATATATATATATATATATATATATATATATATATATATATATATATATATATATATATATATATATTCGCATAATCCGGAGAAAGCCGTGCGCTTGTTAAGCAACTACGTGTCCAATGTGTTATGTGCCTGATTAGGAAGCTAGGATTGAAGAAACCAATGGTTGATTGTCCAAGGCGGTGGATGTTCACGCTGCATATGCTCACCAGGCTACTTGAACTGAGAGGCTTCGCTGGAGAGTTGCTCTCAAAAGAAGAAAGCTCCAGGTCGGCTGAAGACGTATGGGCGGAAGTCGAAATGCTCGCAGTATCGCTTCGCCCGGCAGAAGTGGCGACGAAGACATTGCAGAATGAACAGTTCACTGTAGGAGGTTTCTACGGAGCATGGCTGAGATATTTCATGAACACTTCCCAGATATCGTCGCCGTTAGCAAAGGCCTTTGTCCAGTCAATGAGAAAGAGGGAGCGACAACTTCTTGACATGGACGTCTTCTGTGCAGCAGTGTACATTGGTCCCCGCTACCGCCATGTTTTCACCCCTGAGCGAAACATATCGGGCCACGTTGCATTTCACAAAGGCTTGGAGGCGGATCGCAGCTCTGCAATGCGAGCAAGATTCTACGTTGTCTTGTCTTCTGAAACTGCGGCGGCTCCAGAAGATCCGGCAGACGTCCTGGAAGCGCTCCTCAAGGAAAAAGAGGTTGAGGCTGGAGTGCACGTTCGAGGTAACAGTAACCCCCTTTATATAGCATGCCTCCTGGAAATGCTAGACAAGGAGCCGCGGTTTTCAAGGGACGCTAACGTGTTGCAGTTTTGGGAAGAGAGACAGGAGCGCCATCCAGAACTCGGCGCATTGGCGCAAGTAGCCCTGGGAGTGCCTGCGACCCAGGCCAGCGTGGAGCGAGCCTTTTCTGCACTGAAGTTCATTTTATCGTCTCAGAGGTGCCGTTTTTCCCCGGATATGCTTGACGATGTTCAGCTTCTTCGGTCAGCTGTCTGACATTGAACCGCGCTCCAGCCGCGTCCCGAGGTGCCCCAGCACTAGCTCGTTGGTTCCACACAGTAATGCGAGACTTTGCTTTTTATATGTGCCACTTGTATAAAATATGCATAGTTTATCTTTTGCAGTCGTCAATTGTTTTTGCAGCATATGAGTACGAACCGGTTCAAACCGGTTTGAACCTTTATTTTTTTCACTTCGGAGTTGAACCGGAGCTGAACCGTTTTTCCTGAACCGGAACGAAAACCGGAACGAAAAACATTTCGGTTTGACCATAGCTATGGTTTGACCATAGGCTATGGTTTGACACCCTGCTTCTGACCTCCTTGGGGGAGGGGCATCTTAGAACGAACTTTGGGGCAAAAAGATAAGCCACAATTGACCTTTTTCGTTTACTCTCGTCCCAGCCACCTGGTAGGCATATCCGGTAGGGGCGACGAAAAAATAATGATTCATTTCAACCTGCAAATAGTAAAAAAATAGACGGGAGGCAAAACGAGATTGGGTAGCGGTTCCGCTTATATCCTAAATGTCTTCTATTGGCGTGGCGACAGCAAAACAAAATTTTCGCCCATACTGGAAGTGACGACAATTCAAGAATGCGGCGCCATTCCCGCGTTTTCGGATGAATCCGAAAAAGTCCGAAAAGAGAGACTTTGGGGGAACCAAATCAGTGTCACCACAGTTCAATAGAGTCAGCAGGATCTTTCCGCCTTCGTCGAGGGAGTGCCCGCGCTCGCTGGAGCATGTTCACACATATTTTCATACCAGAACTTCCTGAACCGTCGATTTCCTAAAATGGGGTTCTAGCAGATGGCACGGGCGACGGCGGAAATGCAGGCGAGCGGGCGAGGCTTTTCTCTCTCTGTCTCTTTTGTGTCACGTGGTACATGCTGCGGGGGCAAGGAGTAACAAAACTAATAAATAATAATGTGCTTGTGATTTGAGTTTTTTTTTTTTTTTTTTTTTTTTTTTTTTTTTTTTTTTTCATTGTCTTTGTAAGCGCACAACTGGCGTTTGTGGTGCTATTCGCAGCTCGAGGCAGACGAAAAACAGGTGTCATTTTTACCCTGATTTGTTTTAGATTTCTGCCGGCATCGCTTCCTTTGTGTGGGGTTGCAAAACGCTCTTATTTTATAGACTTCATTAAACCAGTTGCAATTTCATGCGACCGCGATCATGTGCTGGTTTGAGTCCTTATGGGGGTCGACTGATGTCTTAATTGCGTCCCTTAGGCTGGGGCACCACTGCGAACAGTATTTAGGCAACAAATGGCGATTCCTCCTAACGGGGTCTTTAAATAAGGGCAGAATACACGAATTAAATAATTAATTAATGGTTAAATATTGTTGGTACTGTCTTCAGTCTTCTAACCGACTTTCAACTAAGCGCGTCTATATTTACCAAAAAAAGAAACCGACCGTCTTTGTCGATTCAATACGTCTAACGATACTAAAATAAGCGCGAAAGCTACGAACCCTGCACATAAACTCTCAATGTTTTTGAGTTCCCACATCTGCTCACGAGCGCTGTGATGGGCATTGCGCATGTGTAGAACCTCATTCTTAGAAGAGCGAAGCGTTTTACGCAGGCTCCGTAAGCGCGACATCAGAAATCGTTCGCAGCTTAGGAGGCTGTAGTAGTAGGTGCGGTCTGTTTTCGATGTTCCTCGGGTATTGCGCATTGCTCTGGAATGTTGTCGGCTGTTGTGTATAGGGGGAACTCCTAGATAAACAACCCGCCATAAAAGAGGTCTACTGACGAGGGTTGCGTCTTGGGGTTTGCTCGCAAACAACTTGCTGGCAATAAAATACCGCCCCAGGTGCCGGGTTCTTTATCAGGCCCCCATCCGTATATGCTCGTGAAATGAGGCTTCCATAACCCATCCAGATCACAAGTTGTGTATCTTGTTGTCAAAAGTATACAGGCGTGAGAATAAAGATCCGTGAGACGCCGGGAGTTTGTGAGCACGAACTCTGACAACAAAACTGTACCTCTCACTATGATTCACAAAAGTTTAAACTGCTTTTTAATTCGAACAAATTAATTTTCAGAAAAAAACTACGTGAAAATGCACTAATGCAGTTTGTGCAGGGGAGTTATACGGCAAGGCTGACTTAATGTAGGTGGTTAATCCTGACAATGAGTCAGATAATTAACTAAAATATGTTGATTAACTTTTTAATCAGTAAAAATAAGTATATAGTTTAAATTAGAAATTTGCTGAGCGTCATCGTAAACTACTAAATCAGTCAGATGTAGAAAGACTTGACGCACGGGGGGAGCGCAGGGATACGTCAAAGCGGATCATAATCGTAGCATCCATGTTTTGGCACCGCTAGCCTTGTGCCTGCTGAGTCTAAGTTGTTTGTAATTACTTTGTTTAGAGTTATTCTTTGTAGGTTTCTTGCTGTAAAGTCGGCGTCTAAAAGTCCTTCGTTATATACTTCGTTGTAAGTTTCTTTTGCTAAAGTCAGCGTCTGCAAGTTCTTCGTTATAAGAACTTCGTTGTGGTTTCTTTGTTGGTAGGTTTCTTGTTGTAAAGTCAGCGTCTGCAAGTGGTTTGTTATGTAACTTCGTTGTATGTTTTCTGTTGTAACTATTTTTGTTGTAATAACTTCGATGTAATCTTTCTAACGTAAATTATTCATCCTAATAACTTAGTTGTGTAAGCAGTTCGTAGTAAAATTATTATTTGCAATACATTCGTTGTAGGTTTTGTTAGATAATATTCATTGAAACAACTTCAGTTACGTTTTCGTAGTATGTCATTCGTTGTAATACCCTCGACGTGAGTTCTTTGTTTCAAATTTGTCGGTGTAATACGTATGCTGCAAGCTCCTAGCTTTAATAAGTTCGTTGGCAAGTCAGCACCCTCATGTGGTGTAGCCGGATAGGAAATGGAAGAACGTCGATAAAGCCGCACGTCTTTCGTCTTTCATTCTGTTCATCTTTTATTTCTCCAGGTCTATACTCTCCTTTATTCTATTTCGTAGTAACCCATGTCTATAGTTAATCCTCCTCGTGACTTGGACACCCGTGACTGTGGTGTGGGGATCTGGCCATCCATTGACACACATTGAACTTGTGTGTGACAGGTTGTATACTTGTGACGCGAAGTTCTTCACAGGTAATTTTAAGTAGTTCACAGAGGAGTGTAGTGCAGATTACTACTGGCTAGCCATTTCTTTGTCTTTCGCCCCGTGTGCGTGCATCCCTCCTAAGAACTGCCAGCCGTCCACAGGCCTGACAAACATGACTTTAACGATTGATTGATTGATTGATTGATTGATTGATTGATTGATTGATTGATTTGTTGATCGATCGCAGGAGTCCACGTGTGGGACGTGGAGGGTCGGCAGTACTTCGACTTCCTGAGCGCGTACAGCGCGGTGAACCAGGGCCACTGCCACCCGAAGATCGTGCAGACGCTCCGGGAGCAGGCGGAGTACGTGACCCTCACATCCCGGGCCTTCTACAACACGGCGCTCGGGGAGTTCGAGGAGTACCTGTGCGGCCTGTTGGGCTACGACAAGGTGCTACCCATGAACACCGGTGGGTGCGGCCTCTTGGAAGTGACGTCGGGACGGTTGGACGGGCATGGTGTTTCTTGCGCGGTCTCAAGACCCAAACTGCTCCTGAGCTTGCGCTAAATGTTGCGTGGAAGGTTTGGTTCGCCTAGGTTAGCCCCAGGGGGGTAAAGACGGGAGCAGAACGCGGCAAAAAGTAAGCGCTGACATCGGTGGTCCTAAAAGAAAGAATGAAAATGAGAGTGAAAGGAAAATAGAAAGAAAGCAGACGATATAGTTAGGCGCGTTGGCTTGGCCGCGATGAGCTAATTATATTACTAACTCTATGGTTAGCATACGGCAGGAACAAATAAGTAACCCAAACCAAATGCACCAACATTTTTTTTTTTTTTTTTTTTTTTACAGTGTTAGTTGTATTGAGTTTGCTCTGGGCGAGTGTCGTGTTGCCTAAAACGAACCGAGTGTACGCCGGCTTATCGTAGTTAGCTTTTGCGCCTAAAGGGCGCCACCTGCTCTTTTTCGCCTTCGGTCGCCCATTCGCTCGGTCTCACCCTGGTTGTTAGGATGGAAAGCTGTTCTGTGTGGGATCGCCTTTCGCGAAGGATGCGGCGGCCGAAACATACGCCGGAGGAAGGAAAGGCTGCTCTACGGCGTAAACGCGCCCGTGAGAGAAAATGTCGTCGATGTGTAGGCGCCGACGGTCGCACCTTCGGTGTTAGGTTGGAACGCACGCACTATCATCGACGGACTGTCTGACGCTATCAATTCGTATCGCGTCACGCAATCATCCTCTCAATTCTTTTTTTTTTTTTCACGGTGGTTGATTTACTTAAAAAATGGCTAATTGTGACCAATAGATATGGCTGAACTAGTAAATTTAAATGTTACGGTAAAATATTTTTTTACCAGCGTAGGGTACATACTTTTATGCTTTGGTCCTCGCACTTCTCTTTTGTTTGTTTCTGTTTCAAACGGAAACTTTTTACTGGCAATACTTGTTACGCGTTCGGTCTTGAAAACGAACCTATCCAGATTGCCACACTGCTCACTCCAATTGGTTGAAACAGGTGGGGCACACCACAGTTAATACAACACTGAAGAACTGGCCCCAGCGGCAGTACGGTTCCCTGGAACGGGCCTCCGACTGGAGTATTTAGCGTCCTATTCCACCTAGTGCCACTAAATAAGCTACGCTTCAGAGTAACGACACTTGGCCATTTTGTGTCGTAAAATCATGGTTGCCAGTTATCTGAAGCTTTATCTGAAATCACAGGAAACACTTTTCCGCTCTCTACAAATGTTTCAACAGTTCGTGACAGAGCAAAGCAATATTGCATGAGGTTCCTAACACCGAATCTAATGCTGAGGAAGTCGCACTTTTGAATCATGACGATCGGCAGTTGCGTCTGCTCTGCATACGAGCCAAAATGGCGGCGCCCACAAGAATGCCGGGGAACGGAGTGCCGATACTCTAAGCGCAGCTCATTCAGTGGCTCTAATTCCACCCATGCATCCAAAGTGGCCCCGAAGTGGCCACAAATGAAGTCAGGAACGCGCGGGATGTCATGCTGTCGGATGTCGCGATCCTGGCGGTTGGTCGTAGAAGTTTCCGGTCAAAGGGCACAAGAAGACGCGAGTGTTCGCTGTTGTCACGGGCTCACGGCAACCCGACTCCCGCCTGTCGAAGCTTTCCGCGAACTGTCAAGCTGTAGAGCGACCTGCAAGCGGAACGGGCGTCTGCCACGTGCGCCATCGCTGCTGGAACACCGCCAGGATCGCGACCGGCGGCATCGTGACACGTGTGTGACGTCACCATGGCGGAAATAGAGGTACCACTTTTTTGGACCCGGTAAAAACACCGGTCAGAGGAGACGCGTTCCTAGGCGCCATAGTTTTGGGTAACTCGAAATTCCGTGGAATAAATAAATAAAAGCTTACGCTGATTTCGGAAGAGAGACCTCGTTGATGATCTTCAGCCCTGTTTTACCAACAAGCCCGCGTTTGCCCACACCGGGTGTAGGCACTGCGCGTGCGCACAAACCGAATTGGCGCGAGGTGAAGCGTCTGCGCATGCGTGCCACGTCGACAGCAGCGCCAACAAAGCGGCGTAAGCGAAAGCTAGCGCCGTAAGCGAAATCTAATAATACCTCTTCCGTGCTTTATAGACGTGTCAAGTTTGGTTCGCCCAAAAAGAAAATCCGTATCCTTTCGTGGCCCTTTAAAAATACCGTCGTATACGGACTCGCAAACGAATCTGTGTTCCTGCCGTCCTTTGTGCGTAGAGATACGCGCCTGCCGGTTATTGTCATTATGCAGAGGGCTTTGTCTGTATGATTGATGTCCTATACAAGGCGATCGCTTCTAAAGCAAGCTATACGCCCTTCCCTCGAATGAAGATAATCTGTGCATTGGCGAAGCGCTCCGGTCCCTCAGAGTGTGTGCCCTTCAGATTGTCGGGCACCGCAGTGCGTCCGCCCTTCAGCGCCCCAAGGATGATACATTATTGATACCCCATTGGACTACCGTTGCCGCGGTGGCCGCGATCCGCGGGCGCATCCTTTTTTAAGGGCAGTAAAGACTACGCACACACACTTTTACAGCGAAGCTGTTAGCTAGTTTTCCCAGGATTGTGTCCCCCGCAAAGAAATGAAGACACCGAACTCTGGACACCTACCGCCATCTATGAGCGACGGCGGCAGGCCACATATCTGGGTGCCGCCGTCGCTCATAGATGGCGGCAGCCTTTCCACTCTGGCTCGCCGACTTGCGGCCGGCCATTACTTTCCATTGTACAGCTCCGCTGGTCTTCCTTCTTCACCAGAGTGGAACGGCTGAAAGTTTTCTTCCTTTTTTTCTCTTCTGAATAGCCAGACAGTTACGGCGTTGCTACATCATACAAAATACCGGCAGAGTTGTCTGCAGACACGATGACAGAATTATCTGAGGATACGCCACAGGCGTGTTCGAAGCGACTTCATAGTAGAGTTCCTGTATAGGCTCCCTACGGGAGCCAGAGTTGCGCATTTGTTTTTCCCGCGCCGCCACGCCGCTATTCGCCGAGATCCATCACGTGAGGAGCAAGGCATCCGTTGGCTTGCAAGAAAGCCACCTTTACGGTCGCTCCGCCGACGTTTCTCTTGCCCCGACGTATGTTCCCCTGCTTTCCGCCTCCTTTTCCTCCTCTCCTGTTTTCCATGCGCGGCGGCGCGCGCGGCGCCGCTATTCGCCAAATTTAGTCACGTGAGGAGCAAAGCATCCAGCTCGTGCGGGAAAGCCGGCCCTACGGCCACTCGCCGAGGCTGAATGCGCAACTCTGCTACCGTAGGTAGCTATACAGGAACTCTACTTCATACATGCTTCGAAGATGTCTGTAATGCGACTTTCATACAGGGAAGAAACACGACTCAGACACTGTCCGCAGGCTGTCTTCTGTATCATGTGTTAGCAGTGTGACAGGGGCCTAAGGGTGTCCTCAAGCACATATAGGTGTCCGTCATCTGTGCTTATGATCGTGCACAAAAAAAAAAATTGCTTGAAAATTATTTTTTTTTTACAAGAAAAAGCAAATTAGCGCGTTACGTTTCGCAGACCTGCAAAGCATTGAAGCAATAGCTTTCTTTCTTTTCTTTTTTTTTTTGTATTAGGCAGCATTTGTGCCGTTTTGACGACTATAATGATTCTTACATATCGATACACCAACAAACAGCTCCGACGTCACACCGCTGCGCGCAGACTCTTCCCTTAACGCTAATCGAGTTTCCGCGCACGCGCACTGCTGCCTACACGTTTTGTGGGCAGACGCGGACTTGTTTCTAAACAGCATGTTGGTTAATGCGGAGCGCAAGTTTGTCCACTTCTTCCGCAATGACTAAAAAAAAAAAATAGCGGGTAGATTTTGAGGGATCTAGCATTGGGGTCTACATCCACTATCCTTCCAATCAAAGCCAATCAGAACTCGGAGAAATTCTGACGTCATCGCAACCCCCTGCGCAAAAAGCAGACGACTTGAGCGAAACAGGTGCGCGGTTCGAAATAAACTGCGCATCGCCGGAGTCTCGGCTCAAATGTAGCGCTAGAGGTCTGAACCAGAGGCCAAAGTTTTAGAACTAACCGTCCTCTCCTTGAAAAAGTTATGTGATGCTTTTGAAAGTTTCGGCGGGAAAATGGCGGTCGACGGAGTCTTCGAATGCATGGAGCTGAATGGCGCGTCGGTTACCGAAATGGAAACTTCCAGAAAATCGCTTTCAACTTCTGGCTAGGATAACCGTTTAGTTCTGAAACTTCGGCATCTGGTTCGAACCACCAGCGCTGCTACGATATAGGCCTGCTTCTCTCGTCCAGGGCGACGCGAGAGCGCCCGTAAGACGCGCCTGTGTAATGCTTGCATCGCTCATGAAGCGCCACCGCAGCGTTCGATCATGCACGACGAGCCACGGTCGTTTACGAGCGTGCGTCAGCGTCTGTTCACGCGCACCTGAAAGAACTAAAACAAAGGTTTAAATAAACAAAGGAAAAATGCAGCTCGCGCTGTCCTATGAAGATGTTGAGAGGGATTTTCTTTTTAACTTTTTTCTTGTCGTTTCCTTTTTTTCGAAAAATGTTATCCATCAATGAAATTCTGCTTGCTTAACGTCCGCGAGCAACGGGAAAAAGCGCGATGACGCGCAAACCGAAACGCACCCGAGAAATATTCGTATTTGCTCGCCAGGGGCGCTTCCAAAACTTGGACTACAGCGGCAGAGAATGAGCGTTCAGCAAATCGTCGTTCATTTTTGCGGCAAAATGACATTAGATCTTTTTTTTTTCGGGTAACCGGGGGGGGGGGGGGGGGGGGGAAGAGAGAAAGGGACACACTGTAGAGACCGTGCGCCCACGTAGCTTCCGCAATGTCTGTAAAAAAAAAAAATAATAAACGAAAAAAAAAAAAGATAATCTGTTAACTCAGTAGGCCACCAACATCATCCCGGTGCTATCAGCGCTAATATTGCACATCCGTTAGCGAACAGATTGGAAAGGCCATGACTGAAACAAAGGATTCTCTCCAAGTGGAACCCTTCGGAGGTGTTGACGCACCAAGTGCTATCTCAGTGGCCGGGGTCTTTTCCTTGAACGGGTCCGAGCGATTGCAGTTCGCTCGCGTCCCGGAAAAGCAGAAAGCGTTACCGCGTGGTTGAAAGCGTACACAAACAAGTCAGTCTGAGCAGCTTTCAGGGCATATATAGACTCGATGGATTGTTTCAATTCTGTAATCTGTAAAATTTAATCTTCTGATGAACTGCATTCTCCAAATTAAAAGCAGAGTCGCGCATTTACTTAAAAAAACATACAACAATTATTTTTAAGCCAGAAGACCAACGTGGGGTGATATGCCACGCCAGAGACTGTCAGTTGTCGACAGTCTAGAGTTTTCACTGATCATACAAATTACACTTTGTGGATTCTGAAAAATTTCTTGATGGCGATGCACACCGCCGAGGCTTTACTACTTCTAAGATATTCCCAGTTATTCGTCGTCATCGCACGTGACCTAGGAAAAGAGAATGAAAACCCCGAGCGGACAGTTCTCAAGCGGCAGTTTTAATGCGAAAGCATTAACCGTCCCATGCACCGAAGCCGGCGTTATCTGATGTCTGTAGCAGCGAAAAACGGCACCTAAATACCCATTGGCTGAGCGAAACGAAACGTAAATTCAGATTGGCCGAACGAAACGGCATGTAAATTCCGATTGGCTGCAAAGCGGACGCGCCTCAGCAAAATAAAACGAAAAGGAAAGCACAGTAACGAAGGTGCCTCGTCACAGAAGCCGGCGGGACGCTCAAGGTCAAAGCGGACGCGCCTTAGAAATAAAACACAAAGAAAAGCACAGCAACGCAGATGCATCGTCACGGAAGCCGTGGAGCCGGCGGGGGTGCCGCGCCTGCGCGGTGGGGGAGAGTGATGTCACCGCCGGAGCGCCGTGTGAAAAAAAGGAAGACGTGGCGCGCTGCTTGTAAAAATGCGCTGCGTGTAGAATCCTTTTCTACACGTAAGCTTAAGTGTCTTCGTTCAATTTTCTCCTCGCGGTTTTCCTGGGGAAAAAAGCGGGCTTTTTAGTCGCACGTGCGTGTTCTTCACAGTCGGGTCCAGATGGGTCGTGTTTACGCCGAAATCTAGGCATTCATAAATGGTTCTTTTCATCATGCCTAAGGACTCATAATTTTGCTCGCGAGGGCAGTCTTGCGCGGGGTAGACGGCCCTTGTTTGACGGAGCTGTAATCGTGCAGCCTCACTTCCCATAGTTACGTAACCTGCATTCAAGTATATCTTGGTGCAAAACGCCGCCGTCAGCTTTATAACGTTTACGGTCGTACTTGTAAACTCCTTTTATGAATGAGCGCATCACAGCGTGGAGTGCATGCTACTATAAGGAATTTACCGACAGGACAATAACGGCAGGGCTTCTCTTTCGAATGCTTGGCTTCCAGCACGCGCTGGTTGCCTTCCGTCGTGCTTCGACTGTTCCTTTCACGATAGGGAGTTCACGCTGGAGGCGAGACAGCCGAGGAACCTCCCTCTCGCTCTTATCCTAGAGAGACGAGAAAACTCTATTTTTACGCCGGTTCTGCAGTGGAACTTAGCACGCCATGAACATCACATGTTATGGCTGCTTCACGCATCCCCTTCTTCTTACGCTACGTTACGATTCAAAAACTTACGCCACAAGCCCTGGGACGCGCGTATCTGCGCATTGAGGGAGATAGCCTGGCACGCGACATTTGAGATACGGTTGTTTCGCTGACTTACACGTAACGTAAGAAAACGAAAGATAAGGGAGCTGTCTGGTACGCCTTTAGTGAGGTATGTAGGGGGTCCATGTCGGGGGTAAATTATTTGCTAGCAGAAAAATATATTTCGGGTCAGTTCTGAAAATGCTGGATTAACCACACCACATACACTTCGCAGCATTGTTACCGCAAACAAACTATCGTTTTTTTTTTTGTTTTTTTTTTTTAATTTGTGGTAATTTTTGATGCCCGCCAGTACAAGACTGGCTTGGCAAGAGTGCTTGAGCCCCCAGTACCCTTTCGAAGCAAAATGCGAAAAAGCACCGAAGTCGTGTTCGCGCTTACAGCGTCGTGCGCAGTACTGTTGATCTGCCACATCTTGACAAGTGCGGCCATACCTGGCGAGAGTTACCTTTAAAAGTGGTCCGCGGAAAAATCAGAAGGCACGTCATCTTCGCGAGGCAACACATTTTTGTTTGCTCCGATTTGCAAGGATCTTTTTCGCGTTCCATCAGACCGCGCGCTCGAGAAGCTTGCGCTGAAGGCGGGTCTAGCGGGGCAACTGAATTCGCTGACAACACCTTGCCGTTCTCACCTTTTTAGAGACTAACTAGAATTTAATGAAAATTAAGATGTCCTTTTTAACAATTTGCCCTGCCATCTTAGTCATTTTTAGATCTTACACTGTCACCCCGAGTGATTCGATTATCACATCTATGTGCTATTCGCCTTGTAGTTTTGTGGGACCGATTGCCAAAGTATCAGAGCCTGCTCCTGGTATCCGACGCCATTCGTCTCCAAGCATTTGCGGACTTCGTCGGCCGCCAATTTCTCATTGACAATTTCCCAAAATCGCTTATATACTTTTTTAACGAGAAAACGACAAGCTTTCAAACTTCGGCATCTGGACCGCACCGCTACATTTGGACGCAGTTTGAGCATTCGGCAATGCGTATTTTAATTTTGCAATTCTTTCTTTACAGACCTTTCATGTTTTTGCCAAACGGCGTAGGTTGAAGGGGCCTAAATTTTTATGGCAACATTACTCACAAATACCCCCCTCCCCCTTTACCGCACACACTTAAAAATAAAATTATTTAAAGGTTGTGTGATCCCAGCAAAATCGGTATATTTGAAAATAGGCCCATCTGAGGGACACTTTCTTTATAAATAGGGATGGGGAATTCATAGCGTAACCTACCCATTAACTGATTAATGCTTTAATCTTGATTAATATATTAACCGGTTAAACATTGAGAAGAAAAAAAATTATACCGCGTAGACAAGAGAGTACATTTGTATGAAGGTCAAACTTTAGGTGAAATATTGGCCTAGAATAAACTGTAGGGACGAGATTTCCAGCTCGAAACAAGGGCAGAAGGTGTCTCGGCCGCTTGAACGGCGTGCGGATTTTCGTTTAGCCCAGCACAGACTATTGTGAACAATCAAAGGAGCTGTTTGCAACTGCAACTGAAGCAATAATCTGCGAGTGTGTGTCTTTGAACTATCCCTGTAGCTTCACATCGAGGTTCATTTATAACGTAATTTGTTATGACCATCAAAGACGCGCCGATTTGAAAAAAAAAACCTTGAAAGCAATTTTTTTAACAGTCTGGTCGGGACACGCGTCAAAAAAATCGATTTTACGCAAAAAACAAACAAATATTTTTTTATAGCAATATTGACGGCGCTAGACGCGATTTAGTTGGTAGTCACATCCTTTCCGCTTGTTTTTTCTCTCGGCATTTCGGGCGCGTGGGAGAGAAGTGGAAAGAGCGCATGACCATTCCGTGACGTCATGGACTTTGCGCGCAGAATTACATATCTCTCGCCGTCAATACTGCTGCTTTTTTTTTTTCGCGTATATTTTTTACATTTGTGTTTTAACCAGATTGTTATTTTTTTTTTCAGGGGCTTTTTAAAGTTATATTGTCCCGAAGAGTGAGGCAAAAAAAAAATGCGGTGGCTTATTTGCTCGGCTATACCAGGATATACGTAGCGTGAGCTTATGCGCACAGAATGAGAGGCGCTATCACGCGGCTCCGGTGCAGCGTCAGACTTGGCTACTGCGCAACGGAGGCGCACAGCTGGGCACGCGGCAGCGCCAGTGCATCTGCCGCGGCTATGACGTCACTCCTCTAAAATGCGCAGACCGGCGAGGCGCGCGCGGTGGCGGCGGAGCACGCGGCGGCGGCGGCGGTTCCGGCGCGCCAGCTGTGCGCCGTGTGACGTCACTGCGCCTCGCGCTCGCGCAGCACGGCTCTTTGAAAGCCACGCGAAACTGCTCAACCTCGTCCAGTGTAGCTCACGCTACAAAAACTGTCCACGCGACTTCCGGAATCTCTGATGTCACAATCTTTCGGGCCTTTGGTTCCTGTTTCAATTTGTTTGTTTGTTGTCGGTAATTATGTTATTCAGTGATGTCTCGACACCATATCTGAAAACTTGGCGCGAAAGAAATGAATAAATAAATTGTTTCTGGGGGCAGCGTTGCTTCTTGCATAACAGCAAGCGCCGTTTGTGCGCAGGTGTGGAGGCTGCCGAGACGGCGTGCAAGCTGGCCCGGCGCTGGGGCTACGACGTCAAGGGCATCCCAGCCAACCAGGCTAAGATGGTGTTTGCGGCCGAGAACTTTTGGGGCCGCAGCATCGCGGCCATTTCCGCCTCCACGGACCCCAGTAGCTACAAGGGATTCGGGCCGTACCTGCCCGGCATCGAGATAGTGCCGTACGACGACCTGCCCGCGCTCGAGGCAAGCCGCACCTTTGAGAGTTTTGTCGCCTTGCCGTCAGGGGGACTCTATACTTTTAATGCGAAAGCATTAACTGCCCCATGGAGCGAGCCGACGTCATCAGCTACGAAGCCGCACCAAACGGCACCTAAACTCCTATCTCGAAGTGACGCCGCGGTCTGGTGGCTCCCAGCTGTGAAGCCACGCGAAAAGTCTAGTCAAACGGCACCCAGTTTCCCTGATCCCAAAGGAGCAGAGTGTAGCCGAAATCTGATGGGTTTCGGCTTCGGTCCAGTTGGCTGGCGTACATCGTAGTTTCAAGGAACGAGGCTCCCATTGACCGCTGCGCGTCAGTTTCAACGACCACCACCCCATGGCACTGCGTGTCAACATCGCCATCGCGCCGGTAACACGCAGCGTCTAAGGTCAGAACGGCGAGGAGAGCGCGTGCTCGGCCGTGGACGCAAATACGCCGCAGAGGAATAAAGAGAGTGGACGAACGACGTGCATGCTTTCGCAATCACAACTCAATGAGTGCTTAGGTGTACTTGAAGCCTTTTTTAAGAAAAGCGGTGATAAACGAATGACAAGGGGTCCTAAACAAATGAAAAAGGGGTGAGAAAGAACCAATGCTGACGCATTTCTATCGGATCAATCCCGTTGATCGTCGAGCAATTCTTTACATTAGTATATTATTAAGCGCGATAGCATATCTAGCATTTAACCGCAAGATCGTATGCATCCGGTTCGTCGTGATAACTAAATTTAGCGGTGATACAATAGTAGACGCTTTCCGAAATGTGAAATGATGCATACTTAGGTAGATTATGCACAGCCACCATTCATTGGTCTCATCGCTTCCGGCGTGAAGCCCGTGATTGTTTTAGAGTTTGCGCCAAGCACCGATGCAGCACTCGAGTAAAACGTGTTTAGACGCAAGTACAGCCCAACTGCTGAAGCAGCGCTCGTGTCTAATGCGTGCTCACAGTGCATGACCAACTAAAGGCGGCCGCGCGTGATCTATGCATAATTTAAAAATTTCACAAAGGGTCTATAGGCAACAAAATCGATGACAGCAGGCTAAGAAACGCGATCACGTTGCATCTCATCTGGTATCAGCCAGAAAGACTGCACATCAAACACGTAGAGATCAACTTCAAGGCTATGCTCTCTAACAGCGTGCCCTGGCGGACCCCAACGTATGCTCGTTCATGGTGGAACCCATCCAAGGCGAAGCCGGAGTGGTGGTGCCATCCGAGGGGTACCTCAAGGGTGTCCGCCGGCTCTGCACCCAGCACAGGGTGCTCTTCATAGCCGACGAGATCCAGACCGGCTTGGGCCGCACAGGAAAGTGAGCAAACTTGGAGTCAATCACTCTTAATTTTTTTTTTTATTAGCAAAATTATTTATATTTTGTCTCACTACAACCGTGCAGTACAGCCAAAGCTACAGGGGAAATGGTGTATCCGGACCTGTTCAAGAGGAGGGAAAGGAGGAACGGGGGAATCCCAGCTCTTCTCTCCCGTTCCTCCTTTCCCTCCTCTTGAACAGGTTGGCATACACTCTTTCCCTTGCAGCTTTGGCTGCACTGCAGTTTTAGTGAGATGGAGCATGGGGGCACACAATTAACGTTATAGGCAGGATTCCGTGGTTTCGGAGTTAATTTTTCGGGAAATTTGAAGGGCCTTTTTCAGAGTTTGTTTTCCGATAAAAGATCAATGTTTATCAGTTTATTTTTGTTATATAATCCAACCTCTAAAATTTGGAGTTCAACTGTACTGTTTTCAATCTCTTTTAAATTCCGCATAAAAAATTTAAAAAAGTCATGACACAAACATACTTTAAATTCACCAGAACTCACCTGTATCACATATTCACATACTTCAAATTCTTCAGAACTCACATGTATCACATATTTCTGCAGCTGCATTTGGCGTAGACGCTTTGCTCAATCATAACTATCCCATGACAAATATTGCAAAGACGTATTGCATCAGTAACAGTCAATATTTTTGAATAATTGAACTCCTGAACATAGTACGGCAGTTGCTGGGAAGCTTCAGCTGCCCTTCAAATTTGGGAGTTTTTTGTGCCAAACCAACGACGGACATGTGGCACTTCAGCTGCCCTTCCCTCCATTGAAATATGTGGGTTAATAGCTGTTGCTCTTATAAAGCACTGCCCCTCCTTCCTCTATGAAGCACACAAATAGTATGGTTCAACTAGAAACCTAAACCATGGCTTTTGTCATGACCCACAGGTATCACGTGTTGTCCTGAACGAATCTTGACGAGCTTTAAACCCCTTCTGTCAGTAGTCAGAAATTTCAAAGAAACGAAACTGGCCTTTCTTCAGAACTGCGGACCCTGTGCTCTTATAAAAATTATTTGTAAAATTCAGTTGTTTTGTTTGTTGTTGTTTTGTAAGGATCTTGAAATTCTGACGAAAATTTAGAGAGTGTTTTTCGGATTTATTTGAGAAAACTGAACCATATTTAGGGGGTGTTCTCACCAACGTCACTATGTTCCACCATTTTGTTGTTATGAACTGTCTGGTGGTTGCCATAGGTAAGTATTTCAAGGATTCATCCAACATCATCCAATCCGTATCGAACATAAAGGCAGAATGGTGCGACGTGAAAATGCCGTAGAAAACAATTTTGGAGTTAAAGTGCCAGACCAGCTGAGGCGGCGGTCTAAACTTGCCCCCAGTCCCTAAAGCTGAGTCGGAGTAGGTGTACTTTTTCCCGCAATTGGCTTCGATCAAATTCAGGGTGCCTGGACCGGGGTTCAAGTCCACCAACGGGGGATTTGTAGGCCGGTGCTTCACCTTACTGCTATTAAAATACTATAGTAAATGGTGGTCACTATTACATTCTAGGACACGGTTCAGGCCTGTGTCCTGGAACACTTTCTTCCACCAGAAAAGGGAGAGGGAGGGAAGGCAGGAAATTGCTATTGACAAGTAATATCAGTGTTATGAAAGTCCTCTTTTACACTTTGCATACTAGTAAGAAACCTATAGATATGAGTAAAACTACAGAAACAAACATTTAAGTGGCCGTATGCAATTTGCAAAGCTAGGCAACGGTGGGGACCCTGACGTGGCACCTTTTCTTTCTGCATCCATTTAGGCGGCTTTGCGTCCATCACGACGACGTGCGTCCGGACATTGTGACCTTAGGCAAGGCGTTGTCTGGCGGCGTCTATCCGGTGTCCGCCGTGCTGGCAGACGACGAAGTCATGCTGGTCATCAAGCCCGGCGAGCACGGCTCCACTTACGGCGGCAACCCCCTCGGCGCCAGGGTGGCAATCACCGCGCTTCGGGTGGGTGGTCACGCACGACACCGATCCATAGAAATGTGGAGAAGCTCCTTCTGAACTTGGGACGGGCCTTTTTCGAGTCACGAACTTCGTCTGGGGGGTACTATGCAAACTACAAACGAAGGGCAGCCCAATGCATTTCCGTCCATCGGAACACATTGGCATTGTGCCGTTGTATTGGTTTTCATTGCTTTTATGCCCCATACTTCCGACACTCAAAAGAATAATCGTCAAAGGCAAACTAGTAAATATGCGTGAACAGGTGAGGACAATGTTGGTCGTGCAAGACAGTACCCTGCGAAAATGGCGACGGCAGTAAGAAACGGTCAGGGGAGAGTGTGCATGCAAGCACAGAGGCTTACTGGTAAAGGGTTCATTCTGAAATCCGAAGAACTGGTGGCAAGATAACTAGAAGAGCCGGTAGGTATTTTTAGCATAGCGTTGCCGTACAGAGCAGCATTGCTACAGGAAGTTTGCACAGCACCTTCAAAACAAGCTCTTCGGCGCTACTATGGAGTGTTGCCACGCCCATAGTAGCCTACAGCAGCATGGTGCTAAAACCGCCTAATACACCTCTACGGTAGCCTCTGCGGGGCAGCATTGAAAACGTAGGTTGAAAGTTAAATTCTTTGGTCTCAAACAACAAATGCCACAATTTTCCGATTACGAAGAAAGCCATTTTGAAATCGGTTCCATAGAGGAGTGCGGAAGAGACGACAGTGGTGACAGAAGCCGAATGACATACTTTATGCAGGTTCTTGAGGAGGAAAAGATGGCCGAAAATGCTGAACGCCTGGGTCACATACTCAGGGCAGAGCTGAACAAGCTGCCCAAGGACCGGGTACGACTGGTGCGCGGGAAAGGACTCCTCAATGCCATCGTGGTTGCACCAGGTAATGGCACGGTTTTGTTTAATGAGCTAGCACAAGGGGAAAAGGTGTAGCCTACTGTATTTATTAGCTGGGACGGTGACAAAAGGTTGCACTAATCAGTGAAGAAAAAAAAAACAGCTTGCTAATTAACCAGTCATTTTGTCACAGAGCTGCCGCACTGCCAACTATGGTCTGTTGCAAGCTCAGGATCCTCCCACAAACCTCTCCACTTGCCACGATTGGCGGTTTCCTCCTCTCCAGCATTTGCCCCTAGAGATTCTTCTGCTACTCTTAACCTGCAACAAACTATAGGGGCAAAACACTTGTCAGTAGATGAGGCTGATAAGGAACTGGAAGTTTGTCAGCTGTTGGCCTTATTTAACTTAACCATTGGGCTCTAGCCAGATATAAGGCAACTTGGGCAGACGAATTCCCAAAACCATAGTGTCTTGAACATTTTCCACTGCTTCATACGAGGGTTGACGAGAAAGAAGCGCACTGGGAATCCAGCATCTGTCTGTTGCCATTTGTCCAGATCTGGATGCCTGGGAGCTGTGCCTTCAGCTGAAGGAGAAAGGACTGCTCGCCAAGCCGACCCACGGGGACAAGATTCGCCTGGCGCCACCCTTGGTTATCACGGAGGAAGAACTGCGCCAGTGCATTAACATCATCGGCGATGCCATCACCCAGTACAAGAGGCCATGACTGTTTCCCCCTTTATCCAACATCGTCTTCCAATTAAAAACAAACGACCTAAGCAATTCACGGTTGTGATGAATTTGGCGCTTTAGGCTGCCAAGCTTGTTATGCATCATTTGTCTCCGAGACAAAATGGCGGCATACCAGTTGGCATGCCTGCAACTCTAACGGATTGATGGAGATGTCAGTTCCAGTTGCATGGCTCACATATGTACCAGGAAGAAACTCATATCGGACATGTGACTATATGGTCACGCGACCCAAACATTTGAGAGTCGTATCTACAATTAATGCGAAGGAAGTCGGAAACTAAGAAATGAACAATATGAAATGGTGGCACATCACATGTGCTACTATTCTAAATAAGAGAGATCATTCAAACAAAAAGAGTACTTCTTTTCTCTCGCTTGTTTTGGATCTTTTTATGGAACATAAGTTTCTTCCTTGCGCTTTATGTTCCGGTTTAGCTAGAGCCATACATGTCTGGATTTACAGAGGAGCTGATATAAATAAGGTCAAAGTCCCACTCACTTTATAAACACTTTCGTTTTCTCTCTCGTTTTCTTGCCACTACTAAGATGGCGGACATAGTTCTCGTTGCGCTACTAGATGGCGCTCTGCATTTCGCATATGGTCTATTGCAGTTTGGATTGGATTAGATTTTCGTGGCACAAGAGCATCTAAGGCTTTAATGTGCCAGGTACATAAATTATTGCTGAAAAGGGTTAGGGAGAAGAAAGAGTTCTAGCAGCATATGATAGGATAAAATTATGAACATGAGGTGTGTATAAGTGTAAAAGGTATGAACATGAATTCAGGGACCTAAAATAGAATTACAGCCAGCGTAGAAGGCTGATTGCTTTGAGGAAATTAAAAACACAAGAGTGTGGAATAAGAGCTTCATCGCCAAGTAGAATCATGAGATGTAATGGGGTATGCTCCTTGTATAGCTGCGAAAAATGGTTATGGTGTTTTGGGCCATATGCATTACATTCAAGTAAAATATGATGTATGGTTCAAGGGTTATGGCAATCCTAACATTCCGGGGCATCTTCGCCATGCGAAAAAATTCCCGTGCGTTAGTCGCATATGGCCAATCCTTAGACGGCAGAGAACCACCTCGTAGAAACATCCGTGATGCCAGGCACTCTGCCATTCCTTCAGTAAGTGCTTCACAGCATGCAACTTGGTTACTTTGCGATCCCATTCATGTTGCCATTTCTGCATTATGGAGCGTTTCACCGTCTTGCGATAATCTTTTCGGGGGATTTCTCTTGTGTCCACAAAGTGTGTGACGGCAGAGCGAGCAGCCCGATTTGCCTCCTCAATACCCGGGATGCCAACGTGACTTGGCACCCAGCAAAAAATAATTTAATACCCATTTTTGATGGCTGAAATGATCTTATCTTGCAGCTGAGCAACTAAAGGGCTTGTGGCTAAGTTCCGTGAAATAAGGGCTTTTAATGCACTCAAAGAATCTGTGTACACTACAGAACAATGAAACGTTTTCTTAACTGCATAACCATGCAACTCTGCTGTTAAACTTTTGGCAGAAGGGTTGGTTAAGTATCTTTACATGACAAACAGATGGTCCAATTATTGCACAACCAACAAAAGAATCAGTTTTAGTGCCATCTGTGTAAATGTTGAAGTGGTGCTGGTACTGGCTTTGTATTTCAGCAAATTCTTGCCTCGGCACTTCATCCGGAGTATCTTTCTTTCCGTGCTTTGTCAAAGTGTAGTTACAGTGAATGAGAGAATAGTCCCAAGGAACTGCAGAGCTTACCGTAAAATACCAGCCCACTAAAAAATTTAGAGATAATCGCGAAAAAATGGGGGTGGGTGCTTGTACGGTCACCAATTTTACATAATATCAATGTACTGTGCATATTTTCTCAGATCTTACAAATTTCGGGATGGGCGCCAAGTGTGGAATGGGCGGATCACACTATTCTACGGTATGTACTTTGTCAGGGGGAATCGGGTCCAGGTCAAAGCACTCTGATGCCTTAGTATGCCTCAGAGCAAAAGGAGGGACAATACTTGGCTTACTGAAAAAATTCTCTCATACTTGATTTTTTTTTTCAACCTATAAAAGAGCTGGATGGAGAGGAACTGATCTTACTCAAAGTGAATACATAAACCCCAAAGCGAAACATCTTTTCTCTAGAGAATAATCATTAGCCTCTGCACAGAGGCTGGCAATTGGAGAGGTGCGGAAAGCACCAGTGGTTAGCTGCAGCGCCTTATTATGAATGGGATCCAACATCTTCAATGCTGAAGCTTTGGCTGAACCATGCACAAAACTGCCATAATCGAGTCGGGACCGAACTACTGAACAATAAATGTGCAGGAGACAGACTCAATCAGAACCCCAAGATTGATGGGACAACGCTTTGAGAATGCCGAGTGTTTTGAAACATTTTGACTTTAATTGATTAATGCGAGAAGAAACAAATGTTGCCTTTGAATCTAAGAGAAGAAATAGAAACTTGTGTTCACTTTTCACCATGATAGCAAGTCCATAGATGGTTAAGGAGGGTTCTTGAAAAATTCCTCGCTGATGAGAAAAGCATACACAGACAGTCTTTTCTGTAGAAAAATTAAAACCATTTGTATTAGCCCAGCTTGTCAAATTATTGATTGCCACTTGAACCCTCCTTTCACAGATGGAAAGATTACGTGATAATACTGAAACCTAGAGGTCATCAATGTAGATAAAATATTGAACTGAAAAGGGTATTGCACGGGCAATGGAGTTTATTTTTATAATAAAAAGAGTGATGCTAAGTACACCACCCCAGAAAACTCCATCCTCCTGCAAAAAAATCTCGAGAAAAGGTGGTACCCAGCTTAATCAGAAATAAATGACACCCTAGATAACTATTAATGGTGCCGAGCAAGGGCCCACGGATACCAATGTCAATTAGATCCTGCAGTACTCCAAATCGCCAGGCAGTATTGTATGTACACCTTCTCCAGATAAAAACACAGAAAGACAGTGCTGTTTGTTCACAAATGCCTTTCTCATGGCTGTCTTGAAATGAACCAAGTGATCTACAGTGGATCGTGAAGATAGAAAGCCGCACTGGTATCTGTCTAGAACAGGGGTGGCCAGGCTGACCTGGCCTAAGAGCCACAAGCAAAAGCACGAAAACTCCAAGAGCCGTGGGGGGGGGGGGGAAGGGGGGGTTGGAGGTGCAAACTTTTGTCCAGAGCAATAAACAAAACTCCAACTACTTTTAATCTATCCAAGTCAAAAGCAGTCCAACTGTATGTAAGGTAGCAGTAGCACAAGACCACCAAACTGCAACCTGTCTTCCGATTTAAAACGTGTTCCATTTCTCTTTTTGGGGAAGTGCTCGTGTGACCGGAAGGGAGGCGGGGTGGGGTGGGGTAGGGTGGGGTGGGGTAGGGGTAGGGTAGGGGAGGGAGTTGCAAGCCGCACTTTAACACGCGAAGCGCCACAGCTTGGACACCCCTGGTCTAGAATGTTATTTTCAAGATAACGCATAAGCATGCATAAGTTAATAATTCTTTCAAGAGTCTTTGATAACCAACTTGTCAAAGCTATAGGCCTGCAGCTAGATGCACATGAAGGATTATTTCCTGGCTTCAGGAAGGAAACCACGAAGGCAACCTTCCAAGCGAACGGAAAATGGCTTTCAGACCAGATTTTAATGAAAAGGCATAGAATAAGCTCAAGAGTAGAAGGATGAAGACGTTGGAGCATAATGTAATGGACTCCATCTGGACTGGGTGCAGTCTGTTTAGGACAGTGAAGAACCATTTCAAATTCATGCAATGTGAATGGGGCATTGTAGGGATCTTGAAAACCACCCGAAATGTTCACACCCTTAATTTCCATCTGTGCTTTCTGTCCAAGAAATGTAGGTGTGTTGTTTTTTGAGCTAGAAACAAGCTTGAAATACTCGCCAAGGATATCTCCCTGTTCCTCAAGGCTTTCAGGGCATACTCCATTTTTTTTTTTTTTTTGTCAAAAGAGGAACAGGAAAAGCATGATACGAGCTATTAATTTTATGAACTCGATCCCGTACCTCCTTTGGCATTGCCCGACTATTTACAGATGATGCATACTTGTCCCAGCAATGTCTCTTTGACTGCCTATAGCAAATTGTGAACATGCTTTCATTTTCTTGGACGAAATAACGTTACTTAATGTAGAATACCACCTAAATATGCCCCATGCTTTATTAAAGTGCAGCTCTTAGGCGCCGTTTCCATGTTTCGTGGCGTCAACGTAATTGCACGCGTTGCATTATGGGACGTCACAGACCTATTCGCCGATTCAATTGCCCACTAAATTTAGCGGAGAAAATGATGTCACACGACTTCGTGCCACGTCACCTACATGAACGAATTCAGTTTCTCTGCTAAATTTAGCGGGGAATTGAATTAATGTTGAGGTCACGTGGCGTTAATTTTCCAGCTAAAGTTAGAGGGGAAACTGTGGGAGGAGGGGAGTGCTACCAAGAAACTATAACCAAGTGTGGGCCTAGAAAGAGGTCAGTCACCACCCAGGGTTAGCCCTTGCCACCAAAGAAGATGAAATAAGACGGAAGAGGAGAAGAAGAAAGTTAAAGAAAGGAGAGGTGGAGAAAGGCGATTGACTGAATCATCCTGGTTAATCCAAGCCAGGACACCCGGCTACGAGAAGCAGAGGCCGAAGTGGTATATTGCCATGCCCGGGGGGCCCCGAAGTGTCCAAAACATACCCCGGGCTCAGCTCAACCACCAGGATCCCCTTTTCCCCAAACACAGATTAAGCCACGCACAGCCAGGCATGGGTGGGCGAACCTACATGGCCCGGGGTTCGTGGTGACACCACTCATCAAGCACCTACTAAAGTAGGTGCCCCCTGCATGTGGGTATGGGGCCCACGTGGTTGGGGTCTGCTGTGACGCCGCTCATTAAGCATCTAACACCGAGAAGTTTGGTGCTTGGTAAGTGGCATCACCACGTTAAGACAGCATAGTACAATCACATTTTTGAAGGCTCTTTACAGCTACTAGCATAAGCAAACCATGGTGTGTTTTTCCACAGATTTCATCAGTTTCTAGTTATGTTCAGAACATTATTCCCCAGCTTTTTTTGGCTTTGCTCAAAAAAAAAAATCAATGATGTACCATTTCAAAATAGTGTTTATTTGACGGTCACAATCTCCCATTCCCTGCTTGCCCCCGAGACTGCTGTCTTAAAACTAAACAAGGATCCAGAGACTGTGATGAACACACTCAGGAAATTGACTTGTATAGGGGCAGCTCTCCTGCAATTGGTCCAGTCCTACTTCCTAACAGACTCAAAGTTTTCCACAAACCAGTCTACTGTCTCTTCAATGGCTGCAACAAAACCAAATAAGTCAGTCAATTAAACATGAAACTGCTTAGAGGCAACAGTGTTGTCCGAATCACACTGGCAATGCCCAAACAAAATCAGCAACACCGATTTTCACTGGACAAGTTAACCCCTTAACTGGGCAGCGTGTCTTTAGACATGAGGCAATTTTGACACCACGGCTTGGGCGGCGCGTCTCAAGATGCGCCGCTCTTCAGTTGGTTTTGGGGAGCGAGTCTTTAAACGCTTTTTCTTTTTATTGCACGGGAAAGAGTGCCATCTATCCCCAAACATCAGAAACACTTTTGTTTTAGAAACCAATGCATAGATGGCAGCACAAAAAAAGCGACGAGATATGTGTGGAAACAAAAAATGTTGGCAAAATGGGGACAAAAAGAGTCCCCATTTCATCAATACCTTTTGGTCATGGAAGTCCCTAGTTAAAGGGTTAACATGCTAGATCCACTAACAGCATGCCAAACAGATAAGAAACAATAAGAAATGGTCTTCGCTAGTAGGATACATTCCATCAAATGTCGGTGTACCATTGGTGATTGTTTCCAAGAACTACTCACAAATAAATCATTTGGACTTCCATGATTGCTTCGGATAATGCACCAATATGGAGTACATGAAAGCGCACTGCAACTTCAGCTGTTAGTTTTAATCAAAATGCTCCCCCATGACAGCCACTTCTCCGAACGCACCGGCGCAAAGCAGTGAAGCACACCCTGGAACGTGCACCATTTCTACATCTGCTCATGGACCTAAGCACCCATCCTCCAGTTCGAGTTTTAGGGGCGAAGCTCCTTAGGGTCTAGCCTTGTTCGTCCGGCGTCCGTGCTCACATCGATCTAGCTGGTGCTCGTGAGCTCACATGCTCGTGTAGGGAAAAAAAAAATAATGAAAAAAAAATGTTTGCGCAGTCGACAGGATTTGAACCTTTGCGGGGAGACCCCAGTGGATTTCTAGTCCATCGCCTTAACCACTCGGCCACGACTGCGGGACGAGTAGGGGGCTCTGAGATGTGGTAGTAATTCTCAAGAGCTGGGGATGTCATGGATGAAACGTTGCAAGTGGTCGCTCAACGTCTATACAGGAGAGGGCGCTGCGGTCAAATGCGTATATAATCGCGTTAAACTTTGCATGCATTGGCTCAATGTTCATAGATGAGAGGGCGCTACGGTCAAATCCTCAAATGCATATATAACCACGTTCCATACCACACATTCTCTGACATGGATGAAAACGAACGAAAGGTTCGGCGTGCTGCGGCTCAGCGTCTACGCAGACAAGCACCACCAGAGCTTCGCCCCAATCAACATCATTCACCACGTAAAGATGCGGTCAATTTTTTTTTCTTTTTTTCAATATTATACAAAACTTCTGGGTAAGCGCTTGCTCAGTATATTACAGTAGATTTTAGAAATCTTAAACATTCCTTCAAGGTAGACGAGGTAAGTCTCATTTCCGTGGCTCCGACCGGTGTCACTCTCGTAAAACAAGCATGCAGCTCACAGTTGAAAATGATCTAGTGAGACCACCCCAAGCCTCACCTTTGGTAATGGGTGTGAACTTAAAATCTGGCAGGTACTTGCGCAACTTGGCATTGCTGGCAGTCTTCTTGAACTGGCCGTCTGCCTTGGAGGTGTCAAACTGGGGCGTTCCTTGTCAAGGCATCGAACCAAGTTGGAACTGAGCACAAACACTTGGACGAGTTTTTAAACATGCCAATGCTCAAGCCAGAAAACTGCACTCTTTGTGGAAAGGCTGCTTCACATGCTGGCATTTGAGTGTGATCGACTGCATTGCAGATGGTTTTGACGAGGGAAGACGTTGCTGTCGTCTATTGGGTTGCCCTGGAGCACTACCAACCTGTGCATGTTTCGCAAAACAAAATTGGGGTGTGTGTATGATTATACAGCCTAGAACTTTGTCCGCCTCTACGGGCGACTTGTTTCACGGCTGTAGATGAGCAATTTAGCCAGTGCAGCACAACCGCTAGCCTGGGGTCTTTATTGTGCACAACACAGTAGTGATACACGTCCACACGCTAGTACGGTGCTCATCCAGATCGGAAAGGGCAGGGGTGGCGATTGAATCCAGGATCTCCGGGTTCAACCCTTGCTCCACGTGCTCCGAGCTGGTGTGGGCCAGCCCACTCGGCCACCGATCCCCCCTCGCATGCTTCACATGTCGCTCTTTCACCGTGTGCTTGAAGTAATTTTGACAAGGCTACAAGCGACCATTTCTCATAAGGGGTGAAAATATTTGACCTCGCAAACACAGCAAAACCTTCTGTCCTGTTGCATGTGGATAGAAAGACCTCATTTTGCGGTATACCGCAGACAACTGGAGACTGCAAATTTCGAGCAAAAGAAGTTTGGCCTTGGTAACAACATGGGTTTTGGCGAGGGTTCCATCTGAAAAAAGTGTGGAGTCTCCAAAAGCGTATTCGACGCGGGTATGATGGCAGTACTACTACTACTATGCTCAAGGATACAATGACGTCCCCCTTGAAGTTGAAGGCGTCGGTGATGAGGGCTGCTGCATCCCTGATGCTAATCTCGTCCGCCTCGTCCACTAAAAAAAAAATGGTTAGAATGATTTGGCAGAAAGTAACAAACTTATGACTTGGGCAAAAAATTAGGAAGTCCAAATCTAACAAGTGATACGCATAACACAGGGCTAGTTGATGACAACAATAAACATGCACATTTGGTGTACAATGTAGTCCCAAGTTACATTAACTAGTTTTTAATTACAAATCACACCAACTAACCCAAATTCCCAAGTTGCTCCAGGATAAAGTTGCATCAGTGAGTGTCACATACAAGGTGCAGGAAAGCACCATCGTGAGTCGCAGATAAAACTAATTTTTTTGACAGAAGCATCGTAGCAGGATGTAACTTATGTTTATTTTGCGTTTGCCAAGAAATGAAGTCGAGCTGAAACCAGGGGACTAAGCGAAGAGACACTACTACGGAGATCCCGAGAGGGTAACTTCGGTAAAATTTTGACGTTGAGAAAAAAGCGACATTGTATCATATGAAAAGCCTACACAAAAAATATTATGATGCAGTTCCATCTAAAAGTTTATTAAACTTTGTTTAATAACGAAGTTGGAGCAGCTCCACGGTCACCAAAATCAACCCAATCTAGCACGCGACCCGCGGTGCGTGGAGCAGTGCAGTCAACGTCACTTTGTCGACACAGCCAACACTGCGCGGAACGTCAACCACTGGAAGAATTGTTTTGTTTGTTTCTTACTTCTAGAGGCACAAAGAGGGAGGATGAGAGAGAAAAAAAGAGTGGGGGGCTGCTCTAACTCGGCCGCTTTCTTTGATGACATAGCCGACGCCTCTGCAATATGTGATGTCCAATAGTTGACAAAAACCTTGCTTGCCTGCAGCAAGCAAGGTTTTAGTTTCGTTTTGTGATGTTCGTTTAAACGAGGTTCATAAGAAGACTATTTAAAAGGAAGCTGAAGCTGTTTTGTATTTGGAGAAACACGCTTAAATTGTTTTCATTTGACCTCCGAGATCTCGGAAAACTAAACTGCTTTTCAACTTAGTGTATGAAGGCTGCATAAAATAATTTTCAAAGTACCGCTGAAGGCCCTCTTTCCTGGAGCATGGCGTCACAAAAGGAGTTTTCAGAATCTCTGCTCTCGTGCATCTTCAGCACCTAACAAAGCTATGCACGCACACTCTTGCTATTTTCAAGAACAGCAAAAAACGACATCATGACTGGTACCAGTGCAAGGGAATATACCTGGCAAGCTTGCAATTGCAAGCGCAGCCCTCGAGTGACATGAGCTAGGAGGCCGAAAGATCCGCTTATGACTGAGCAGAAGATTTTCATATTTAATCGCGTTTAGTTACATCTTTGAAGAAATCAAACGAGATATTCAGATTTAAGGGATAAAACTACGCCAGAATCAACCTCTTTCTCATTTTTTTGAAAGAAGTGTTTTACCTTCACTTTAAGGGGAGACACTGCCATAACAAATATTTTTTTAACCACTAGTATAACTGGAATGAAATTTGCAGGGGGTATTGAGGGTCAGATAAGTGGGTACTGTGCAAACTTTGACCTCTTTAGAGTAATTTATTTAAAAGCTAGACATTTATGTATTAAGCTGTGGCACTCTTTCCTAAGGAATCTATGGTATACGAATTAAGCCAATAAGCCACAATTTTATTTCTTGAATATAAAGAAGGAGTGTAGGACTTCAGGCTATCTAGCTTATATTATTAAAATGTAAATATTTATAAAAGAAAACTACCCCTATAAATGAGGAGCATTTTCTTCGTACACCAATTTGTCAATACATAACTTTTTCTTCATCATGACTGACTTAATGCCAAATAAAGTGGATAGCCCGATTCCCCAAATAACTTCAGTTCATAAACGCCTGGAAAGGGGCATAGGAAGCACCTGTCCTGTTGTCAGTGTTTCTTCATTGTCCCCACTTGTTAGTGCTTTTTAACCTTTTGTTCAGTAATGGACCAACTAGCCCAAACCCAAGTTTTAATGTATAGGCATACTTTTAGCGTCGAGTGAAAGGTCCTGTTTGTGGGCCACTTGTAATACTATGCCATGTGCCTTCTGCTATGCACCTTCTGCTTTGCTTTTGTGACTTTAGAGTGCACATCCTTATCAAAGTGCTGCATCTGGTCACTCCTAGGCTCTCTCTATCTCAAAAAGATCTCCATCAAAGTCCTTAGGGCCCCAAATGAACTTGAGTAGTGCGAGTAGAACAGCCGTTTCTCCCGTTCTTTGAGACACAATGTTTGTCTTCAAACACTACCTCTAGTCCAGAGCAATCTATGACTTGTTTACATTCCGAGTCTTTATTTTGGCACATCTCTTGAGAAAGTTATGGCAGGGTAAGTGGTAGTACAGAGGAACCAACTTCTTTGCAATTTCCCCAAAGCAGGCAAGGCTGTGGCTTCCCCGTTGCTTCCAGTGATGCATGATGGTTGTGATGGCACCAGGAATCTTTTCCTTGAAGGCAGGCCTGATGCTGGGGTTTTTCATCAGTAGAGTAAGAGTGCAGGAGGATGCTAAACATGCCTTACTGCATTGCCTTAACTTTTGGGGCATTAATCTTCGGTGCACAAGCATGGTAGTTTGTCAACTCTTTCATGACCACATTGGTCGACTTGCACCATCTACTGAGCCTTTTTTATTTTATTTTCTTTCTTGAGAGTCTCCGATCAGGAGTTCATCCATACATCGAGCACAAAGAGGTTGGTGTTTGAAAACAGTCAATAATTGTTGGCTGGTAGCTCACCAGAACGGCTCCGGAATGCAACATACATTGCCGTCCCGTCGAAAATATTTTGTATCAACGTAAATGTTCAATATATGCTTTCGAAATTTGCTGAAAGGCTGTGTTATTAGTCTATAGAACGTAAAACAAAATTTGAAAAGTGTACTTTTTTTTACAAAGGTTTGATATTTATGCCAGTGTTCCCCCTTAACTTTTCAAAAAACGAATGACATAGAACCGTTTATTAGTTGTAGTTTTCACACGATAATCCCCCGTAATCCGAGAATTTTCAGAATTGACCGGAGGTGCTTTCAAAATGCCTCACGCCCCGCGACTATGCATTTAATGTTTCACTGAATAGGCGTGCTTTCAGTGTTTCAATAGTTGTAAAAATTACAGTGATACTGTCACGAATGACAAATGATGAGGCAGCGAGTGACTAGAGAAACTAAACGCTTAATGCGGTGAACTTGCGCCAAAACAAAATAAGAATGAATGGCGAATAATAGGCGTCGCAGGCATCGATGACAGCGTAACGGCAGGATTGAGCGCATGCAAAAGAGTGACCCCGGTTTGTCAAGTGGGGCTCCTTATGTACATGCGTGGACTTCTGGAACAATCAGCGTAGAACATTCAGACCTCGAATAAGCAACAGAATTCTCGAACACACCAGGACGCAACATTTGCAGAAATAACAAAAAGGTGCGTCCGTTCCTAGGCATCGAACCTCAGCCCTTTGTGTGGGAGCCAAGCACGATAACCATTCGGCCATGGGCGCGCTGCCTATACTCGGGCTAGCTGCGCACACGGACATATCCAAAAAGGTAGACCACCTAAAAGTGAGAGCAAATCAGGCGAAAAGCAAGACTGGGCTAATTTTCCCCGTGGTCAAGAAAAATTTTAATAATGCCATTTTCGTATTTTGTGATTTGCCAAACTTGTTTTCACGTTGAGGGGCAATGGAGCATAAATAACTGTCTTTCCCAATCAGGGAATGTTTGCCTATCTCCCGCCATAGCTATCTAACCCCATTTCGGCCAAGGTCACCATTGGCCAGGGCACTGCAAGACCTTTCCAGAAATTCTCACAGTGCTTCGCTCAGAACCCGCATGACCCCACGGTGCAGGAAATTGTGCGGGCATTTCGATGTCCGGCCGGTGCGGCAGCACGGACCGCACGGACGTGTTCAGCCTGAGTCGATTAGCACCTGCGCGTGTCCACAAGACGACTGCACTCGGCCTTGACCTTTTGAGATCCGAAGGTAAGTTGGCATTCTTCACATAAGCTTCGTTGCAAGTTGCCAATGATTGGTCCGTATCGCTTTATCGAGAACTTTTCAATGACGCACGTTTCATTGCGTCTCGTTTCACCGACAAGTACTATGGCGCCTGATCGGGCGTTGGAGCCATAGTCGTTCTAAAATCGAGTTCTGGTCTGTTCGTTGCCTTTGCTTCGAGTGACTTGTGGGAGCAACTCGCCGTCGACAGCACCAAACCGAGCCACAAATGTAGCATGTCCCTGAGAGCAAACATCAGATACCCGTAATTCCCAGAGGGAAGCCAGGGGGCGCATTTTTTTTCCAGAAAAGTATTTTACTATAAGTAAGTTATCTTTCAGTGGTCGGGCGCTTGTCCACGCAAGAACCCATTGCTCACAAGTGGCTGACAAGCACCATCCGTCGTTCAACCATATTCAGCAAGGTTCGGTTAGCACCGTCTGTCATTCTACGGCAACGATAAGTGTCGCAATCTTTCATCCCTTTTTTTAATATGCACATCAGCCGCACATCAACGAAATTTCGTTTTTTTTTAAGATGCTTAGAGATCGTAGATTGAGAAATTAACATAAAATGAGAATCTGTAGAAGCACTTTAGTGTCCTTTTAAAAGTTAAAATTTTAAGTGGAGCAAGGAATATATAGGTGCAAACAATGCGAGGATTTGTTTTTTTTCAACAACATGCAACAAATTTTGTGAATGAAAGGTTATGTTGATCATGATTTATGTGCGACACAAACTTCTTTGTGCACTAATAAAGCGACCACTTTTCAAGGTGTGCTGCATACGAGAATGTTTTACCTGTAGACTTCGCAGCAGGTGCAAACTATCTAAGGAAACGAAATTCTCGATTTATCTCGATTCTTCGGATAAAGTCGATGTACACGGAATGCGTTTCCGCGCCATTCTTCAAAACTTGTGGTGGACGTTGCAGCTTTTTTGTTTTTCTTTCGTCGTGGTGTACCATCTTATTCCGAACTCTGTACTTTTTCGTGCGATGGTGGCCACGTCTTGGATTTCATATTTCTTCCCACAAGCTGTTTGAACGCGAACACCAAGCGCGGATTCTGTACGTCAGCACTTGCATTCGGAGAGTTAGTAGAGACTATCGCGGGACAGACGAAGCCAGCTAGCTTTGCGTCTACCCACAAATTTCTTTTCTCGGGGATCCCAACCCATAAACACGTTCTGTGTTAAAAATATTTTCAGCTGAAATTTGCTCCTGCTGGCTACACACACCGGGTGTGGATTATAGTCCAGAAGGTATGGTACTCGTCGATAAGGCGGGAGAGTGCGTGCACGCACCTGAGAGGATGATTGGCTCGACCTCCTCGTAGTCCCTGAGCACCCAGACAATGAGCCGAGCCAGGTCCAGAGAGTAGATGAACTGGCGCAGCGGACTGCCGGTGCCCCAGACGTGCAACGGTGTGCCAAATGCTGAAAAATCACAAGCAATTCTTCGTTACACTCGTATACTGTAAACATCTTAATTTTCGCAAATACCTTATTTTTGCAACTCGAATAATACGGTAGACTCATTAGTTCAAACTCCAGAAAGCCATGAATTCTGTTTTAATTATCAGAAATTAATCTAAATATGATGCAACATAAAATTATGATTAGCTTAATGGATGGCTAGACATACGAAGCAGATATTTTATGATTTCCTGTACACAGACCTACTAATTATGAGCAGCTACGCCCCGCATGAAACATTGGTGAAATGTACAACAGTTTATGCACCGAGAAACTGAGGAAAAGGAGGATACGAAAGCATGCGGCGGCATCAGAATGGTAAGCTCTGGTTGGAATGATTCATGGGTAGAGCTAAAGCTAGCTGCCCTTGACTCGACCGCACTCGCCGAGCGCTTTAGACCGCAGAACGCCAGCACTTGGCTTTCGCATTCTGACGCGTTTTACGAGTCAGAAGTCAATCTTTGTTGATACCTCAGAACACAAGATGTAGTGCGAATCTAAATATGTCTTCTGAGGCTACCGTCTGGGCCAGCGGGACAGACATAGAAATGCTTTTGTCATCATGCATGGGAACAGCTTTCTGAAGTTCACTGATGTGCATGGACATTTCTTTCATGCTTTGAAAAGATAAACCTTCAAATTCCAATCAACTCATCCCTTGGCAAAGGTTTGTGTGTTGCGGCGAGAGACGGGGGCACATTTTTTGTTGCTTTAGTGTCGTGATGTAGGCGAGTTGGTTCATGGTAAACGGAAATAAACAGCGCGCAAAAAATACACAAGGACGAAAGGAAGGTGCAAACGACACAAGCGCTTGTGTCGTTCACACCTTCTTTTCGTCCTAGTGTATTTTTTGCGCGCTGTTTATTTCCGTTTCTGCTGCTCTTAAGTTTGAAGACTGAAGATAATGGTGATGATAATTCGCAGCTATTTGTTTGTATTGTTTGGTTTGGTTGCGAGCGCCGCCAAGTGCCCCACAGTAACTGTCGCTACCGGCAAATGCAATGGCCTGAGGAGCACAGCCAGCGCACGAAAAATCTCTGAGGCCAGCTCAGGTTTCTCCCCTAGCCCCGTTGACCACGCTTCTTACCGAGCACCGGTGCACTCCAGAGAAGTGACACCCACGGAAGCGAGCTCCGTGGGTGTTGCTTCTCGGATGTGTACCAGTCCTCGGAAAGAAGCACGCTTAAAGGGGCCGCGAGAACAAGAACTATGAATTACACGAAAACGCCGTTTGAACTAAGCGGCTTCTAGATACATTGAAAACATAGCGGGTCATCCCAAATCTTGACACATCTTTCAATTAACCAGAAGTTTGAAATATCCGAGTTTGAATTATGATTGCCTACTGTATTGCAAAAAGTAGACTCCTCGAATATATTACCCTGTGGTAATGAATACATAGCAAACCAGTCCCCATCGCTAAGTTTGGTGCCCGCAAAACACTTCCGAAACTCATATTTTGCAATATATTGTAAAGCTTGCAAAACTAAAGTGGGTTCCAGTATTCCCTTTACCAAAAGCTGCAAACTCCAATCACTGGATTATCTTTTGAAGTGTAGAATGATTTAGGACGAGGGTTTCATGATTTCGGTACATACCAATAAGTCTCAACAAGTGTAACCCTTGAGCCAGTTTATAAAAATCAAGAAAAACCAAAAAACCTGAACAACAGATGACTGGCCAAGCACAGAATGCACAATCAACCAGACTTTGGTTGAGCACTCGCATCCCACGCATGATCGGCACCTGGCTGGTCGTGCACAAGATGAATGACCGGTCAAGCACTGATTATGTGCTCAAATCCTGAACATGACAAACACCTACCAAAAAAATACTGGGCGTGCACTACGCACGTTCCAGTAAGTGTCCAACCCGCTACTTATGAATAGTTCCAAAGCTAGAAAAGGCATATTCAGCACCCACCCAGATTTTTGAGCCCACCCAGCAACCGAGATGCTCCTCCTCATCTGCAGCTTCTCTGAGCACCCTGGTGCAAAGCAGTGAAGCTTGCCCTACTGTGCGCTCCCTCTGCGTTTTTACTCTTGGGTCTAACGAGCGCAGATCCCCTCGTTTTCAAGACTGTCTCTAACTTTTTGGGTAGGCATTTGCTCAGTACCCTAAGACTTTACTTGTGTGTCCAGCAAGTGACCCATCAGTTGTTCGTCATGGACTTTGTACATCATTTACATAACCGGCGAGGTGCTGGTCATGTGTCTTGAAAGCAAAACGAACCAAAAAGTAAAACAGCTATGCGGGCAGAAACGGAGGGAGAGGAGAATACGAGAGTTTGCGGGGACATCAGAATGTCGAGCTCTGGTTAGAATGATTAGTGGGTAGACCTTCAGCTAGCTGCCCTTGTCTCCACGGCACTTGTCAAACCTTTTAGAACGTGAAACACAGGCGTTCGACAAGGCCAAACTCTCCCAGTATAGGGCTCTGCTGCAAGCGACCACATTGAATCGGCCAAACGCCGCTCGTCTATACGATCTCAACTGCGGGTGTGGCGACATATTGGTTCGGCCTCGGTTCCTCCTCCCAGACCACCCAGATTGTCCTCCGGACGTACAAGGGACATCCTCCAGACATCCACGAAGCTCACTTTTAGCCGTGTGGGTCTTGCTGATGAGTCCGGCTAAAACATGCCCGTCTTCCAGGTTGAAGTTGTCGTGCGGCCCAAAGACATTGGTGGGGATGACGGCCGTGAAGCGACAGCCATGCTGGGCGTGGTAGGCCCGGTTCTGGACATCTATCAGCCGCTTGGCATACGAGTAGCCAAAGTTGGATTCGTGGGGAGGACCGCTGTGTATCTGCAAGGCGAAGAGATCAAGACCGGGGTTTGCCCAACATCCGGTTTGACGATGTCGACAAGTCGTAGGCTTAACTGCGGTTTCCAGGTTTTTGGAAGACCCAATCAGAACTGGCGGAAAGCCTATTCATTTTTGGCTGAAAACGCTTCGGCAAGTGACTAACCAAAGACGAGACCAAAGTGTTCTTACTCTAAAAGCACCTACTACATGAAGTGAGTGGTGCTCAAAAGTAAAATGCCATGGAGGATCAATCAGAGTAAATCCCACAATGATTCATTTTGGATGTCTCTAATTTCCAAGCTTCTGCATATGGTGCTAATTTTTGTTTGTCCACTTCGGTGTTTTGTTCTTGCTTTGCGTTGGCTGTGCCAGATAATATACGTCCTTTTCATCTTTCTATACCAGTGTATAAAAAGTGTTGTCTATTTTATTGATTATGTATCCCTCCTGCTGGGACCCCCCCACCCAGGGGGTTTGCAGTATTATTAAATAAAGAAAGTAAATGAGCCACAGCATGAACAAAAAAAGCAACAGAGAAGATCCTGGAATACTTTTTGCAATGCAATCTGGCTCCTTCAAATCAATGTCTTTTTGTCAAATGGGATGCTCAGAGGATGAGTGCAGAACACAATACTATTGCATTACGTCGCTCTTTGAACCCTGTACATGCACTGGATTGTGGTGATGGCTCTCAATGCACTCCGAGAGAAAGCAGGTGTATTTGCAAAGGTCAACATAGCTTAAAGGACACAAGCAAAGGAAAAAAGACATTTTTTAAACAGACTGGATCAGAAAAGGTAGTCATAAAATCAATTTACAATGAAAAAGAAAATTTTTTTAGAGCTATATTTACTTTGCGAAACCAATATGTAAGTTTGCGCCTGCAGGCGCCTAGGGAAAGTGGCCGCTATTTATCACGTGACCGACCGCTATACATCACATGGTGCTTGCACTCTTTCGAAAGTTTCCTATGGTTTCTAAAAGTTGCTTATTTATCTTCATTTGAAGTGCAACAAAAAACAAAGATTAATAAGTAACTTTTAGAGCACAAAGGAAGCTCCTGAAAGAGCACAAGCATGACGTGACAGACCTGTGCACCGGTCAGAAATTGACAGTGGCAGCGCGCCGCAGCGTTCACTTCCAACAGCGGCGGCGTGGAGAAACGCATTGAATCGGCGGCGCACCACGCTCAGCGTGCGGCGCCAGCGCATAGGTCTACCACGTGCTCCCGCCGATGCCAACTACAAATCTGTTTTGCACCGTAAATATAGCTCTAAAAAATGTTTCTTGGGTGTAAATTCGCTTAATGACATTCTTTTCCAACTACGCTGTTTAAAAAAAAAAGTTTTTTCTTTTGCATGTATTTTTTAATATGTCAAGCCAAAGATACCCTTCACAATGCTTAGCAGCTACTATTCAAACATTGAGCTCATCCCCGAATGCATCCAATAGGAAGAGGCTCCATCATAAGGGATGGAGTCCCCTATGTTTTGGATCATCTGTATCTAGAGTTTTGGAATCATGCAAGTGTCAAGTATACATGTCAAGATGATGACAATAATAATAATAATAATATTTATTCCGGCTCAGGGTAGCAGGGTAGCTTCGGAGGGAGAGATCTGAAAAAGACACTCATTCAGTGATAGCCTACAATATGTTATAGTACCAGGAAACTTCGATCTTCTGAAATGCTACTTGGCGGTGAACCTTTATCCAGTGCTACGAAGAACCTAAAAACTCTGTGAACACTCACCATAGTTTCGTCGATGGGATAAGTGGTCTTGTCGGGAAAGATGCACGTCGATAGGCAGGAGACAACTTTCGTCACCCCGGTCTGGTAGCTTGTGTGCAGCACATTGTCGTTGATTTGCAGGTTGTTGCGCTGAAAACGATCCAGCCAATGAGCAGCCAACCTCAGCGAGCGCACACATGCTTCAAGACACCTTAAAGGGCCCATGAAACAAATTTGGGCTGGGATAAATCAATTTAGATTGGTATTCTACTAATAGCACCTCGTTGAGTGGGCAAAAAAAAAAAAAAAAGCCTGACATTCGGAGTGAAAATTTGAAAACACAGCGGACTATTTCGTACCTCCATCCTTTCGTAAGCTCTCTGCCTTTTCACTGTGATATATCCGTGGTCCCCAAAGCACGTCACCATGTCCAAACGCACGTCACATGACACCGGACCTTACTTATCCCCTTCACCCCTAAGCTGACACTGCAGTGGAAGCTACACGCTTGCAGGACCAATCAGCCGCCTCCCTTTCATCACCTCACCTCCTTCTCTGCGTGTGGGTATGCGCGAGAGCGTGATCATGTGGCAAAAGTGTGGCTGGCCCAACGAACACGTAGCTTCCACAGCACTGTCAGCTTCGGGGTGAACGGAGTGGGGAAAGCAACTTTTGTCTGAATTTTGAGCGACGGGCTAATCTTCTAGGGGGAGGATGGTCGTGTCCGGGTACACAAACAAGAGTCTGAGCAAGAGGGGACTCCCCTTTTTCCGTCTTGTTGAACTGTTTGGTACATTGTGCAATTTATGAGTTTAGAGGGAAAGCTAAACAGGAGAAAGTTGAAAACATGTTTCATGACTCCTTTAAAGGGGGGACGCAACGATTTCCGGACTTCGGTCAAACATTTGAGGAAGTTGCCCTGTGACACTTTTAAAGAAGAGAACAGAAAACCGATTTCGCCTGCGTGTCCTAGTTGTTGTGTAAAAAAAGAGATCAATATTGGCACTTCGGGACCGCTCCACTCACTCCCAGTCTTCAGGGTCACACCTGGTCCCCCTCCTAGTGATGTAATTCGGGGTGCCGTGTAGCTTCCTGTGTGCTATCTCGGAGGACACTTCCTTTCCCTCTCTCTGCTGACATTAGCGAGCGTTATGCTGCAGCTTAGAGCCGAGCGAGGTCACGTAATCTCCTCGCCGTAGTTCCTTGGGCTGCCACTAGCGGCTGCAGCTGGGGGAAAAAGATCAACGTTTGCTTTACGATTATGCAGCAGAATCGGAACATTTTTTAATACAGGAGTTGTTTTCTGTATCCTCCGGGACACAATAAACAACGTAAAAATGACGAGAGGCAAATTCTTTTAATCTTAAAATCGTTGCCTCCCCCCTTTAATGTTACTATCTCTGGAACGAAAGTTTCATCTTGTCACCTTGACAGGGAGCCATAAATCGACCCATTAAGACGGTAACAGTGAGCTGACCTGACCAAACCAGTCGTGTCACTTGCAACATCTAAGAAGGACAGAAAATAAGTTTGCATGTCAGGTTCCTTGCCTTCACTGAGGACAACATTCAGGTTACACTATGGTTGGACTTTCAACAGAAATTTTGGTGCTTTCTGCTTGCTTTTGTGTGCTACATTTTATGAAGAAATATCTACCTGAGAGCTTTGAAAAAACAAAACTTAAACACCTAAAAAAAAATTATCCGTACTAGAAGAGTTTGACATTGTTTTCAGTGTACCTTTAACGTCAGAGTTTTAGAAAGCAAGATGGAAAACAGCTCACCAAGAAGTCAAGGTTATACTTGAGGTTTCTGAAGAGGCCCCCCACCATGGCTGCTAAGTGGATCACATGCGTTGGCTTGTGCTTCGCAAACAAGGCTTCTGTCTCTTGCTTGTTCCTTCGCACACAAAGATGTACGAAACAAAAATGTGAGTCTAGTGTGACGGTGACCGTCGCCAAAGGGAATAAAGCACACAAGCTACCGCGCTTCGAATGCCGCCAGAGGATTTAAACCGCATGGAAACAAAAAAAACCTTGTGTCCTCCTCTTTGCAGCTATATAGATATTGCACATCCAAACTTTTCAAGCAAAAACAGAGTGAGTTTTTTCAAGGATGCAGAAACAATACAAAACCATATTACTTGAACAATAAAAACAACAAAAAATATTCTTCTTAACCGACATCTAAACACGCGAGCAACTTGCAGCGCTGTTTGTAGTTCAAACATGTCACACTTTTTTTTTACGCTGTTTGGCTTCACAGCCTTGTAGGTGACGTCCTCCACCAATTTTGTATCCTATGCATACGATGCTACTGGATTTAACCAATGTGCCAAACATGACTCTTACAGTTACGTCTCGATAACCAGTGCCCATTAATATGAATACTCCACTATACAGACAAATAATTTGAGAACAAACTGGGTAAATACAGAGGGTCCCCAAAAACATTTCACCGGGTTTTTCTCACCAGAAAAATAAACAATACATTGCTAAACGCTCAACTTCCGCACAAATGTGAACCACCAGTTTTAGAACTAGCTGCTATATTATTCAAAAGTTACAAGCGACCTTTTAAAAATTTCAAGGGTAAAATGAGGCCTGTCCTCGGTAACCGGCGCCATTATGCGAGGTATTCGAGGGCTTCGTAGGCCACCAATTTCCCATTGAAAATTTCTAAAAATAACCCATAACATCTTAATGCGATAATATTTTGTTTCAAAACTTTGGTGCCTGGTTCGGACCACTAGCGCTACATCTAGAAGGAGAATGAGCGATAGGAGATGCTACTTTATTTTCAAAATAAAAAATAGAATTTAATTTTTTTTGTTTGAGACGCCTGTATATGCATTTTGGTGTATGGTATATGCATTTTACTCACATAATGGTCAATATTTTGGAGGGGAGAACACCAGAATGCAAAACTCGGCAGGAGAAGAGACAGTACGATATCAGCAGGGAAGAAACTCACGTGAGGTCGGCGTCCTTGGACGAAACAAAGATCCACTTCTCGTCAGGCCGCTTCTCGTCGCACACCACTTTCTCGATGGCCTTGCCCACAAGGCCCGTGCCACCCGTCACCAGGATGACTTTCTCCGGTGGCGACGCCATGCTGCTCATCTGGAACGGGTTTGTTTGAAGTGCAGTCACTGGATTACCTGATGAGGCGGACGGAGTCGGCAACAAAGCATGCTTTATAGCCATTAGCATCCATCATTTCTTAGGGCGGCCGTAGAAGCCTGTTCATACACTAGTATTTGCTTTGGACCGAGTTCTTGCAGTCTCTTGTGACGAGAAAACAAGCTGTCACGCTTGCGCCATCTGTGAGACGGCCCTAAAACTGTTTTTTTGCTAGAGCGAAGGTCTTCTGGTATTTGCAAGAACAAATGGGCATAATATTTCAAGCTTAGAAAAAAAGATCTATGATGCGCAAAAACAAAAGGAAATATGCGAAAATTGTAAAGCGTGTTTACAGCTAGATGACAGATGGTGCCAGTGTGTCCTCTTGTTGCAAGTTATTTTAAAATGTTTTAGGCAGATGGTCGTCAGCAGTCGCAAGTGTGCGAACCAGCCTTTATTCTAGTAATATAAAAAAAAACTTGGGGGCCATTTAAGCTCCACCTGTAGGAGTGGAAAGTGATAGCGTTGTTAGGTCCCGTTCGCAAAGCCTTCTCATATAAACGCATGTGTGACGTCACGTGCGACACACGTCACTGCGTGCAGTGTATTATGAGAATTTTCGGTCCCACCGACGCAAGATTTTCTGCGACACGAGCTCCTCTACCAGGCACGTAGCCAGGGAGGGGGGCCCATGGGCACCCCCTTCCCAAATCTTCCATTTTGCTGGCTCCTCCTCTCCCTCATACAGCACTTTGTCATGGGCGGACCCCCCCTCCCCCTCCCCCCCCTCCCCCCGTAACAAAATCCTGGCTACATGCCTGTACTATACGCTATCGCGTTAAAGTGGAACATTGAGGGCAGGGGGTGGGAGCGAATTAGAGAGAAAAGCTCTGCTACATATACTATTTAGTTCAACGTAAAAGCTCACAATCTTCCAGAGTTCTTCATTGACAACATAAAAGTGCATTTTCCCATATTAAAGCAATATGGGAAAGAAATGTCAACCAAGGCGTGCCAAATTATATAGTTATACAAATAAAAAGTGGAAATAAAAGGGGAATAAAGTGTACTGCAAGATCGCTATAACCACAGAGAAGCGATATGGAAGACATAAGTGTGGACCATGTTTTTGAATTGTATGCGTGTGATGTAGAAATGTATGAGCGATGACTAGTAAAACATTCCTACAAATAGGCAAAAACTGATGTATTTTTGCGTTCCTTAATTAAGCATCAATAAATTTCTTAACGTCACGATGGAGAGTTTAATCTACAATAAATTTATCAATCAACCAATCAACTTACGTGCCGTAAAAAAAAGAAAAAAAAAAATATATATATATACAGGGTGACACAAGGAGACGCCAGGTTCTTTAAGTCGACCGGAAAATTCGGTTTCTTAACTTATCGCGCTACGACTTTGTGCAACGTTGCCCACAGATGGTGCATTTTTTTTGTAAAATTTGCAAAGAGTGATCTTACCTGAGGAAAAAGTAAAGAAAGAAAAAGGCTTAGCTCCTATGGAAACGCAGCGACGCCACCAATCTGCAAACGAAACGGCGCCGTTTCGCACGGGAGACAGGAGATAGCGCAACAAACGCCGCCAACGAACGAGCATACGGCGCCGAGAGCAGGCCTTTTTAGCAGACAATCTTTTCAACTCAAAAGCGGCGCGCGTTCCGGAGGCGGCGACAGTCGCAGAAACAAAAAAGACAGGCGCGGTAACAGCAAGGAACTGCAGTTCCTTGTCTGCTAAAGGGCCGGCTCTCGGCGTCGTCTGCTCGTTCGTTGGCAGCAGTTGGCGTGGCGACCGCTCGCGCCATCTTTTGTCTCACGTGCGAAATGGCACCGTGTTGTTTGCAGACCGCTGGCGTCGCTGCGTTTCCATAGAAGCTAAGCCTTTTTCTTTCTTCACTTTTTCCTCAGGTCAGTTCGCTCTATGCACCATCTGTGGGCAACACTGCACATAGTCGTAGCACGATAGGTTAAGAAACCGAATCTTTCGGCCGATTTAAAGAGCCTGGCGTCTCCTTGTATCACGTCTCCTTGTATCACCTTGTATATATATAGGGTGGTTCAAGTCACCAGGCTCGATCTAAAATGGACCGTAAAAATCGACGCCTGCACGTAGCCATGTAAACTTTTCGTCAAAAGTGTAATTCAAAGGTCGTTTTTTTCTTATAAAATTACATAGCGTAGTTCTCTTTCTGTAAAAAATAAGGCCAATGAACTTGCCAGGGTCAACGGCGGGCAGCAAAGCAGACGACAGGGGTCCAGTAGCGGGGTGTGTTTGGCATTTGTATTGATAGATGGCGCTACCTCCTTATCGCGACGGCTCGCGACCACCTTTTGTAATTAAAATGAATATAATCCGTTTGAAATGAACCTTCGGTTAAAAAATAAATGTGAACAATAAAAGCAAAACTTAAAGTAAAACAAAAACGCGTCTGCATAACGGCGGCGCTTTTGCTGCCAACGGATTTCGTCTGCGTGTCGTCTGCTATCTTTCACTGGTCGGCTGCGCCTTCAGACGCTACTCCCGACGCCATCTATCAATAGGAACGCCAAACACCCCGCAACTGGACTTGGTCGTCTCGGTCGCTGCCCGCCGTAGACCCTGGCAAGTTTCTTGGCCCTATTTTTTACTAAACGAGAACTACGCTTTGTAATTTTACAAGAAAAAACCGACCTGTGAAATACACCTTTGACGAAAAGTTCGGATTGCTACGTGCAAGCGTCAATTTTTACGGTCCATTTTAGATCGAGCCTGGCGACTTGAACCACCTTATATATATATATATATATATATATATATATATTGTTAGGACGAAAGAAGAAGCTGCATCTCGACCGGTGCCCGCAGACCTCGTGCAGCGCTAGAAGCTCGTGCTGTGCTCGGCCGTTGCTCGAACCGTTATATTGGTGACACCACTGTAATCGCTCCTCGCTCATTGTATAAACCCCATCTATTCATCAACAGTCTTCCAGGTTGGTGGAGGTCAGCGACACCCTACCTCTCGCACTTCCCGCCAAGACCTGGCGCACCGCAGAGGTCGTACCGCCCGACAACCCAACATGCCTGACGACGAGGGCAACGGAAGCCGGCCCCGTGCACCCACCGTAACCATCAAACACCGTCAGCGGGACCCTGAGTTATTCACTGGAAACGCCGAATCAGACGTCGAAGACTGGCTTAAAAGCTACGAACGGGTGAGCCAGCACAACGGATGGGACGATTCCTTTAAGTTGGCCAATGTCGTATTTTTTCTAAAGGATACCGCCCTTCGATGGTACGATAACCACGAAGAGGGAATAAATTCCTGGGACGGATTCAAGACATCTTTCGCTGACGCTTTCGGCCAGGCAGAACATCGCAAACAAAGGGCACAAGACCAATTGCTGCACCGATACCAATCGACAACCGAGTCATCCACAGCCTACATTGAGGATGTTCTTCGACTGTGCCACCGAGTGGATCCCCAGATGAGTGAAAATGACAAGATCCGTCACCTTTTCAAGGGCCTATCACAAGAACTTTTTTCCATCGTCGCCCCCAGATCTCCGAATACAGTGGCCGATCTTGTGTCAGAATGTCGAAAGTACGAGGAATTAGACAACGCGCGAATTCTTAAAAGACCTTTTGAGCGCCTCCCTGAGGTGTCTGCAGGAGTACACACCGACACCAGTCTGTCGAGCTTGATACGGACCATCATCCGCGAAGAGCTGCGTTTCTTTCTGGGCCAGCAGCGCCCAACGCCGCCCGTTTTGCAACCACCCGGTCAGACTCATGACATCGCGTCCACTGTCCGCGACGAACTCCGTGCTGTTCTTGAGCCCCTGGGCAACACTCCATCTGTCTATGTACCAGCAGCACCTCCCCCCACACCGTTATGCGCCTACCAAGCATTTACAGCCCCACCCACTGCCACACCCTGGCAGGCCCAACAGACGCGTCGCCGAGCGGATATCTGGAGAACCGACGATAACCGGCCAGTATGCTTTTACTGCCACACTCCTGGCCATATCCTCCGGTATTGCCGACGCCGCATGGGAGACACTAATCGCTCCCCTCCTCGGAATCAATACCAGGGTAACAACGGAGACAACAGTTACTCCTACAATACTTACCGCAGTGATAACCTCGCTTCCCGGCCTTTCGCAACACCCTACGGTCTCCCTTCCTCCAACATTAACGCCGGACGAGCCCCTTACGACCGCCGCTCTCCAAGCCCTGTCACGCCAGCTGAAGCCCGTCGTCGTCGTTCACCCTCGCCTTATCCTGCTCGTCGCCGTTCCATTTCGCCCTTCAATGACAACGCAGTGGCTTCCACCTCCCACCAGTCAAACTGAACACCGCAGCCTGCATCGACAATGGAGGTCAGGCTGCACCTGCACAATTTGTGGCAAATCCTCCGTTTGTAGGACCGACTAACATAACTGTGGAAATTGGACGGCAAACATTTCATGCTCTTATAGACACTGGCGCAGCCAAATCGTGTATTCCTGAACGCCTCCGACGACACTTGCGCAAAGTACTCACGCCCCCCTCCAGTGGACACTTGTTACGTATGGGTAATGGTGAATTGGTCCAGCCGCTCGGATACTGTTCCGCGTCAGTGAAGGTAGGCCGCAGTCGATATGTTATCCTGTTCACTGTACTCACAAGTTGCATCGCGGACGTCATCCTTGGATGGGATTTCTTATCTTCAACAGCCGCTTTCATTGATTGTGCAAATCGTGAAATTCATCTCAGCCCTTCAGAATACGGTAATGAACATTTTGAAGCACCACTAGCCGCTCTTCACAGTGAACATGATTTACTCCTACCGCCCCAGTCGGCAGTCGTTGCAACTCTCGTCGTCGCCAACCCAGTCGCAAGTACTGTCGCTCTCATCGAACCTCTCCACACCTGTCTAGAGAAAAAAGGAATTGTGATTCCTTATTCTCTCGCCACCATTGCCGACGATAAGTGTTACATATGGATAACCAACACTTCAACCCATCCTCAAATCCTCCCCCGAAGAACGCGCATTGCCACCCTCCAAGTGCATATTGAACACAGCTTGGCTGCACTTTCCACGACTGCCGCTCATACCAGACCGATTGCGGAAAATAACGTCACCGAAAAACTGGAGAGGATGATCGCCTCAACCGTCGTCCAAGCCGAACGTATCAAATTGCGCACTCTTCTTGCATCTTATAGCAGTGTCTTTGATTTCACTGACCAGGTATTAACCCGTACCACACTTGTGGAGCATCATATCGACACCGGTGACTCCCCGCCCCTCAGGAGCAGACCATACCGAACATCCGCTGCAGAACGAAGATTGATACAAAATCACATCACTGACATGCTGGACAAAGGTGTGATCGAGCCTTCCTCCAGTCCCTGGTCGTCGCCCGTCGTTCTAGTAAAAAAGAAGGATGGTACCTGGCGCTTTTGTGTCGACTATCGCCGCCTTAACAAAGTGACTCGAAAAGACGTATACCCACTTCCCCGGATAGATGATACGCTTGATACGCTACAAGGCTCGTCCTACTTTTCATCCATGGACCTCCGAAGTGGCTATTGGCAAGTTCCAGTTACTTCGGCTGATAGACCTAAAACAGCATTTATAACACCTGAAGGCCTTTACCACTTCAACGTGATGCCTTTCGGACTCTGTAATGCGCCTGCGACATTCGAGCGCATGATGGACGTTCTCCTTCGTGGCCTCTCTTGGAACATCTGCCTTTGTTACCTGGACGATATTGTTGTCTTTTCTTCAAACTTCGACGACCACCTATCTCGTCTCCGCACGGTCCTTGACTGCATTCGTGCTGCTGGGTTACAATTGAACTCAAAAAAATGTATTTTTGCCGCCAAGAAAATCAAAGTGCTCGGTCACCTGGTCAGCGCAGATGGAATACGCCCAGACCCAGACAAAACACGAGCTGTGTCCGACTTCCCGGTCCCACAAAATGTCAAGGACTTGAGAACATTTCTGGGCTTATGCACGTACTTCAGAAAATTTATTTCCGGATTTTCTCATATCGCTGAGCCGCTCAATCAGCTGCTACGCAGAGACGCATCTTTTGAATGGGGCCCACACCAGGAAACATCATTTGAAACACTCAAGACAGCATTAACGTCGGCTCCAGTCTTGGGCCACTTCGTCGAAGGTGCCGACACCGAGGTACGCACCGATGCCAGTGGCCACGGTATAGGCGCCGTTCTCGCTCAAAGCCACAATGGCCAGCAACGTGTCATTGCCTATGCTAGCCGAACACTTAACAAAAGCGAACGCAACTTTTCGACTACTGAAAAAGAATGCTTAGCCGTCATCTGGGCTGTCTCCAAGTTTCGTCCCTATTTGTATGGATCCCCATTTCGTATCGTGACTGACCACCACGCGCTTTGCTGGTTGGCTAGCCTCAAGGACCCCTCGGGACGTCTAGGTCGTTGGTCCTTAAAGCTTCAAGACTACCTTTTCACCGTCGTCTACAAGTCAGGGAAACGACACCTCGACGCTGACGGATTATCTCGATGTCCTCTTGCTGACGATACAACCATTTCTCTCCAGACACAAACCTCACATGCTACAGCAACTCTCGATAACATCGACATGGCTTCAGCGCAACTGTCTGACGATTCCTTGAAACCGCTGATTCATTACTTACAAGGCGTCGCAACATCCTGCACTCAACGCACTAAACGACGCGCCCGTCTATTTATTATTCAGAATAATGTCCTTTATAGACGCAACTACGAGCCCCAAGGACGACAATGGCTTCTTGTGGTTCCGCGACAATTACAGAAACAAATTATTCAAGCGAATCACGACGACCCAACAGCCGGTCACCTCGGCTTTGCTAAAACGTATTTCAGAATACGCTCTAGATTCTTCTGGACTGGCATGCACCGTACCATAAATAAGTATGTTCGCGCATGCCATTCATGCCAGACCAAGAAAAGACCCACAACAGCACCTCCTGGGCCTCTCCGACCCCTTTCTCCACCGAACCACCCATTCGAGCGCATTGGAATTGACTTTCTGGGGCCCTTCCCCCAGTCACAAGCCCAAAACCGATGGATCATCGTAGCTGTCGACTACTTAACACGCTACGCCGAAACCAAAGCGCTCCCGACCGCCACGGCCCTTCATGCAGCCGATTTCTTTCTCCATTCCATCCTTCTTCGACACGGCGCCCCTCAGTCCATCATCACAGACCGGGGAACGCCTTTTGTTGCAAACCTCCTCCATGAGGTTTGCCGCCTTGCAAACACTATTCATCACATCACGACCGCCTACCATCCCCAAACGAATGGCTTGGCAGAGCGATTTAATCATACTCTAGCCGATATGATGTCCATGTACATTACTGACGATCAGGACAACTGGGATTTTATTTTGCCCTACGTTACATACGCGTATAACACCAGCCGTCAAGCCACTACTGGTTACTCCCCTTATTATCTCCTATATGCTCGCGAGCCGTTATCTACCATTGACACATTGTTGCCATATATAGAAGATTCTTCTCTCGACAATTACGCCCAAGACGTTCTCTACCGTGCTGAAGAAGTCAGGCAGCTCTCACGTATTCGCACGCTTGCATCACAACAACAACAAATCATTCGTCACTCCGAGCACCACCCTCCAGTTTCATACAATATCGGTGCAGAGGTTCTTGTTTGGACACCGTCTCGCCAGCCCGGAAAATGTGAAAAGCTCCAAAAACAATTCCGAGGCCCTTTCCGTATTTCTCGCCAGCTGTCACCTACCAACTACGAAGTAACTGCGGTACTTCCGCCACGAGACAACCGCACAAAATCTACCGATATCGTCCACATCGCCCGCCTCAAACCCTACCACCGCCAAGCTCCCTAACCACAAGGGCCGGTGGACCGGCCCTCTTTGCAAGGGGAGGCACCTGTTAGGACGAAAGAAGAAGCTGCATCTCGACCGGTGCCCGCAGACCTCGTGCAGCGCTAGAAGCTCGTGCTGTGCTCGGCCGTTGCTCGAACCGTTATATTGGTGACACCACTGTAATCGCTCCTCGCTCATTGTATAAACCCCATCTATTCATCAACAGTCTTCCAATATATATATATATATATATATATACATACTATATATATATATATATTTTTTTTTTTAATTGACGGTCAGTTTATGCACAACAATCTTAGGTTTTCCTCGAAGTATGATGGTAAACCAAATAACTAACAAATACCAAATAATATGACAGCGCTCTAACGATTCCAACCATTACAAACGGCAGCAAAAAAAGGGCGGCAGCAGAAAAAAAAAAAAAAGAAAAAAAAAAAAAGGAAAAAGAGACACGTCCAAGGACGTACTCTGCGCGCGTATTCAGATTAACTCGGAAGATAGTGCTGTCAACGGGGCAATATTTGTAGCATCTAATCAACATGACAAATAGCCGCCAAATCATGCAGCGATCAGCAGGGCAAGATATGCGCAGTTTCTGCGCAATGTCAAGCTTCCCGAAAACGAAGCTTAGGAGAGTTACGATCGTTTAACCGTCAAAGCGTCCGGTAAACCAACCACCATTGAAAATATTGCACACATGTTAGCTACAACTGCTATGCGCAGCTGGACTCAAAAAGGTTGGCTTGCAAGACGCTGTTGCGCCAGGTTAAACGAAACGAAAACGGGCTAACGGCGTTTCAATTGCAGAAATTAGAACGTGCCACTTGCTCGGTCACCTCTAGAAATCGTAAGCGACTGTATGAAATACGAAGGTATGCAACAAATACTGCGTACTACTCACATAGTTCTTCGGCACGGACCTCACAGGCTCACACTCGCCAGACCCCGCGTTTAGAAACCGGCACAACCACTGATCTCTATGACAATTAGAGATCAGTGGGCACAACCAACGTGGCCCATACAATCGAAAAGGGCGCGTCGTAGACACCATTTTGTTTTGTACAGGGGGCGCCACATGAGGGCCCTTCGCCCTCGAACAGAACGGGTTTCGGCATAGAGTTATTATAATGTACGCTAGAGGTTCAACTGGCGCTAGTGTGCTGTTGCAAATTGAAGCAGGCAGCAAGCAGTCCGAAATTGACTTCCGGTATTGCATTTCTACGGAAAAAGCGAGTGCGTTTCCTCTCTGCGCTCCATTATAAGAGCAAATATCACGAATAAATCATACCTACTAGGCACATTGGAACATTTCCCAGACAAGCAGATAAAATAATTGGTCAGTTACGGCATTTTTATTTTAAAATCGTGGCATGAAAAACGGTGCTAAAACCGCTTCGTACATGTATTTATGTGCACTGTCGGACACTGTTAGCGCGAACACGTCGTCGGCGCTACGAAGGACATGGGGAAAACGAAGAGAGACGGCAAGAACTACGCAGTAACACTGGATAAGTAACTCTGCTTGCAGACGATCACAACAAATTGAAAGTCACGTAATATAGTCCGATTTGCAATAAATCAGTACTGCTTTATGCTTCCTGCTCGTGAATATGTGCGAACACGCTTGTTCTGTGTTCAAATCGATCATCACCCGCACGCTCCAAATCTTTGCAAATAGGGGGAAGCCATAGAACAGGCGCGCGATAAAAACTGCCCAACATAGGAAATAATAAGAAAACACAACTTTCGTAGCCCACATACTTTATTCTTTACGTTTCGAACGTTTTTTTAACCACTCGTAAAGATGCACGACGGGGTGATTTTCATATAGTGAGAGGGCAGGCATATTAGCAATATATAAGCACCAACGGAATGCTGGCGAACTTTGAGCACACTCTAGATTTCTTTCGATTGTTATTTTGCTTGGAATCGTCGCTCGTTTCTACATACCTGCCATGGAACAGAGGTTTGGGCCTGAGATATAGCGAAGTTTAACATCGTTCAGTGGTAAAGAAAAAATGCTGTAACTAAAGCAATTACACTTCCACAATATTAATAAAGGTACATACTATCCGGTACAACCGAAATGACAAAAATTATTCATGTTATTTTTCGGCGAAGAGACAAAATTCACGCGGGTTTTCCCATAGGAATACACAGGGAGGCTGGAAATCTAGACTGCATGCTGTCTGCTTCAATTTGCAACCGGAAGTCCCATAGACACTAGCGCCAGCTGAGCTTCTAGCGTTTATTGTAATAACTCTATGGGTTTCGGAAACAAAGAACCTTTCCCACAAGGGCGCTGCCATCTTGAATTGTCGTCACTTCCAGTATGGGCGACGAAAAAAAAGTGAAACGTTTCAACCTGTAACTAGTAAAAAAATAGAGGCGAACCAAAACGAGAATGTGTTACGGTTAGGCTTATATCCTAAATGTCTTCTATTGGCGTGGCAACGGCAAAGTAATGTTTTCGCCCATACTGGAAGTGACGTCAATTCAAGATGGCGGCGCCCTTGTGGAAAAGGTCTCGCAAAAACAAAGCAGAGAGCTCTGGCTGGCATTTCTGGATATCAAGGGTGCCTATGACAATGTGAACCAAAGGGACCTGTGGGACATAGTGGAGAGCTTATACACAGATGAAGGACTAACAGCAATATTAAGGAACATTTACAAAGATAATAAGGTGATTATAACATGGGAAGGAAAGGCGACGGGGAAAATAGAGATAAGACGAGGCCTTGGGCAGGGGTGCCCGTTATCGCCTTTGCTGTTTATGTTGTATCTGAGAGGATTGGAGGATAGACTAGAGAAGAGTGGGCTTGGATTCGACCTTTCGTACAGTAAGCTAGTGAGCTAGGCCAAAAAATTCAGCAATCCTTACCGGGATTGATGTATGCGGATGATATCGTACTAATGGCTAACAACAGGACAGAGTTGCAGGAATTAATGAGCATCTGTGGTAAAGAAGGAGAGGAATTAGATTTAGAATTCAGTAGTGAAAAGTCAGCAGTCATGATTTTTAACAATGATGAAGTTGAGAGGCTGAAAATACAGAATATTACAGTTGAGAGAGCTAGCTAGTAAATACAAGTATCTAGGAGTATGGATATGTGACGGTGCAGAATATCTCAGTGAGCATGAAAAGTATATAATAGGTAAGGGCAACAGAAATGCAGCTGTAATGAAAAATAGAGCACTTTGGAATTACAACAGGTATGAGGTGGTGTGAGAGATTTGGAAAGGGGTCATGGTCCCTGGCTTGACTTTTGGAAACGCAGTGCTATGCATGAAATCCGAAGTGCAGGCAAGACTAGAAATAAAACAGCGCGGAGTAAGTAGGCTGGCTTTGGGGGTACATTGCAAAACGCCAAACCAGGGAGTACAAGGAGACGATTATAATGCAATTAAATGCAAAGGTGCAAGCGAGCTGGACAGTAATGATGAAAATAATCCATGGGATAGGCGTCTTTTGAGAGCAGGGAAGCGGTGAGTAAGATCGAATTTGAGGATCGGTTGAGGCAAATGGATGGGGACCAATGGACTTCTTCCAAAACCGACGCGCCCCATCGCGGCGAAATACCACGCAGTGCACTCTGGGAACTAGTTGGCCACTCAGTTTCGGTTTCGACTGAGCAGCTTCATCTCATGCTATCACGCCGCGACCGAACGCGCTGCTTGCGTTTTCGATTATCTGACTTTTCACGAACTCACGTTTTCACGTTTTCACTCATTCTCGAGCGATACAAAACGAAGACCGGGGCGCTTTCCTTGGTTCCCGAAACACCGGATATTGTGCGTGCGTATGCGAACGAAGTCGTGGCTTAGTCACCTCACCCCACGAGTGCATCTTTGAGCTCAATGTCAGTAATCCCGTCTAGTACCAGTGAACTACAACTGAAATTTGTTCGTCTGGAGCCTTACACGCATTTTGTTTGCCAAACGTCCACTTCTCGTTACTTCATGCATGCCGGACGGGCATGCATGAACCCCAATGTGGTGCGCATAGGGGTTCATGCCCGTCTGACGCACTACCGGCGAACGGTGCGACATTCTTCCCACAAGTGCTTGACTTTTGCATTCTTAAAACGGCCTGTATGCACGAATTTGCCTATATGATTGCAGGATAACTTTACGCGCATACGCGATGTTGAATATTAGTGGAATGCAAGTGGGTGGGGACTTCACTTCGTGCAGTGCTGCGGGTCAGTACAGATAAGAGATAAGTGTGTTAAAATTGAGCTTTTCAATGGCACCTCCGAGTTTTACCTCGCGTACTCAGGCACATTAAGAAAAACAGTAATTGCAAAAAGTAATATTTCGTCTATGGACGCACGAAGCAAACTTCCTAATCAACAACACTAATGTAAAGGCGCGAGCTCGATGTATGCATACTTATTGGTTGCTACAGCTTGTTGATTCGTACACAAGCAAGATCCCCGAGCACCCGAGCTTCGCAGCGTTGAGACTCCCAGCACTGGCTCGTCCACATACCTCGATTGGAACGCTAACAAGAAGGCTCAAGTACAAAAATACAACAAGCATGTGTTAAGAAAAGCTATACGTCTCGGGATTGTGCTAAAGCTTCGAGGTATGACCATTTAGGTTAGTTTAGAGACCACAAATGACGCTCTCGGGACCAGAAAACAATCTCTTGTTGACGTGTCGATCGAAACCGAAACCATGCCACCCTCCTCCCTGGCCAACTAGTTCCCAGAGTGCAACGCGCGCCGTGTTGCATGCAGGGCTTTATGGAAGTGGTTTTCAGCTATTTTTATACATGAGGAGCATAGACACAAAGTGGAGACAGCGCACTAGGAAATTAAGAGGAGAGTTTTTAGCTGCGGAAGAGCAGGCCTCAGTTAAGAAGAAAGGCCACAGAAAGAGATCGGTGGCTAGACGAAATGCAGACAAAGACGGCTCTGGAAAGCTATAGATTCAACAAAACAGTGATTGCCAAAGAAAGCATTTATGACAATTCTAGGGGAGCTCATTGCTGTTTGAGGCGAGGACGGGTGTTCTGCGAACCAGAACATACCGAGCGAGGTACCAGGAAATGGATACAGTGTGCACTGCTTGTGGAGAGGAGGACGAGACGGCTGAGCACTTGATAATCAACTGTAAAGGGCTTCACCCTATGCCTACCGAAGACAACATAGATTTAATAAAGGCATTGGGTTTTATAGACAGTGAAGGGAGAGTGGATTTCAAGACTGTAGAGATTACCAAGCAAAGATTAAGTGAATGGTGGCAGAAAGCGAGGGAAAACTAGGTATATTCTTATTAACTGATGGCAAGGGGGTTTTATAGCCCCACTTTCTTTGCAGTGCGGAGTGAACATAAATTTCACAGTTAAATATTCTAAGCTTAAATGGTAAAACAAAATGGCTAGGTGGCATAGCTATCGCCCGATCCAAAGGGCTCAACCGCATTCATCCATCCATCGAAAGTCACGTTGGTCACGTGCCGATTGAAAACAAATCCCATCGACTGCACAATGGTGTAACAACCGACACCTCAGAACACGTGCAAATAGCGCGAGCGGGTAACTTGGACTTGTGCTCCCGCTGCACGAGGGCTCGAGCCGGGACGCGTTCGAACTATGGTCCTATGGCGCCCGGAACCAACCGCCAGGGTCGCGACATGCAGCAGCATGACACTACGATATCTGTGAGGTCATCTGTTGCCACTTCAGGAGCTGTTTTTAATATGTCGTTCAACCAACCAGAACAGCAAGCCATCCTGTTTCAGGGCCATTTTTGATGTATGGGCAGCATAGGACGCTAAACACACCAGTCGAAGACGCGCTCCAGGCACAATTCGAACCCAAGAAGCTCGCACAGCTTCCAACGGACGGCACACTTCTCTACTTTATAACACTTGTTTCTGATTTAAACAAGAATGTAAGCGTCATTTTTAAGAATAAAGACCCATATTTTCCAGTGGCGTCCCTGAACCCGCCAGGGCCTTAACTGGCAAACCTGCAATGAGTGCTTTCAGTGTTGAACCAAGGTGAAATGCCCCAAGTGTGTTCCTCTAAAAACCAAGATGCCTCTCCTTAGTTTATTACCAAATCATACTGCTAGTCTTACACGGCTATTTGCAAGCATGCATCCATGTTGCTCCCGTGAAAAAGATAGGCTCCGAAAAATTCTAGGATAAGCACTGATGATATCGCTCTCACAAGCTGTAAAAGCAACATAAATATAGTGTCCTCTCCCCCAAAAAGTGTACATTATTCCCTCCTTCAAAAAAAAAACAAAAAAAAAAACACACACAAACAAGCGACACACTGCCAGACATTTAGTCTTCGCTCAAATGTAAAGCTACCAGTCCAAACCAAGTGCTGAAGTTTTAGAACTCACCCTTACCCAATTACAAGGCTACACGATCGTCTGAAAATTTAAATGGGGCCCATTACCAGTAATTGGTACCAGTCAGCTCCACGTACCCAAAGGCACGGCCAACCATTTTCTCATTTAAATTTTCAGAAAATCACGGTTCTGAATCAGATAAAGCTTAGTTCTGAAACCTTGGCATCTGGTTGAAACGCCAGCACTACATTTGGGAAGAGAGTGACCGTTCGACGCTGCAGTTTATTTTTGCAGAAAAAAACAACCCTGTGAATTTTTTTGGGGGGGCATACACCCCATACTTTTGAGCTCAGAATTGTGGCACTGCTGCCAAGGAACCCACACAGACGAGGCCCCGAATGTATTGAAATGCGCATTTTTTATTACACTTTTTTTTTCTCAAGATGTGATGTACAAATAACCCTTTCTGGTGACATGATAGAGGCGTGATCGTAAACTACACGGAGGAATATCAGCTTCAATGTACAAATAACATACACCATCCTAGGTCCCCATTCTCCCCAGTGCCCCCACTCCTCCGTCACTGCCAGCCCCCGCCATTGTCTTGCTCCGGAGGAACACGTCCTTACATCTTAATTCACAGCCGCTCCACGAGCCGCAGACGGAGCTTGGCTCCTGCCAAATTACAATGACAGAACGAGCGAGCCGCGTCGGCACATACGTCGAATCGCGGGGCAGAAACGAGCTCCTGGACAATCGGAAACGAAAAACAATGAAGTGTGGAGAAAGCGTTGGCAAAGAAAAACTCCATTCACACAAACACACAAATCCATTGCAGCACCACTTAGAAACAAGGTCAATAACAAAACATTTCCAGATACGTACAATACACCGAGCGGGAAAAATAAAGTAGCCACGAAATTTCAATGTTAAGCGTAGGAACAACTAAAGCGTGAATCGGAATGCCCAATGCCCACAAGCCCCAGACTATGAGGAGACACACTCACAAGCTTTCATTTCTAAAAAAAAAAAACGTAAAAGAAAAAGGCAGTTATCCGCACAATTATGCCGGGTCACTCGTTAAAGGTGGCTTGTTTTAAAAAATTTCTTCCGAAGAAATCGAAGCGTCAATGCCAGGAAGTCTAACTATTCGGCAGCTTGCAAGTGGGGCCAGAGAGACCTCCTTGAAGGAGGGCGGAACTTCCCGAGAATCTTCCCCAGAAAAAGAGGACTTCACCGTGAATCCTTAGGACAGAAGAATCTCCCAAATTTACAACCGAGAAATGGGACTCCGAAGCCTTCACGGAAACCTCGTCAAAGAGACAGAGCCCAAAACTCTGGTCGCTGGGCAGAGCCTTTCCCCAAAAAGGTACAGTCTTCTGGAGCAAGGAGGCGGGGCATCTCACAAGGGGCACTGGGCTCGAGAACCGATCTGGGGAGGCGGAGCCAGTCACCGACCCTCCCAGACAAAAAGGGGCGGAACCCCGAGAACCTTCGGAAGAGTTGTCCCCACAGAAAAAAAAAGAGGGTGGACCTTTGTGGGGAAGGGGGCGGGGCCAGCACAGAGGACCGCCCTTTGAGGGGGTGGGGCCTCTCTTTCTCTCTCCCTCCCCTATTTGCGTGCCAACTGCTGAGCCTGGGGTGCATAGCCTCCTCCTGCAGCGTAGCCTTGCTGCTGGTAGTACTGGTTCCATTGTTGCTGGTTCTGGTAGTACTGGTTCCATTGCTGCTGGTACTGGTACTGCTGTGCAGTGTAGCCTCCCGCTGGCTGTTGCTGCGGAACTTGCGCCGGTTGGCCGTAGGCTGGGGCCGGCTGGCCGTACGCTGCCTGTTGAGGTTGCGGCTGCTGACCGTATGTCTGCGCCTGCTGCTGTGGGTACGCTGCGGAGACCGACAACAGGCCAGCGTGAGGTGCCACTCGATCGCTACTTTTCGGACCAACCAACATACATTGCACTTGCGAGGCCCTAACTTTCGTCACTTAGTTCTCCCTCAAATTCTGCAGTATGTATAATCCAGCACCTATATCATAGTTTACTGGTGTAGATACCACAGTTCTTCATGCCGCTCTGCAACAGAGAAGGCATGTGTCGGGGAGTCGTAGGGTATTGCAATAAAAAAAATAGGCAGGGGCCCTCCTTACCGAGACAACTAGAAAATAAATCTCATGGGACAACAAATTTGTTTCCAAAAGTACTGCCAGCATCTGGCATGCCACAATACCGTACTCCACCCCAAAACGCTCGGCAAAGCACCATGGAAGGGGATTGCTCGGGGCACAGAATTCTTAAACGCGCCTCTCCCGCTTGGGCACCGTTCAGACTGCCGGTGGTTATAGCTTCCAGAGACTCTCACCTTGTTGGCCGTACGAGGAGTACTGCTGGTTGTAGCCACCGTAACCGGCACCGTACGCCTGTCGGGAAGACAAATGACCTTCACAATTCTGTTTCACTGAAGGCAGCGAGCAACACCAATGGCAATTGGCCCTGGTAGGGGCTCAAACCACTCAATCAATTCCCAGGGCATCACTCTCAGCAGTAGGCTCTATAAACTTTAGACAAAGGCTACTTGGATGAGCACTCCAAGTTGGGGCAAGGTAAAGAGTGGAGGATATAGTTAAGGAGGCAGGCAGGCAGAATAGGAAAGCACGAAGTCTACGTCGGCCTTTAATGCATTGTTTGTTCTTGTTCTTATTATTTTATTAAAAAAAATACATCTTTGAAATGCAGAGTACTGTTTTTCTCAGACAACCTAATTTTGCAAGAACTCTGCATCAGCTACTTTGTGCTACATTGTCAAGGCAAGCGTGGCAGTGCACCAACTCTGACACAGCTAGTTAAACGAGTGCATGCGAATAAGACGCGAGATGAAGCCAGCAGTGTAGAAGCTACGCTAGCCTTGACAATGTGGCACAATACGGCCGACGCAGAGTATAGTTTACACGACGTACAAACTATGCAAAAGGTGCTTCTTATCGCATGGGTGGTTGGCAGCTGCCACTCACCGGCTGCTGTGGCTGCTGCGGTGCGGGGGGAGCCGGGGCGTGTCCCCCATGGGGGGGTCCACCCCTGCCCCCGTAGCCTCCTCCCCCATGCCTGGGGCCTCCTCCTCCTCCCCAGGACCCCCTGGGTGCAGGGGGAGGAGGTCCCCCCCCTCCTCATGTCGGGGGGCCCGCCCCTGGGGGGGCCTCCACGTCCCCCCATTGGAGGAGGGCCGCCACGGAACCCGCCGCGAAAGCCACCCCCGCCTCCCCCTCCTCCCATGCCGCCGCCACCGCCGCCGCCCCCTCGGAATGACGGGCCGAAATCTGCAAAGAGAAGAATCAAACAATGCCGGGTTTCTAAGGCAACCCTCGAGCAGTCTGGTCTCAAAGAACCCCTCAAAACAGGCGGGCGAAGTTTAGGCTGGCAACGACGCATAGACAGAATGGACGCGAATATGTTGACGTAACTCTGCGAAGCAACCGTAACTGAACCAAGATGAAGTCACTCCAAAACAACCACCATGCTACTGCTACCGACATTCGGTTGTAGAATCGACGGCACCTAGCAGCTAGAAGAGAAAGACGTGGCGACAAATTCTCTCGCCGGCCTTCTGGAGGGGGCCAAATCAGATATTGTAGCGTGAGTTACACTGGCCGAGGTTGAGCAGTTTCGCGTGGCTCGCATAATCAGCCGTGCTCCGTGCTGAGCAAGTGCAAGGAGCAGTGACGTCACACGGCGCACAACTGGCGCGCCGGAGCTGCCGCCACCGCGCGCGCCTCGCCCGTCTGTGCATTCCAGAGGAGCGACGTCATAGCTCCGGCAGACGCACTGGCGCCGCCATGTGCCCAGCTGTGCGTGTCCGTTGCAGAGTAGCCAAGCCTGATGCTGCACCGGAGCCGCTTGATAGCGCCTCTCATTGTGTGCCCATAAGCTCACACTACGTATATCCTGGCGTAGCCGAGCTAAGCACCGCAATTTTCTCATGGAGGTCTAAAGACAAAGCCGTGAAAGTAGGTGAAAAAAAAAAAAAAAAAAACCATGCAAAGAAAATTGCCAACAGTCGGTGAGAGGTTAAGAACTGGATCGAAGCTCTGCCTCGAGCACGCATTCATTGCCCTCCACCAACCTCTGGGCATGCACACGACAAAGTGTTGTCAAAGGTGGAAAGACCGCACTCAAGCACGCACCGGGTCCATAACCTGTCAATGATTACAGAAAGTACTTAAAGGACACATGCAAAGGAAAAAAACATTTTTTTTAAACGGCTTAGATGGAAAAAGGACGCTATAAAACGATTTTACAACGAAGAAAAAAAAAATTTAGAGCTATATTTACGGCGCAAAACGAATTTGTAGTTGGCGCCCGCGGGCACCGCGGAAAAGTGGTCTGTATTTATCACGTGACTGGTCTTTATTTATCACGTGGTGCTTGCGCTCTTTCGGAAGCTTCCTATGGCCTCTAAAAGTAACTTATTCATCTTTGTTTGAAGTATAACAAAAAACCAAGACGAATAAGTAACTTTTAGGGCCCAAAGGAAACTCCTGAAAAAGCGCAAGCAGACGTGATAGACCTGTGCGCCGGTCAGACGACGGCGGCGGCGCCCCGAAGCAGACGAACTTTTGCGGCGGCGGCGACGGCGGCTTGCAGAAACGCGTTGAAGCGGCGTTCGCACAACGCTCAGCGTGCGGCGGCGACGCAGCGCGGCGGCGCACGGGCCTACCACGTGACCAGCAGCGGCTCCCGCGAGCGCCAACTACAAATTCGTATTGCGCCGTAAATATAGCTCTAAAAATTTTGTTTCTTCGTTGTAAAATCGTTTTATGATATCCTTTTTCCATCTAAGCTGTCTAAAAAAAATGTTTTTTTCCTTTGCATGTGTCCTTTAATGGTAATACCCTGAGCAAGTGCCAGTACAAAATTCGGAGATAAACGTGTAAAGCAGGGGAGGTCAACAATATGCAAAGATATGTCCTTCTCGTATCTTGCGAATGTTATACAGTAAAACCTCGTTATAACAAAGTTGAAGGAGCGGTCGTAATTATTTTGTTATAACCATTAGTTTGCTATAGCCAATGTCCATTTCTTCCCACTATTAGTAAGCAAGGGGAATTATGATTGCTTTGTTATATCCATTAGTTTGTTATATCCCATTTTGTTATAACGAGGTTTTACTGTAAAACTGAGGGGTGGCAGCTCACAGCGGTATGGGCAGATGCTCAATAATTTACGGTAGGTCACCGGAAGAGCAACCAATTGCAACAACTGTGGCAACTCACTTCTCGGGGGCCCTCCCCTGAACCCGCCGCCGCCGGGTGGTCCTCCGCCTCTCGGGAAGGGCCGCCGCCGGTCAAAGCCTCCTGCAACACAATAAGGAAGAGGCAAAGCCAGGTTTGTACAAAACTCCTCGCAACTGTCTAGGGCTATACAAGGTCTTGCTGAAACGTCTACGAGACAACCTGGGCATCTCATCTATTAAGGGATGATGGGGTTGCGCGAATATTCAAATAACACGCTTCTCGATATTAGCTTTGAGTTGAACTGCAACGTTCAGATTTTTCCAAGTGTTGATCGCGGCGGGTCAGCCTCGTTGAGCCTACTTCTTACCGACTGTGAGTGTACTGTGGAAAAGCAACACCCGCGACTTCCGCAGGTGTTGCTCCTGCGCAGTGCACCGGCGTTCGGTAAGAAGCGCGCTCAATGGGGCTGACCCTCCGCAATCTACATTTTAGAGTGCCAATATAGCAGTCACGTGCATGGGTGTCTCACCTGGTGTACCTAAAAGGAAACGAAAGCTTTGTGAATGTTAATACCCGCATTTCATAAAGATTTTCAAACTTAAGCTGTGGCTAATATGCGAGTACACGAGTTAGGCAGAGTTGCCCGTTTATTTGCAATTCTGTCCGTAGCTCGTTGTAGCCGATTCGAAGCATCCACGAGATCTCCCGTGCTCGGAGGGACGGAAGCGACAGGGACATCAAAGTGCCGACAAGGGCCTCGGCTCGAGCGTCTACAAAGCGGGCAAGAGCATGCGGGCACGGGTCACTCACCCCCTCTGAAGGGCGGCCTGAAGCCCCCGCGTCCTCCATCCCCGAAGCCGCCCCTGTGGTTCTCGAAGCCGCCCCCCGACCGGAAGCGGGACTGGGGGGGCCCGCAGGCTGCCCTCCCCTCCTCGTTGTACTGCTTCACCAGCGGTATACTCTGCTCTCGCGACAGCTCCGTGAATGTCACCTCGTCAAACAGGTTTCCGGCCTCGGGCAGCGAGAAGTTGGCTGCAAGGAACAGCGCTAATTAGAACTCCCTCGAGAACATACCGCTCTGCTTGATGCATCGAATACTCTCGCGCACTGTAAGACTTTTTAGAAATGATTATTTTTAAAGTTTTCCATTAGAAAAGAGTGCTCGGCAACTTCGCAAAAGCAACCAAGAGATGTCTGCAACACACTGCACTTATGTTTAGCAAAGACAAAGACAATGGACATGCATGCCAAAAACTGCCAGCATTTAAAAAGTTGATTGAGGCTTTGAAAGGAACCATAGCTAACATTACACATCACAAAAATCTATTTTCGAGGTCTAGACTGCAATGCACACAGTGAAGTGCAGCGACGAAATAGCATCAAAACACTTAAAGGGGTTATGACACGTTAAAAATAAAATATGAGATAATTATACCGCTAGGACCCGTTGTATGTTCCTATAATCCTGCTAACTTTGTATTGAAAATGGCGCGATAGTTTCGTGGATAAATCGATTTATATGTGGGCCCCTCGGAAGGGCAGATCCGGGCGAGCTGGAGGTTGGCTACGTACGTAGCCAGCCTCCAGCGCGGTATCTCCTTGCACGCACTCACAGACTTGGCTCTCTTGGCGTCTCGAGCCTCGGCTTCCTTGTTTACCTTTCGCGTCTCGAGCATGCGGTCCGTGACGATTACGTCTACGACATCGCTCGCCTTGTCGAAGTGTTCGACATTGATCGCAGCAGCGATGAGAGTGGTTGCTATCAAGAGATCTTGGAAGCTGTTCGTTTTGACCGCGACCCGCTGGCGTCCAGCGCCAGCGACGACGAGTTAGTTACGAACTCGCTGTGGCCACCGTCGTGCGGGAATATCTCGCAGGCGCATGCAGGGTGGAAGGTCAACGGGCCGGGGGCGAGAGCGAGAATAGCTTGTGGGTTACCGAGTTGTGTGAGCGGTTTTAATCGTACCGAGACGAGGATAGCTTAGGTGATCATGGGGGCGCCTAGAGTGAGAGTATGTTCATGGTCACGTGGTTTATGGACACCATGGTGTGACTAACTTGGGCAGTGTTGCCTGGTCGCCAGATGAAAATGATAAAAATTAGTAAATTGAATATATCAATTGCCAGAGCTTTAAAAATCGCGTAACTTGGTGTATATACTAAGTAGCCTATGAGCATTCCATTTCAAGAATAATCTGTCCGTTTAATTTTGGTGTCATAACCCCTTTAACTCCTGTTGACTTATTTCCAACAGTATTCCAGAGTCATGAGCGCATTCTTTCTTCGCAAAAGAAGGTGTGGTGCAACGCAGCCCAGCTGTCTAACACAGGTCATCCATTACTTAGCTTTTCAGTAACGGCAACACTCGCTTACACACACACACAAAAGAGAAAGCAGTCTTCATGCACTTAAACTTCTTCAGCGATCACTCGAGAGACAATCCACTCGTGACAAAATCGCCAAAGACTGCTCGCACTGGTGGCACTTATGAACAAAACTCATCCACGACCCTACGTTGCTCACCCTTCATCTCGAGCACTGCAATGTCAGGCACATCCTTGCCCTCCTCCTTCTCCCTCTTGGCACACCTCCGCAGAAATTCCTCGTCCGTGGGGACTATCACCACCGCCCGACGCCTGAACCCTTCGAAGGGACGCATCTTCCTGCGCTGGGCCGACGGGTACACGTTCGTCTGCACCAAGGGGACGTTGGTCAGGACAACTCCACTTAGTACAAAACTCTCGCCATTCTCAATTTCCCAAGGGCTGCTACCGTTGCACGCTGCACCGGTTAGAACCACAAATGCACTCGGCTACCAAACGCGACCATAGTCGAGCAGCTGATCGTGGCATAAGCTAATCAACGCTTCGCACATTTCCTACCGCACAAGTTAGCTGCCCACACGTCGATACTCCTCCACACTAGCACCTGCAATGACTGCCTTATCGGCCGTTGGAAAAGAACTGGGAAAGCCAGGTAGCTAGTCCCAACTTGTGTTGCACTTCCTAGATACCACATGGTCCTGCAGACATCCCACAGATGTCCCACTAGGTCTATACGACAGGAGCCAAAGCACTGAGGCCGGCCGAGCCCACCTGGTCCAGAATGTAGTTGCGCGGTGTCTTGGAGGCCAGCTCCAGAAGCTTGTTGAGACACTTGGTGGACTTGTCAATGAGCACGTCCCACCTCCCGGAGTAATTGCGCTTCCTGGGCAGGCCCATCACCTTCATCTTGTCGATGATGTTGTTAGTGCCCAGGATATTGTATTTGCGCTCTGGCTGCTTCTGACTGTACTCGTTGGCCCACGTCGTCTTGCCACACCCCGGGAGACCGCACATCATTATCATCTGCACGAGGGAATCGCATGCTGCTGTCACGTCATGTGCCATTATATGCTTTGATTAAAGAAAAACAAAAACCAAAATTTTGAATCGTTTTGAAAAATTCTGCTTTTCAATTTGGGGGTTTCAGTTTTAGAAACTAATCATAAACTTACACTAAATTTGATAACCATACCGCAAATAGTTACGTTGATATAACACATTTTCAACACATTGTAAGACAGTAACAAGGTAAAGGAGTTCAATGTTTGAATGCATTTTTCTCAGTTCCACTTTTTGCTGCAAATTTCATACGAAGGAATCTATTCAAAGGTAAAAGTATTCTGACACTGTACCACAATCAAGATGTCTCCAAACTGAAATTTACTGGGGAATCGGGCCATTTATTTGAATTTGTTTTAAGTTGAAATCTTCATTAAGAAAAAACAATTTTCAAATAGTGACATAGGACAGACACGCATCTGATATTTTGAGGTAATAACTCTTCCTGAAATATTTAAATTTGAGTTTTTAGATAGCTTGAAGTCCCACATCCCCACTTTATATTCAAACAGTCAAAATGGTGCTTAATAACTTTGCATATCATAGATTTCTTAACGAAGAATGACACATATTATGCGGGTATGTAAAATTGACCTAGAGCTGAAAGTTGGGGCAATACACATACATCTGATGTTAAATCTCCCCAGCAAATTCTGTTTACTTGAGTAGTTCAGGAGTTAAATCTCTAACCAATGCCCCCCCTTAAAATGCACTGCGGAAGGTTGCAAATACCGACACTGGGAAGAAAAAGACAATGCGACATACAGAAAGCTATTTTTGTATGTCATGTTGTCTTTCCAACTCGGCGACATTATTTGTAATCATTCGTGGCACAGTTTAATCAAAGCATGAATAACCAACTAGCCCAATCCCAAGCCCTGTTAAACGTAATTACACGCACGACGACAAACACTGCAGCCGTAAGTCAAGCCAGAGAAAGAAAAGGCACGGATGCACGTCGGGCCTTCTGTAAAAAGCCGAGGACAGTTTTTAAACACATTGACCACACAGTAGCTGTAATCTTGACAGAGTAGCACTTTGTTTCACAGCATCAAATTGGCAGGGTAGCTACCTCCAAACCTCTGCATAAGACTGATTGTTTCAGCTTAATTCTTGCCTAATGTAAGGCCTAAAGCCACCAATAAGGACAATGAAGAGTTTTGAACGCAGGAAACTATTATTAAGGTCCCCCAGATGAGAACAAAAGCTCTATTATTATTTGAAGTACTTGTGAGGACATGATCCCTAATTGAAAGCTACCAAGTCAGAAAAATAATTAGTACAAGTCTCACAGACATGGATTGCTTAGCAATGGCTAAACTTAGCTACTGCATTAACAGACACCCTGAAAAGACAGACAAACAGATTCAGGAACATTCAGATCAGCACTACCTATCAGTCAGCATGAGTGTCGCATACAGTAAAACCTCGTTATAACAAAGTTGAGGGAGTGGTCGTAATTATTTCGTTATAACCATTAGTTTGTTATAGCCAATGTCCATTTCTTCCCACTATCAGCAAGCAAGGGAAATTATGATTGCTTTGTTATATCCCATTTTGTTATAACGAGGTTTTACTGTACCAAAAACCACAAACCAGTCTTAAAAGGCTGGTGTGCTTGTAAAATAACGACCATCCACCCATTCCGCAATAAGCCCCTACCCTTCAATTCTGGAACATTCGTAAGATACGTGAAGGATATACAATCTAAGCTAGTTACAACAGACCTGGTTACAACAGACATTTGGATATAACATACCGATTTGTGAAGTTTGGTTGGTTTTCCTCTACGTACCATTGACTCAAGTTCATATCTGCATACAACATATTCCTCTTACAACAGACCAAAATCTTGGTCAAAATCAAGGTCTGTTATAATGAGCTTAGACTGTATGTTTACATATTGTTGACCTAAGGAGCACCCATCCGCCAGTTTTACATAATTATCTCAAAATTTTGAGTGGCCACTTGCTCAAGATCTTTAACATATGTCACAAAACAAACTTTCACTAAAAAAAAATTTAAGGGAGATTTATTGGTGAATTTTTAAGGAATGCATTAGCATCACCTTTGAAAAACACCACACACATTCCCCTTTGGGAAATGCTAAGACCCCTTCACTTTTCCGTTTTTGCTTGCTCTTTTGCTTCACTTTTTTTTTTTTTTTTTTTTGCTGCTTCTTTTTAGCATTTTTACGGGGTCATTGCAAGCGTTTCTCAAAAGGGGACGTGTGTGGCGTTTCCTAAGGGTCATGCTAATGCATTCCCGAGCGACTTCTGCAGCACGCAGGCCCGCGTCTTCTTTGCCACTTGCTGCGTCTCATTTTGGCCAGCCGAGTTAAGGGCGATTCGCACACTTGCGTTGAGTCCGGCCGAGTGCGAGGGTTGCTACGGCAACAGCTGCGTCGTACCCGTTCTGTTGGAGCCGACGCAGCTGTTGCCATAGCAACCCTCGCACTCGGTCAGACCCACCACAAGAGTGTGGATCGCCTTTAGGCACTACTTCCGCTCCTGTCTCGATGACCCTCCTTGCACGCTTAGCAGTTGCATCCGTTGCCCGATGCTGCTGCCAGTTCAGGCCTGCCCCAGCATCCGCATGCGCATTGGCTTCCGACCCATGACGTCGCCTCCCTCTTCGCCTTTGACCTTCACTACTCTTCTCTCTATGCGGTGCACTTTCCCTTTCCACTGTTTTGTCTGCAGACGGACGCCGCCAGCTTTTCTTAGAAAAAGACTAACAGTCAGCCAAGATGTAGCGTTAGTGGTTCGAATCAGATGCTGAAATTATCTTTTTAAAAAATTATGTTATTTTTTTTAGTGATTTCATTGAAAAAATGGCATTTGACCAGTCCTCAAGTACACTCTGCTAAATGGTGCCAGTTATTGAGAAAGGGCCACATTGCCACATCGAAATTTAAAAAAAAAATCAACATAAGGCAATGGTTAGTTCTCAAACTTGGGCATCTGGTTCCAGGGTGTCTGGCAAATTATTATTTTAAAATTCCCCGACGTTTTCAGGTTTTTCCTGATAATGTCAGGCGAAATTAACTACCACTGTACATGCGGTTGAATATATAAGACCATTACAACACAAGGCATTGAGCAATTGAGCACTGCGAAGATCACCTAGCACGGGCTTAAAAAGGCACTGACACATCAAAATCATTTTTTTTTTATTATCCGAAACGATTGAAAACAATGCCAGGACATTACCCTCAAGATTTAAAATTTGGGAATTTAGTATTTGTGAAGTGAAAAAAGAATTTCCAAATGCCGAATTCGAAGTTCCCGCGTGATCCGCGCCGGTGCGTTGACGTCAAATGTTGCGGAGTCCTGAGTCCACTTTCTTTCACGACCCCCTGCTGTTGCCATGGCGACCCAAAGCGAGGAGGAAAGGAGCCAGCGCCGGCGGACCGGTTTTGAGCGGTGTCGCCTGTTTTTCGTGGGCGGATACAAATCCAGGAGACGGCACCACAACAATCTCCCGATTTTTGGTATTTCAAAAAGAAGGGCCGTAGTGCGTTCGCAATTGCGTTAAAAAACATGTTTTAGGATTGCCGTTATTAAATGTTAGAGATGTCGCCTACAAAGCTTCTAAATTTCATGATTCTTGACGTCACGAATAAAAAAAAGCGAGGAGGCGAGAGGCGGGAGATTCAAACGCCAAAAATAAAAAGGCGCGCGCAAAAATTTTTTTTTTCGCGATGCGTTCTTTGCGTGTCTATGACTACAACTTGCATCGTTCTAGACAATAAAAAAAAATACGACCTTTGAGGTGTTAGTGTCCCTTTAATCCAACTTGCATATTCCGAAATATTCGGGTTCGTCCAGTCCGCATTAAACAAGCACTTTCTTGCCGCCGACATCGTCAGTGAAGAGGCCACTTCCGCAAATGCTATAAAAACACAACGCTCAACCACACACGTCAATAACTGAATGGCAACATGGCCACACGGCCGCCAGATACACGCTTTCGGTTTAAGGCTTGGATGGGATTGGGGCTTGCGGCTTTCCCATTTGTTACTAAATCTAGTAGATCTAACTGGATCTAGCCTAGTGTCACGCTCTCAATCCAATCCAAGGCTTAACTGGATTTGTCGGCTGTTCTCTTTGCATCTGGTAGCACTCTACATCAAGTGAGCAGAGCCCGCGCTCCGCTCTAAGCAGAATTTATTGCTTATTTTTCTGCCCCCAAGTCCTCACGTCTTTGCTCAGGGCACTCGATGGCGTTTCCGGCTCATTTTCCCACACTGGGCTACTTTTCGACAATATCCCTGACAATTCCCTGATTTTTTCCGGTAATTAAATTGTCCCTGACAATTCCTGGCCGCTAGACGCCCTGTGGTACGTACCACTCGCGCTATGTTTGGACGGAAACTGAGCATTTGGCAACGAATCGTTCATTTTTTTGGTGAAAAAAAACAACATAAATTTTGGGGGTGAAACACTGCACTGTTAAGTTGAGGTCTTGAAATACTAGAATCGCGTTTTGGAATCGGCCCAAACTCCGAACAAGTCTCACAATAAAAACAATGCACTTTTTTTTTTTTCTTGGTTGATTTTGTTTTATGACAAGTGTTCTGTCCGAAACACTTTAAATAAATGCCGCTTTTAGGGGAGTCAGTGTCCCTCCAAGTAGCACCAAAACAGGAAGCAGACGGAGGTGAGCACCTACCTCGCAGTCCGCCTTCTTCTTTGGTCCCAGGACGCCCCTGAGCCGTTCGTCGAGGGGTACACAGCCCAGGAAGGAGTAGTCCTGGTAGGCTTTGGGAAGGGGGAACCACGGAGCCTCCTGCGCCAGGCACGGGCAGCTTCAGCCACACGCCACGCTCGTTCCAAAGGCAAACCTCTTTCTCGTCGTGACGCCTTGAGATGTGCAGACGGATGCACAAAGGTTTTGCTAGCGTTGCTTCTGCTTGGGCTAAAGGTTTGAATCTCCAAGTCGAGGTATCGCCTAACTTGTACAGTATAGACGCTGTCATTTCTAAATGCGTAGACTTCATCAATATTGGCCCGTATCGAGCAAAATTAAAGAGGTCTGTGTGGTCAGCCATTCACAAATATGTTTTTCCATTTTTGAACCGTGCTGCCATTCTCCAATCCAACCCCCCCCCCGAGACCCAGCGTCGAGTGGCATGTCCACTACCTGAGTGAATAATGAGTAACAGTATTCACACACTTTTCATGAGCACCTCATGACATTAACCCAAGACTGGAGTGCAAAAAAAAAAAAAAAAAGGAAATATGAAGTAAACTTTAAAGCTCGGCTCGCCTACCGACTGTATTTTCGTTAAACAAGTTTGGGCAAAGTGCAACGAAACATCTCCACGACCCGTCTCGCAAAGGACCGACCACACCAGCCATGTTCGCAATGCTACTGCTGCTGTGACGCATCAAAGGAAATCTAGTCTTTATGCACTACGACAACTTTCCTGCAGCTGTTTGCGTGCAGATTGCACGAGCCGTCGTGTGCGCTGCCTTCTGCCTCCCATGAACTGAAGTATGGCGGCGGCTTGGCGAGATCGGTCAACTTCAAATAAAGCTTCGTATAACCAGGCGCCACAGTAACTGCGACGCAAGCACAGTCCTCACGCCATCGTTCCTTCGACAGACTCACGGAGAGGAGAAAAAAATCCCCGGGAGACGCACCTTCTGTCCAAAGTTGACCTCGAAGGAGCAGTTCTTGGACAACACGTGGGGGAAGAGGGCCTGCCCGCCAAGGGTGGCCTTGGCCACCTCAAAGGCCACCCCAAGGTCCTTGCCGTTCTTGGCAAAGCTCATCCGCACAGGGTCGGAATCCATGTCCTGCACGGAGGAGGCAACGAGGGGTGACGCTGGGGTCCAATTCGAGTGGGTCGATTTTCCCTGCCATCGCGGGGTTGTTGCAACACGAATTGCTGGGGATGACACGGATCTAAACCAACGATTCGGTTGTGGCAACCTGCCAATGCTCGAGGCAGGATGAATCGACAACTAATAGACATTTCACCACAAAATCCTACAGAGCAACTTTGGGGGTCGCCACTCCTCAAGTACAAAATGAGTAATCGGATGAGAGTCCTTGCCAAACGCAGATGCAGTGCTCGTTCTCGTTACAAGCTCCGTCAAGTTTGTGTCGAACTATGATGCAGTCTTTATGTGTAATACACGCTCGAAGCGTGCGCCTAAACAATGGTGGACTCGAATAGTTGGCTCAGCAGCCACTAGATGGCGCACACTTTTGAAAAGTGTCTATTACTGACGCAATGTTTTCAGAGCATATCCAACTCGGCTCGGGTTAACTGTTTGATCATTTCTGCAGGCTCACGGTTTTGGGGAGGTGGTTAGTATTTGCAATGCCACCCAGACACGACAACATGTCACATCAAAAGTCTGAACCCAAAAAGTGCAAAATAAGGGCATTTTTGATGCAAATGATTAAGCAATAGGCTCGTTCAATTTACCTGCTCCAGTGCAGAAAAGTATGGGGCAATATACTTCCTGCACTTGTAAATCGAATAGGGCGTATGCCCCACCAAGTGAGGCACATTGCTGGTGCACTTCTGGCACAGAAGGGAATATTACTTCATCCACTAAAGTGAAGCTCTGTCATAACAGCCTCGCTTTACTTTTACGACGCTTGACGAGGGAAGGGGCTGCCTAGACGAGAAATTTGCGATGTACGGGCGAGGACACGAGCGAACAAAAGGACATTGATAAGGGAGAGCCACTCACGACTAGTCCCAAGATGACGTCCCCTTCGCCAAAGGGCTCCCCATAGTCCTTGAACTTGCAGTCCACCGAGATCTTGCCCGTGCCGCCGTAGCCGTACGACAAAGGCTCCTCGCCTGCGTGCAGGCGAGAGAGGCGGCAACTGAAATCGAACTCGTACAATGCCCTCCTCAAAGACTGCTTCGCTGATAACAAGACTTTGTGTGGCACATGCATAGTCACTGACACAACAATGCTATTGGTCGGAATCGTTTTGGAGCACCTTTCGGAGCTTAGGCGCACATTTCGTCCTCCTTCGTACCAGTACGAATATGTTAAAATTTGTGCGTTGTTTTATCAAACTAAAAGGCAGTGTCTGCTCTGCTTTCCCACCTCTGCGCAACCTTTTGTTAGCACCAATCGCACGGCAATTCCCTCACACACAGAACTGCTTATTAGTGTGAAGCAACATCTAACACAGCAAGATGATGATTGATGAAGGGCAGTAGGAACTGCAGTGCAATAAGAAACTACCCCAAATTGATGTTTTATTCAAACTCCAAAGGTTCTGACAAAACCGCAATTTTGAACTAGGTAAAAGATTCAGTATTTACTCACAAACACCAATAGGAACATCTAAAGGGCCGTTTACACTCCTGCGACCTCTTACAACTGGGTTTTTTAAAACCTCTTACAACGAGAGGACACACTGGCACCATCTATAGGGTAGCAGTGTAAACTTGGCGGTCCAGCATATTTTCTATTTCGCTCGCGCATTATCCTTTCCTTCTTGGCTCGAAAAACTTGAGTCAACGTCATAAACGAGCCTTTCTTATAGGTATTACGCATTGTTAGGCAGTTCCAGGGCCACCGCATAGATGGCGCCAGAATGGCAGGGTGTTCCCTCGCCCTAAGAAATTTCAAGAAGTTTTAACAGATTTCGTCTCTCTCGGTCGTACTCAATTGCAAGAGTGTGAACAGGCCTTTATATGTAGAACTTCTTAATAACAAAAATTTATATGTGAATGATAAATATGCCTTCTTAAGAACAATCCTAAAGAACTTGCCAAGATGGTTCCCTAACTTCCATACACTGCTCCAGCAAATTTAGTCTTAATTTACCGTATTCATTATGCCATCGAACAGGTGTGAACGAGAGGACGTAAAAGTAAACCTATAGAGCAGTTCATTCAAATATTTTAGCAGTACTCAAGTACCTTCGCTAAACCTAGAATTTGAAAGAAGCATTGTCAGAATATTGCCACCCATTATATGTATATAATAGCTGCAGCCTTATTAAAAAAAATTTGTCACGTCATACTCTGAAAGAGTGCTTTCAACTTAACACGCAGGTGCGCTGCGGCAAAACAAAACACGCTAAATCGCATTGCTGATTTGGCGGTTGCCGCTTTGCCGCAGTGCACCACTGTGTGGTGGGAAGCGCACTCAACAAAGCTAGCTAACCTGTTGGAACAGGGCAAACGTACGAGAATTAGGAAACTTCCGAGTGACATCAGTGTTTGATAAAGTAATCAAATAGTGCATTATTTGACGCAATAATCAAAAAGTTCCGAAAATTAGCATGAGCCTCCTAAAACAATCTGGCCCTGTACCTAGCTATAATAATTGCAGTATCAATTAAGCGATATTGACTTTATGCGCAACATTAGTAAAAAAAAAAAAAAAATCAAGGAGGGTAAGAACTTTGGCACAAATGGTATAGCAACCACGTCACCGACGACGGGTTGAGCAAAGCAGGACCTTGCTTTGCGATTCTTTTTTTGATATTCTCACCGGCCAATTCCACTATCCCAATGGCCGTGGAACGCTAATAGGATTTTTGTGACTATTCGGGCCCTGCATTTTTCGAGCCGCCGGCGACCATAGCACTGCAACACAAGTCTTATGTGGCACGAGCCAGGACAGAAACAGCACCATGCAACACAATGTAACCGAGACAACCTAATCAACTGCCTTCTTTCTTCCCTCATTCCACTCACACGCTAGTTCAACGGGCATCATCGACTGCCACGAGTCCGACGACAGCTGCGGGCGCCAACTGCGATCAGATAGCCGAACAGGGACGGTGCGACCTAATGCTCTGCTCCAAGCAAAGTCCGGTGCCATGTGATTAATCCAAATACTAGAGTGGAAACGCGTTGAAAGATAGCCTTTTAATGCCGACTCAAACCTCGAAACACATTTCTTTCCACTGCATTTGCTGTGAAGAGTTTCCCGCTACCTCCCCCCAGAAATCCAAACAGCATGCGCTCTTACTTACGCTTGCATTCGGTGATGACGCCACAAATACTGCTGTCTCAATCTCTACCGCTCCTAGCGGTGCAGCGCCTGTTACTGCTGCCGTGCAACTCCGGCCTACTACGACGGAGCAGACTCTCGCTGGCTCGACGACGGGGTTACATAAATAGAATACCACACTCTCCACACACGCCAAGACAACAGACTGAGATTGGCGGAGCATGGCCTTCACACCTTTTGACGTGGCTCAAGCGCGCGTGCCAGGTGCATGGGGCGTTGAAGCGGAGGCAGGAGAAGCAGAGCACGTCTCTGCCATTCCCACCTCCTCGGCGGATGTAACATGTCGCACTTCTACGCTGCCGATTCGACGTCGACCATGGGACAGAAATCCCGAAAGGAAGGGGCACAAGGAGGTGTGGCACTCACCCAGCTGCATGCTGGTGCTCTCCGTGGAGAAGCCCACCCGCGCCACATTGGGGGTTGGCTCGTCTGACGGCAGGTGGGACACGTCCTGGTACTTGGTGATCTGCACCCAGTCGGACACGCCCACTTAAGCACACAAGACACCTCGATGCATCGAATGCGGCAAGGACGGGACCACCCATTCTCCGTAATTAGCCTCGCGGAGTAAATGAATTCTTTCTGGATTTCCAGGGGCTCTGAAACCATGACCTAAGCACTCATCTCCATTTTTACCACGGTGGCGGTAACCCGCAAGCAAATGCTGCAAAACCGAGATTCGCACGATGTGTGCTCTCAAGAAATGCAATTACTACTACCAGATTATAACATTCTCAAAGTGAAATAGATTTCTTAAAAAAAGAAAAAAAAAAAAAAAACATCTTTACGTGGTGAATGATGTTGTCATTCACCATGTGGAGTTGTCATTCACCACGTGTCTGTGTAGACGCTGAGCCGCAGCATGCCGAGCCTTTCGTTCGTTTTCATCCATGTCACACTGCAGTGAAATGCGTATATAACCACGTTCCATACCACACATTCTCTTTCCGACATGGATGAAAACGAACGAAAGGCTCGGCATGCTGCGGCTCAGCGTCTACGCAGACAAGCACCACCAGAGCTTCGCCCCAATCAACATCATTCACCACGTGGTTGCTTTTTTTTTTTTCCCCCTACACGAGGACGGAAGCACGTGCTTGTGAGCGCGTGAGCTCTCGAGCAGAAGCACGTGCACCCGACGGCGGACGGACATGGCTAGCCCCTAAGGAGCTCCGCCCCTAAAAACTATTTGTTATACCAGCACCTCAAATGCTTGTACAAGTACAGTCAAACCCGTTTATAACGAACAGCAGGAGACGCTACGATCAGTTCGATATAGCAAAAACCATTTACAACAAACTTCCAAGATGCGTTCGTTCTAAGGCAAAAGCTTCTCTTTCTTTCTCATCTCTTTGCTTCTACCTTGTAACAAAATGCTGGAAAGTTTTTTTTTTTTTTTCATGCGTGCAGTTCCTTCTTTCAGCTGACCTCCCCTTTCTGAATCGCTTCTCTTCCCTCAATCTTGTTTGTGGCTTCTGAATTGGTTCTCTTCCCTCAATCTTGTTAGTGGCTTCAGCTTTTGGAATTCTCTTTGTTTCCTTTTTTTTTGAAGGGGGGAGGGAGGGGGACAGGCTAGAAAACGATTGTTTTGCACGTTTTTGGAAGCCTTCCAGGGGGGGGGGGGGGGGGGGGGTTTGATTTAGCCAATATGTTGTTCGTTATAAAAAGCACTTTCACATGCGTTTTATTTAAATTTTCCGCCAGTTCGACATCGACAATAATTCGCCGCACGTATTTTCGTTCTCAACGGGTTTCACTGTATTACGAGTCCGGTTCAATTTGGCTTCCCACATGCATAACTTTGTGATTCTACTCTTTACAGCACAGAAGCTCTACTGCGTTCAATAGACCCTTTACAACGCCCCCCTCGAGAAACAATGGCAGCAGCTATTTCTTGAGCACGAAGCGTGCAATTGGATCCGTGTCCAACACATGCTCGGGGCACGTGACCGAACGATGGCAGACTCAGATAATTTGCGCAGCAACCACTAGGTGGCGCCCACTTTTGAAAAGGGTCTATCCAAAGTACAAATCCAAATATTAGAATACTGAAAACACTCGCGCACGCGGTTACAAACTCGTAAACAAGAAACCGCGGTGGAAAGCCTCGGGATATCCCCGAGCCTCTTGTTGATTGGAACGGTTCCATTCCTCCAGTTTCCCTTCGGAGACTGCTTAACCGCACGCACCTTGGTCTCGTAGCAGACCTTGCCCTTGAGCACTCCGTAGGTGGCCCTGGCGCCCGCCCACATGAGGCCGAAGCCCAGCTGGGAGAAGGGTTCGGCGGAGAAGCGCTCCTTGCCTATGCTCAGGTTCAGGTCCGAGTTGTCTGCACGCAAGGGGAAGCGCGTCTCAGGGACGATCTTACAACTGCGGCACCGTCGGCGGCGACAAATGACGCCGAACCACCAAACCATCCTTCGGTTTCGTAAAAAGAAATGCCAATACATCATTTCAAGGCACATCAGCGAGGGTATCTGGTAACATGCCGAAGAAACGCCCAACCTTGCAATCCTGGGGGCCTAAAACTAGGACCCAACACGTTTTTGCCTTGAGGCGTCGGTCGGTGTGAGAGTACCTTTCGCTGGAGTTTCTATGGCTTTTGTATGGCTCACCACATGTTCGCCAAAATGCCAGATTTGAGCCAAAGATAGAATCATTGCTGAAACAGTTTTATTTCCGTTATGAGCGCTGAGAATGGAGGGGGGGGGGGGGGGGGGGTTGTTATGCTGTTTACAAGTCCTATATAACCAAAACCAACTAGCCCAACTTTCTACTTTATTAGAGTCCTCAATCCCCCTATAATTTTTCTCAAAAAATTTAAAGCATGAAATTTTAGCGCCGCGTTTCATTCCTAGGTTGGACCACGGCACTTTCAAAAGCTGGCAAGAGCGCCGAAGGAGCACGAAGGACCACTTCGGCTCGTGTTGTCCGCGACAGCATGTCTCCGCAATTTGAGGTCACAAGCCAGTCGAATCTAGAAAACTCACAGGTGTCGAGGGCGACCACCGTCTCATCAAAGGTGTCCTCTGCGAATTCTTCCACCTTCACCGGATAGCTCTGTTGGGCCCTGGGAAAACAACAATTCATCTTGATCCTACGGATACAGTTGGAATACACAGAAAGCTTTTCGGAGGCATCCTCTGGGGCTTGGGGCAAACTTTGCAGTTACTATTTTTTTTTTTTTTTTTTTCATTTTTCTCTGGTTTTGCGGGGTGCAAGTTCGTCTGCTTCTTGGATAAGTGTTGCGGTGATGTCAGAATGCCGAGCTCTTATTGGCTGATTGGAAATGTGGTGTGTAGACCTCAAGGCATCTAGCACTGAGGTCTACCAGCTCTATGTTGTTCTGATGTCATCGCCACTCCTGCGCAAGAAGCAAATGACTTGCTCTCCGCATAGGAATAAAACTGAGGGCAAGGAGGAGGCGAGAGCATGCAGAGACATCAGATCATTGAGATGATAAGCAGGTAGAGACAGAGGTAGCTGCCTTTCTTCTAGCTCACTCTCCAAACGCGTTCACGTTGGCCACTGCTCCTTCTGGCACTGATCTACTACTACCACCCCTTTAATGCAGCAGTAGCGTCACGCTCGTAATATCGGGTTCAATTCCCGCCAAGGCACATTTGGAAATTTTTTTTTTTTCCCCTTTTCTATCAACTATTATTTTATCACGATTATGCTTTATTTTGAGCAGCTTGTCCCCCAAAACATGTGTCATACATTTCTTAACGGTTTTGTGGCGTTCAAAAAGCCATTGAGGCAAAGGCCCATGCTGCGTACATACAGAGCACCCAGCTCCAAACAGTGTCTCAAGCACCACCAAACCACGAACAGTGGTAAACCGGCGTTCTGGCATACGTCTTGAAACGCTGCCTGCCAAGTTTCGCCAGCTCTTTGAAGAGCCAAGCCCTCGGGACCGTAGCAGCATTGTTCCACGATGCTGCGCATGGCATTTTCGGCTCGTGGCACTGTGCCTAATCGCCAGATGCGCGCCGCTTGCGAGAACGACGTCAAACGGATCGACGGCACCCACCTCAAGCGTTCTTGCTCTGGGCTGCGCGACCGCTTACGCTTCCTGTCCTCCCCTGAAAGTGTCGAACACAACCACCCAGTCACGATACAGTTGGACCAATCTTGCTGTCACCATTCTAGGCTATTTAGAAGGTAATTAAATCAAATAATTTATGTTGTTTATTATATTTCAGCGCTTAAAGATTTCAATGCTGCTTTTCGGCATTCCTTTTCTGTGCTCTTCGGCGAATTAAATCGAAGTTTGCTTTACACGGCAGAAAAAGAGGCCGCATCTCCACGTGGTGAATGATGTTGATTGGGGCGAAGCTCTAGTAGTGCTGATGATACTGATTTTATTTTTCATAGGTGGTGCTGATGGTGCCATTTTTTTTTTATTGCTCATAGTTAGTGCCGAGTTCCAGGTTGCGTTTGGACTTCATTATTTCTACTTTATGGTTGGTGAAATGTAGAGCCGGTGGTTCTTCTAGTGGATCAGCTTGGATCCAATAGAAGCCGTGGGAATGCATCTCAACCACTTAAGTCAACGGTCCACGTCAGAAAAAGAATGTGTGGTATGGATCGTGGTTATATACGCAGTTGAGCATTTGACCGCAGCGCCCTCTCGTCTATAAACGAAGCAAAGTTAAACGCAAAGTGCAAAGTTAAACGCGATTATATACGCAATTGACCGCAGCGCCCTCTTCTGTATGACGCTGAGCGGCTACATGCAACGTTGGAGTGTAGCGTAGTGGTTAAGACATCTGCCTCGTAAGCAAACGGTCCTAAGTTCAAACCCCCGTGCGGGCGCACATTTTTTTTTTTTTTTTTTTAAAGTGGGCCAATCTTGGAGGCTGTGCAATCGATGTGGGCACTAACGCTGGATGGATAGACAAGGCTAGACCCTAAGGAGCTTCACCCCTAATATATGTTGGTATTAAACGGGTACAGATGGCTACAACTGGGCAAAGACCAACGCCTCCAAGATAACGACACCTTAGCGCCAGGGGAGGCCAGCACGGGCACAAATTGGAACACGAATGCTGCACCAGCGTCCGGGATAACCGAACACGGGCCCCAAACTAACAACCACATGGGACACGTGTCCAGTCTGCGCCCGACGGTGGCCTCTGGCGGGTGACGCAGGATATACGGCGCCTAGGGGGAGCCGATCGTGACCGGCCGCAGCCCACTCACCCTGTGTGGATGCGTCCCCGGCGCCCTGCTCGGTCTTGACTGCCGCCTGGTCCTGCTGCTCCCCATTCACTTGGGCCGTGGCCACCTCCATGGGTTCCTCCTTCACCTGAACCATCTCTGCGTCTGCCTGGGGGGGTGGGGCTTCTGCAGCTGCTGGACACGCCCCTTCGTCCTCCTCCGTGTTGTTGTTGTTGTTGCTGTGGACCTCCGCTTCTGCAGGCTCCTCCTTCACGCTCGGGGGCTGCCGAGGGAATGCGAGCGTGCCCCGCAAGATCAGCACGGCCGCCCGAGCTAGATCGCCTTCCTTGAGGCAGTGGTTCCTAAACTGGGGTTCCCAAATCCCTCGACCATCGATCGAGTCGAGCTACAAAGCGTTTTCTTTATCGATGCTGGCTGTCCCACAAAGCTAAACAGATCGAACCATGTGCACCCAGTCATTGTAATTGTCCTACACCACCTCCCTTTTGCTTGGTAGATGAGTACCCCCAACCGCTTTTGCCGATTCAGAAGGGTCCTTGCAACATTAATTAAAAATCACTGCCCCCCCCCCCCCCCCCCCCAAATTTTTTTTTTTTTTTTTTGTAAAACGTGTGGATTTTTGCAAAAAGCGAGTTTTCGAGGCTTTTGTCCATTTCCGTTACCAACTTCCTGTTTTTTTTTCAATTGACCCGACACCCTGCCCTTCAACTCTGTCCTTACCATAAAGGAAATGGACATTTTGAAAGATGGACACTGGATACCTTATTTATCAATGAAAAGAAAGAGAAATTTGTCCCTCGAAAAATCCACTTTTTGCACCCCTGCCTTCTTTGCTGTGTTACCAGGTGCTTGCTCTACAGGCATGATGTGCTCATTCTAATCACTAGTTAACCATAGGAACAAAAAAAATTATGGTTTCTTTAACAATAAATATTTCAGACTTATCCTGAACGATATATTCTATTTTAAATCTAGCAATTTCTTTTGCACTGCTTCTGAACAACACTAGAGCATTTATTCTCTAGAAGGGCATGCGTACAGCAGCAGGTCTTGCATCTGCTGATCCTGTGTACTGCAGCAGAATCAGCAGATCTGCAGAAGACGCATCTAACTTCGAAGTGACAGCTTACTAAATCTCGATACTACCTTACATATGTGACTACACTGATTTACCACCTGCTTGTCTAATTCATACAATTGTTTCAGGCTTATGAATGTCGCTTAGATTCTATGAGACACTCAGCTGCTTTGCACGCAGACTAAGTCACAGATCATCAGGCCCGCAAAGGATCCCTTGCATTACACCTTGATTTGAACTGACACATGCTCTAATCAAACCTCATTAGAAAAGTGCAAAAGAACTCTAGAAAGGTCCATATAGCAAATAAAAGTATACCCCCCCCCCCCCCCCTACGTACTCATGAAAACTATTTCCTTTCTTCCAAACACCAACTCTTGTCACACCTAGTAGACTTCGAAAAACACTAAATGCAACCCGTGGGCGCATTCCCGAATCTCTTTTCGAAATGCAAGTTCGTTACATTCTGTTCCATCCAATTTTCCACACGAGAAAAAAAAAAAAAGAAAAAAATACTGCCGTGATTATAACAGAGATTAAATATTAATTTCTGCAGGGCACTTTTTTTTCTTTTTGCAAACAACAAGAAAGTTAAAAAAAAAATATATACATCTTATGCAACAATTTTGAAAAACCGGAGACGATGGACGAAAAAGCAAACACAGAAGACGTCTAAACCGAGTCGTCTTGTGTATCATTCCCTTTTTTGTCCGTCGTCTCGGTTTTTTCAATAATGTGCAACATCAACCAGCTTGCCTGCCTACTCACTCAATCTTATGCAACATTTGTTTTTTTAAAGTAGATTTTACTATCCCCAGCTCTATGGTCAGCTCTTGTCAAATTGACTAATCACCTAATTGAAGGCTATTGACAGTAACCAAAGTTCAATGGCGAATAAAATTTTAATTAAAAACAAGAGCAAAACAAAGTAGAGACTGACAAAAACCTCAAAATCTTCAGCATGACAGAAGCGAACAAAAAAAAATAAAAGTAATGACTCTAAAAACCTCAAACAGGGAGGGAAAACGGCCTCACTTCAGCTTCCGGCTCGGGCTCCGGTAAGGACTCCTCGGCAAACTGTGGCTCAGCCGTTTCCGCCTTGGCCCCCCAAAAACACAAAACAAAAGCAGACACATTAAAAAAAAGAGCACATCAAAAGGTCCGGATGGAACGCGGGACGGAACGTCATCAGACAATTGCAGTTGTCCTCACGGGCAAGCATCAGCCGGGAAAAGAAGACCATAAAATGCGAACTCATCATGCACAAGACAGCGTGCAGCTACATAGACCAGGGGACCAAAGGACCTACCTGCGAGTCGTCTGTGCACTCTTCGGGAGCTGTGGGCGAAGCCTCCTGTGGGCAAGGTAGGGGTTGTCAGCTTTAAGGTCACACGTTTAGCTTGTGAAAAAAAAATGTGCATTTCACAAACACAAATGCACAAAGAAACAATGAACAACAGTGCGACAAAAGAATGCTGGCGCTTTGCTTTGGTATACAACTCAACATACATCACGTGTACTTTCGTACTTCGTAACTAAATCCCGAAATCGACGATAAAAATCAATCGCTTTCCAAGTCTCGACTGGCGGAAGAGACAAGGAACGAAACAGACTTTCCTGAAATGTACACCGGCTAAATTTTCGGACCAATACCACAATTAAACGAGCACTCAGACTGCCAGAGGCCCAATCACGATCGGTCAGAGTTGTTCGACAGTACTGTCACTGAGCCCCTAATGAGAGATAACCTCGGCCAAGCTCACCTACTTCAGTCAAAACTCGCCACCTGGGCTCAAGACAACAATGTCTGCGGCATTGCCGACTGTCGCAGATGGCCGTTGTCGGTGAGGCACTTATTGTTTCAGAATGCTGGGGGAACATCTAAAAATAATCGTAGCGACAAATACGGTAGGGAGGAACCAACGGCTAAAAAAGTGCCATTACAATTATCCTGGCAACTGGAAAGGAAGAAGAAAAAAACCCACCTCTATGCGCACAGCCATTTATGAACATCCGCAGCAACAGGGTTTCCCTTATGTCACCGGAGGTACCGCTAAGCAAGGACTCGCCACACTCATTCTCATGCACTAAGTAGCAGCAAGGTTTGCGATATCTCGTATCAAACCCTTCTTATCTAAAAAGTAACGTGTCTACTATCAATCTACTTTGATATTTATGTATGTCACTCAACATCAGATTAAACCGTGTAGCACAATCTCTGTTCGGTCAGCAGCCCCTAACCGCTGCTGGCCCCAACGACGGCTTAGAGGGGCACTGACACCCCAAGGGTCGCATTATTTTTGTATTGTCTAAAACGATACAAGTTGTAGTCATAGACACGCAAAAAAAAAAAACATCGCGAAAAAAAAACTTCCTTGCGCGCGTGCACGCCTTTTTATTTTTGTTGTTCATATTTTCCGCGCTCACCTCCTTGCTTCTTTTGATCGGTGACGTCAAAAATCAGGAAATTTAGCTTTGTAGACGACATATCTGTAACATTTAACAATGGCAATCGTAAAACATCATTTTTAACGCAATTGCGAACGCACTACGGCTCCTCTTTTTGCAATACCAAAAATCAGATTTCGGTGTTATGTCGCTTCCTGGATTTGTATCCTCACTTGGAAAACTTGGCGGCGCTCGAGCAAAGGCTTATATCGGCGAAGAAACCGGTTTTTTCCAGTGCCGGCGCCCTTCTATCCCGCCTGGTCACCTCCTCTTCGCTTTGGGTCGCGGTGGCAACGGCGGAGGTCCCAAAGAAAGTTGAGTCGCAGGAGTCCACAAAATTTGACTCACTGCACTGATCACGCGGGAACTTCAAATTCGGCATTTGGAAATTGTTTTTTTAATTCAGAAATACTGAATTCCCGAGTTTCGAATTTTGAGGGTAATGTCCCGGCATCGTTTTCAATCGTTTCGGATAATAAAAAAAAAAAAAAAAAAGATTCTGATGTGTCAGTGCCCCTTTAAACGGCCCACAACTACGGCGTATTTCGACTCAAGATCTGGAGCAGAAGCTCTACCTCCAGCGTGAGGTTCCCCCCTTCGACAAGATGTGGGCACCTCGCAGGAAACGCACATCCAAACCAGGACGGAAAAGACGAGAGGGCATGCTAGAGGCAGAGCTCCTCGTGCAGATCTTTTGTTGGAACAGTGTGGCAGACGCATCCGACAAGCCTGGGCGATGTGCCTCACCTGCTTGGAAGTCTCGTCCTGCTGGAAGCTGTCGTCGCCCGTTCCCAGGTTGGTGGTGGACCCCTGAGACTCCTCGGCAGACTGGTCGCCCTCCTCTGCCTCACCTGCAACACGAGGGACGCACCAGCACGTGACGACGAGTGGCAAAATAGATTTGTCGAGTGTCAAAACCTTTTTTTTTACTTCTAGCGGAGTTGGAAATTAAGAGGCAGATAAGGCGTGCTGGCTAGTCGACAAACCGGTTGAGAAAAAGTGCAATGTGCACCAATGGTGTCGGGGCAACCTATATATAACTAATGGGATTCTTGTCTTCACAAATTTGCACCGTTGGACGCGCGACAAAGCAATGTTCTAATCAGCTTGACGAGGGACTCTGGACACGATTCTCACGGTCAACTTGCCTAAATTAGAGCATCCAACGGTACAGAGGTTTGCAACTGCACTCACAATCTGTGCCCCATCATAGCCTGGACATTAAAATAAAAACATTTAATTATTCCAGAAACATATCTGTAGCTTCAGAAATTGGTTACCAGTCACTATCGTCGGCGTTGCTGCAGCATCGCAACACGAGGAAGCACTCTACTCCTTAAGTTGTGTTACACGAATCAAAAAATGGCATAACTGTTTGCCTTGCCCCTTGAATGAAATCCGACGAAACGTTACCACACGACTCCACACATAAGCGCCGATTGCACTGTCAGATCTTATTTAAAAAAAATAGTCCCCAAAACCACGATGTTCAGTTGTATCAAGCGTCCAGTGCTATCACAGGTGTGAAGAACTTCGTCGGACGTATTGCCCCCGTACAGCTAACGCAAGTAGCCTGCGTGTCTGAAAACGGATTACCCTGAACCAACTTACACGTTTGCCTTTTTTTACGGTTGTAACGGGTGGCTGTTCATGTCACTCAATCAATCATTCACCTGTGTGACCGATATTCAGAAGATAGCGTCACTACTATCTTGGCAGTAGTCCAAATGTTCCCAACAAGGTAGATAGTGGCAAGCTCAAACCATCACCGAACCAGCAGCCCTCATCCCAACCAACCAACGACTGTTTTACATTGATACCGTAAGTTGAAATTAGCTAGGGGGCATAATCGACTGCCACGCTCCGTCACAGTCGCCACCACAAGCATATTAGCAAAGGCCGATCCGTGCGCATGCTTGCGCGATGCTAGCAAGTGCCGCGTTTGATCGTGCCGGTCCGACACGTAAGCCTAGAATTCGTACTTTCAATCGCATTCACAAACTGATCAAATACCGTAAGACGCCAAGAGAACAAAACTTACAAGGGTGCTTAGTATCCGCTCACGCGCGATCTGCAAGATCGCTTCGTTAGTTGATCGGCGAGCCGGTGCGTGCTTCGGCTTTCCAAAATCTCAACGTTCGAATCAGCACGGTCCTAGGCCTGCCAGCTGAGCTCGACGTTGCTGTCGCGCACAGCTTCCGCTCACGTCGCCGGACACGTGCAAAACGGAAACGGGCGCTAACTTCGTCCGATGGGGTCGGCAGTCGAGAAGCTGAGCGGCTCGCGCGGCGGCGTTGTCGCCCGCTAAGCCTAACCGCGGCTTCCCGCGGTACCGGCTCCGACCGGTGAATGAATGACTACGCCCCTGATCGCTTCGAAGCTCCGATCACGATCGCGTCGCGAAACCGGGGAAACGGCATCATGGCTTACCCGGTCCTTCTCCGGTGGGTCCCGCGTCCATGGCATCCTTGAGCCGCTTTACCAGAACAGCTTTGTTGCCCTTTGTATCTAGGCCTCGCGCCTGGAGCTCTGCCTTCAACTCCACCACTTTGAGTTTCGAGATGTCCACATCACTCATCTTGGGAAGCGGTGACGGGTCCCCGAGCGGCACCACCTGCGAAGTATTTTCACGTGCCTGGCGTCCCCGAAGAGGGTCTGGAGCGACGCTTTTTTGTTTACCAGGGGAGGAACGCCGCAAAACACGTCTCCAGAAAAAGAAAATGGCGGCGGGTCCCAACCTCGTGATGGCGCCGCGCGATTTTGAAACGGCCGCTCCCATTGGTCCACTGGCGCGAGCCCTCCGAACGACCACCAATCGGAGGGCGCGTATTATGAAGTTCGACTTCTTTTTAGTCTAATTGTCTTTGCCGGCATAGATGGCGCAGCCTGTTGTTCAAGTAAATGTGCTTCAAAGTTTTTCTGCAAATGTCCAAAATGGCGTATGGAAAATTCTCCCACGTTAGTCGCTGTTCTCCCAAAGACGAGAGAGGACAAAAGATATATATGTATTCGCCCACTTCGAACAAAGTTTGAAAGTGCAACAGGACTAAAGAAAGTTTTTTTTTTTGACAACCTTAGCCTATGGCCACATCTGCTTTTCAAGGTCATTTTTGTGGAAAATTCTCCCACGTTAGTCACTGTTCTCCCAAAGACGAGAGAGGGCAAAAGATATATATGTATTCGCCAACTTCGAACAAATTTTGAAAGTGCAACAGAACTAAAGAAAGTTTTTTTTTCTTTTGATAACCTTAGCCTATGACCACATCTGCTTTTCAAGGTCATTTTTGAAACCTGAAGAATTTGTTTTGCAACATTACAACCACCCATTTTCTGGGAAAAAGAAAACAGAAGCTGAGTGTTCGGGAAATATATCGTCCACAAAAGTACAGTAAATAACGATTAAAAAGTTAAAACGCGCGAACTGAACAGGACGAAAAAAGACACACATACGACACGGACAAGTCCCATAATCGATAAGTACAGTACCAACTAGGCCCAGCCAAAGTTTTATCGCACCACAGTAAATAACGTGCAGGTACGGACAGAAGATGAGGCTAGTTTTACGTCCTGTACCCATTAAAACAAAGAAAACATTTTTTTTGTGCTCTACGCCAAAGGTTTGGCATTCAAAGACTAAGCAGGATAAAATCCCATTCCTTTCTGACAAGACCGTAAGTGCGCACGCGAGCTGGTGGTAGGTAGCTAATCATGTCCCAGACTGTGGTGCAGAAAGGGAAAAATATTGTTAGCCAAAGGAACAGACACTGACCTCAGGCAAGTCATACGGGTCGAAATTGAGAGAGAGGAGGAGTGTAGAGCGCGCGGGGTTGTCAGTACACCGAGCTCTGTTCGAAATGATTATTGGGTAGACGCAAAATTGGAAGGACAAGTACGTCACAAATAAAATTTTCCCGTAAATGGGATTCCAAAACTAATGCGCTCCTACCGAAACTGAAGTTAGTTTCGGAATCGCTCTGTCGAAATAAATAAAAGTTAGTTTCGTAATCGCCCTGCCTCTGTTTCAGCGTAGGTGTGCGCTAAATACTTACCCCTCTTTTTGGAGGATGCTTAATTTGCGAAGCACGTTTCATATACAGGCAATCGAAATAAATATTTTTAGGTGGCTAGCCGCTCAGCTGGTTTCCTTTAACTTGCAATATCTTTAGCATCCTAATATTCGACGATCGTAGCCCAGTGGAATAATTCAAATTAAAAGGAGAATAAACACGGTTTTAATTAATCCGGTTAATAATTGTTAACAAAAAAAAAATAAAAAAAGCTCGAGGTACACCTAGGTAGCTAAACTCGTCAACAAAAATATTCTTTGTGTTATGACATAGTGGGTGGAGGAGCCGAAAGATTGCTGCGAAGTTTTCTTTTCTCACAAACCCGCAGATCCGTCTGTCTTCGTGACGTTTTTCGTTGAGGGGACGAAAAATCCCCACGCCTCCCTAGGCACCGAACAAGAGCAGCACTAGAGAGCGCGCGGAGACGACCGTGGCTCATACGTGTGACGTCACAACAAAGATTATCAGCTGCGACCGTCACGCTTGATGGTCTCTAAAAAGCACGATGGATGCTTGGGAATTGCATTTTAAAATCAACACCGTCGAAGTTGATAGTCTGGTGTCGTTCTTATTTCCGCCGATAAAGCAGAATTTACTAAAAAGCGTCCCTGCTAGGGTGCCTCAATGTCCTTCTGTTTAGGGTGATGCCGACAGCACGCGCTCACGGGGAAAATACCAAGAAATCGACGAAAACAAAAATGTCGCCTTAGCACAGTCAGCGCCACAAACGCGTGCAGTGTCACGCTCTTTCACGCGCTTCTGAACAAAAAATAAAAATAAACGTGTGGGTCAAAATGGCGAGATGGTACCACCCAGTGCCACTAAATAAGCTACGCTTCAGAGTAACGCCACTTGGCCATTTTGTGTCGTAAAATCATGGTTGCCAGTTATCTGAAGCTTTATCTGAATTCACAGGAAACGCCTTTCCGCCCTCCACAAATGTTGAAATAGTTCGTGACAGAGCAAAGCAATATTGCGTGACCTTTCCACAACCGAATCTAATGCTGAGGAAGTCGCACTTTTGAATCATGACGATCGGCAGTTCCGTCTGCTCTGCATACGAGCCAAAATGGCGGCGCCCACAACAATGCCGGGGAACGGAGTGCCGATACTCTAAGCGTAGCTCATTTAGTGGCTCTAGTACCACCCTAAGCAAAGCGCACATGGACGCACCCTAGTCCTTGCCGTTCTTTTGATTTATCTCGGCCTTTCGAATCTGGCCAAAGTGTAGCCCGACGTGGCTAGGTCACAACCAGCCGACTACCGTTGTCCACTTTCGGGCGAATTTCGCCTCCGGGCAGTTGTCCCTTCATCGGCGGGATAAAATCATTTTATGGTAGACATTCGAAGATCAGTCAGTTTGGGATTAAGTATGTTTATCAAAACGAAATAAGGAAATAAAAGTAATGTCAGGTTGTCAATATTGGCGGTGATGCTTCAAGAACGCAAGGACACTAAACTTGACATCGTCGATTTGAACACACGTCATGAAATTTGTCGTTCACAACTGATAATCCTGACTCCATCGTCAAATAGTTGATATATCAACTATAAAATGACGTCACCGAACGCGCCCGCACACAATGCCAGAGTCTTTCGTGCCAGGGCGCGAAAGACTCGCGCCCTGGCACGAGTCTTTCGCTTGAAAGTCTGTCATGGCCACTCTTGAGTTCACGGAACGCGAGCCGTTTTAAATTTAGAATCTCTTGAACCGTTATTTCGAAAATTGCAGGCTGTGCTGTTCCTCGTCATTGCTCATTGGAACACCTCTAAGCAGGGTCGTCGAAACAGGAGGATGGGGAGGGGGGGGGGGATTTAGCCCCCCCCCTCCCCCCGGCCAGTTGCGTCGAAAGAGGGGGCAAGGGGCGTAAGGGTGGAGAAGGGGGGGGGGGGGGGGGGGGTATCGGCCCAGCCCCGAACCACCATAGCATTTCAGAGAGTTATAATAAAATATTAGGGGAAAGGAATATCCCCCTTCTTCACCACCATCACCTCCCCTCTCTCTCTCTCTCCCGAACAATTTGTACGGCCCTTCTTGAGACTCCTATTTGTTTGTACGCGCGCGTGTGTGCGTGTGTGTGTGTGTGTGTGTGTGTGTGTGTGTGTGTGTGTGTGTGTGTGTGTGTGTGTGTGTGTGTGTGTGTGTGTGTGTGTGTTGGTCGTACCTTTATTCTTTCTTTAGAGCGCAGCTCTTCGGCGCCCGTTTCCGGGTTTCGCGGCGTGGGCGTCGCCGTCGGCGTAACCGGCCCGCTAAATTTAGCGCGAAATTGACGTCACATGACCTCAACACCAATTCAATTCCCAGCTACGTGACTTCAACGCCAATTCACTTATCCGCTAGATTGTCATGTGATGTTCTTTTCCCTGCTAAATTTAGCGGAGAAACTGAATGGGAGGAGGAGGGGAGGAGAGGAAGAGGGGAGGAGGAGGAGGGGCATACCCTCCTCTCCGTACCCTCCCTTATTCCTCCTCAAGAGTTGAGCTCTAATTTCGCATTACAAAGATTTGTAAACGTCTTTATTTTTTCTGTTTCCCTTTCTTCGGCTTTTTTTTTTGGTTAATCCCCGTTTTCCCTATCTCTCAGACATTACCGACGTCTCTACACAAACCGCCTGTGGGTGACCCGGGTGGCGTTGTTGACAGTGGCAGAAGATGAGCTCTATAAAGCCGCCCGCGTACACCGCGCACGGCTCTACAACATCCCTAAGTTCAATCTTCGCCTCGATTCCGAAGCGAAGATTTTGGCCTCAAATAACTCCTTCCCAAAGTTGTGAAACGTCACTTTGTCGTCACCAATAACTTCCACAAACGGCGATCTTGCGACGAGAAAGTTCAGAGTATTTACCGACCGCCTAGGTACAATCTACGCATCATTGAATCTAACGCGGCGTAGGGATGTAGGGACACTCGGGCGAGACGTCATCAGTGCAGCCGTTCAATCGGCAGGCACCACGGTGCTGCTCGCACGCGCTTCGATGGAGCTCTCTACGACTTTGTGTTTTACATTCTCGCTGGAATTTGAGCACCGAGAGAGCTTGGATGATTGACACCTCGCTCGGCTTGACGTCAGCGTCGCGAGAGTCCAATTAGCGCGTTCCGCAACTTTCGGACGCAAAGTTGTGCTCGACGAGTTTAGCTACCCTAAGCACTTCTTATGAGTTGTGAATGCGAAAGCACACACGCGCTCTTCGCTTTCTTCTTTCGTCTGCGGCGTACAGCGCGCTGACCTTGGGTGTGGAACGGTGGAGCCGCTGCAACGAGCTTGGCTGCCTCGCGGACACGCAGCGCCATTGGGTGAGCGATCGTTGCAACCGACGCGCAGCGGCCAATGGGAGCCTTGTCGACGCGCGCCAGCCATTGGGATTCGCTTCTTTGGCCAACCAACCAACTAGCTCAGCTCCTTCCCATTGCCAGCCATTGGGATTCGCTTCTTTGGAATCGGGGAAACTAGGTGCCGTGTCTAGGCTTTTCGCGTGGTTTCATACATTTAGCGCTCTCTGGGTGGCCCCATTTTTTTTCGACCGCAGCGCCCTCTCCATACATCCGGGAAATTCAACGGGTTCGGCGCGGTAGAACCAGTATAAAAGGCTCTGGGTAAAACGAGAGAGAGGGCACGCGCCCGACTCCACTAGCAGACGACAAACCGGGAGGTTGCCATTGCCCATCGTTGGGCTGTACCGGCGGGCTGTACGGAACATCGAACTCTCGCTCGTGGCTGCTGTTGTGA